TATCCCAACCGAGCAGCTGAGTCCAGAGAAGCAGCGGGAGCAGAACATACGTCGTAACCGGGCAATGGTGGCAATGATGGATTTGCGTGGAGCAGTGTCCACAGCAAATGCCCTGGAGGCAGGCAAGTGGCGTGCAGACGAGATGGACGGGACAGAGGGCACATCAGCAAAGCGCGCACGGATGGAGGCCAGCGGCGACACCGAGGATGGAGAGGTCGACGTGGAGATGCTGTTGGTGGGCCCGGAGTTGCAGGGAGTAGCTGCAGATCCCATGGTTAACATTGCACTTGCTATGGATCCCAAAGTTGACACTGCACCTGCTGCGGATCCCCAAGCCAACGCTGCATGCGATACAGATCTGGATCCCGATGCTGCACCTGCTGCAGATGCCGTGACCGCGGCCACACCCGCTGCGGATCCCATTGGTGAAGCGGCACCCATTCCCAATCCCGACACTGCACGTACTACAGATCCGGATCCCGACGATGCACCTGCTGCAGATACCGTGACCACAGCCCCACCCAAACCCGACACCGCACCTGCTGCGGATCCCAACGGTGATGCAACACCCATTCCCGATTCTGACACTGCGCACGAGCCTGGCGGAGCTCTGGTAATGGTAACAATGCCAGAGGTCGCACCCACAGCAGATCCCGCATCTGTGATCACAGCTGTGACGCCATCAGGGGAATCTGCCCCGAAGAGCACTCGCTCAACACCTGCATGTCCACCTAAAGCGGCCCAATGGTTTGCAGCAGGGCACGAGAATTTGACAGCGGTCGATTTGGGGCCACACTATGATGCGGTGATTGCAGCGTGGATTCGGATCGAGCGAGCATTGCGGTGGGAGTCATCGTCAACAAATCTCCCAAATGCTCGACGACCAAAGGAGATATCAACATGGATTGCCGGAAGACGTTGGAAGGTGCCCGTAATCACCGACGTGTCACGCTACGTGGAGTGCTGGAATGCCTGGTGGGACTCCCTCCAACCACAATGGCGGAAGCGGAGCGGGGACGCAAAGAGATGGGAAAGAACAACGGGATACGGTCCCACTGGACGTGGGTGGACACCGTCAGGCAAATATGGCGGAGATCAAGCTGTGTGGGGTAATCTTTTCCAGTGGGGCCCGAACGGTGTGATGACAGCCGTGGCATCCATCTATTTCTGGGGTATGCAGGTACAGAAGAGCGGAGCTGGTGAAGGGATGGAGGCTTGGGAGGAGGCTACTGTGGATGTAGGTTGGGTATTGGAAGGACTGGCGGGCTATTACGAGCTGTGGACAAAGAAGGGTAGACGCTCTTAGACTCGGACTCGTAATGGCAATGACACATACAAGTCATCTGATTCTGTAAAGTTGAGGTGATGGGCCCGGAAGCAGTGAGCGCCGTTGATGTGCCTGTGAAAAATGGCGGCGGGATCGGCGCAGGACGCACGGACCAGGGGCGGAGCAGGAGCCGCAACACACAGCCTGTAGTGACAAAACACCTCAGCGTGGATGTCGCCTGCGCGTGCGCGATGCCAGGAAGCGATCACGTGCAGAGCCGTGGGCGGAGGGCGGGACGGCGGGCAACCAGATTATATGCAGCAAAGGGCGGAGGCCAGGACAACGGTGATAGGCTGGCTACCAGACGCGCTCTGCACCAGCTCTGTAAGGGCGTATTTTTGCGCTTTTTACAGAGTTTACTCTTGAACCATTCGGTGTATCGTGTCGCGGGTGACAGTGTTGCGCTCAGTAGGACTTATGGGTCTACTGCCCAGTCGACGACTGTGGATAGTGTCGACGATAGCAAGGCAGTCAGGCCACTACTGTGGAACTGGTCTTATGAGTCTACGCCAGGCTCAGGGCCATTAGTGACGAACGCTTGGACCGCGACCATTCCCCAGGAAGGGATCTGTCGTTGCGTCGACTTCTCGAAAAGGGTCATTCTCTGCAGATGGGAACTTGGGCTGAAGGGCTGAGCAATGCGCGACGTTCTCAATAATAGAACTACTACTGGACAGGACTTGGCGTTACGAGACTTAAACCATCTTGTCGCGGCAACTCCCGGTTTTGAGTTGGACGTTTCCTCAGATCGAGCCACGACGACGACTTGTCACATGTCAGGATCCATTCGATCACGGGACATTGTGGACGCGTCGCGGTGACACTTCCAAGTGTCACGGCGAGTCGCGCCCATACCCAAACACACTAGAAACCGGCACGGCTAGACCCGTGAACCGAACCATGTGGGGGACGACCGGCGTGCCTAGAGCCATACGGCTTCTTGGGGCGCCCACGTTGGCCTCACATGCCAAGACATACCCGTTGGCCAATCCAGCACGTCGTATTCCAAAAGTATGACGCGGTGGGTTGACCCACATCAAAAGTATCATATGGACAATAGGGCGGGGTCCTGATCACTCAGGTCCTGTCCGATCGTTCAACTTTTCAATTACCCTAAAAGGCAACCGATCTTAGATAGCGTAGCTACTATGCAGTTGTACAGGACTTTACTAAGCAGCGTCGTAGACAGTATAAGTAGCACGTCGTCTCTTTGTATTAGAAAGCTTTTCCCCCGGACTGTGAATCACTCTCATATCAGATTGTTTTGTACAATTTGCGTGCCGCGTGATTCCACCCTAAGAAGTTCTGCTACCCCTGCCCGGTCGCGACGAGTTGCTCCCTGAGCACTTGTAGCTACTGTGATTTGAGTTTGAGTTTTGAGACATCAGAAAGTCGGATTCGCCGCATCTGGTTTGGTCGCGGCATTTAGTGTCGTCGCCTATGGGCTTTGTTGAGATCGTTCCACACCTCTAGCTTGGCAGTGCGTCGACTAGTTGTGCTCGGGTTGTTTTGGTCAGTTGGCAGTGCGTCGACTTGAGAACTTTGGTTCCACACTTCTTGCTTGGCAGTGCGTCGACAAGTTGTGCTCGGGTTTTGGACATTGGATATTGGCTGTTAGTTGGCAGTGCGTCGACGCGGCATTTTGGTTCTACTAGTTGGCAGTGCGTCGACTCAGTACTTTTGGTTGTGTCAGTTGGCAGTGCGTCGACTTGACATTTTGGTTTACTAGTTGGCAGTGCGTCGACTCAGTATATTGGTTGTATCAGTTGGCAGTGCGTCGACTTGATATTTGGGTTTTGCGTCGCCATCTGGACGCTGTCGCTACAAGGGATCTTAATACTTCGTATTAAGCTCTGACTTGTTATATTGTTGTTTGTGGATTGGATTAGTGTTGGTTGTGTTCGTATAGAAGATATTGGTTGAGATACCATTGTTTGCTATATATAAATTCTTGTCGTCGACTTCGTCTCCGCGACTATTGGATCTGCGTCTATTGAGAGTTGTGATACTGGTGCTCTGTCCACCCCGAAGCCCTCGCATCTTTCACACACTGAGAAGCTGATTACGAGGAGTGTGAACGTGTTTTATATTTGGGTTTACTTTCATAGTAGATTCACTTGTGAGCACGCCCTCAGCATTTCAACGGGCAACCAGGTAATATGCAGCGAAGGGCGGAGGCCAGGACAGCAGGCAACCAGGTAATATGCAGTGGAGGCGGAGGGCGGGACGGCGGGCTACCAGATCATGTCGGGAGCAGGCGAGCGCAGATTCATATCACATCAGAATACGCGAGAGGCGGAGGGCGCTGTCATCAGCACTGTTGATGGCTGTCATCACTGGTGGCGATGGGTGATTTGTGATTGACTGACGTTGACGGGTGCCGAGGTGACGATGCCGGAGGTTGAGGCATCGCACAGCGGTCATTAAGGTGCCTAGCCATAGCCCATGGCTACCATCCATAAAATAGTCTACGGTTTTTATGGCTACAGCCATGCGCACTAGTCTAAATCCTAGTGCTATGGCTCGAGAATGTTTCATTTTAGATCTTCGCCCAGTCGATCCCGGACAGTGAGACCAACGCAGCGCTGAGCAACATAACCTGAACATTCCTTTTGAAAAGATGTTACGCTCAAGATCCATCGTCACCATGAAAAAGGCTGCACGGAGAGCAAACACTTCAACTCAATTGAAGACATCGAGCCTTATTTTTCTCCTACTCGAACTCCCTGCACATCCCCTTGCCCCTAAAATGACCAGCTTTCACTTGCATCCCCTCCAGGGGCGTACACCAACCACATGATGGTGGTGGTAACTGAGGTGAATGCACCAGGTCTGTTATCTCTCAAAATTTGTCCAATCCAATTCATCATTCGCCATGCTCATTATGCCTAATCCAAATCTAATGTGTAGAGCAGAAGCCCTAATAGATGTCAAATATGCACAACATCAGTGTTCAATGTAAGAAAGCCCAAGACCAGAATCAATTAGTTGTTGCACTGACAACTGTATTGCCCGATCGACCCAGATGTTATAGTGAAACTTTAGGACGACCTCTGAATATCCCTAACAAGGCTAGCACCAATCTTTCTGAAATTTGCAAGTTTTGTCTGGAACATTTTTGCTTCAAACTGTTCAATTTTGTCCGGCACAGCGCTGACGTCCGTATTTATTGATTTATTGTAATTTTGCTGAATTTCACTATTTCCCTCCCTCCCAACGCCAAAATGCAGAAGGAAATCCCGTTAATCGGGGATACATTGATGTTGCTTGTTCTGGTAGCTCTTATGTCTCATGCGTTGGTTTGTGCTTGGCCAAATGGCTTTAGCTCACAAGATCCCATCGATTGGTGGCATCAGATGTGATGCGGGCAATCGATACGGAGATTCTTCTAGACAAATTATTAGTCCCCAAAAGGGAACTATGGGGCGAATTTGAGGAAAAAATGATTCTCTGATGGAAGTATACCTTCCCGGGGCTTCACTTTATCCGGCAACAGGCGCTGGCCCTGCGGCCCCGCAATCCCCAGTTTTTTTTCGGCTGGGCACCAGCTTTCCGAGCTCAATCGCCGTGAAAATTGGCCCGGGCGCTAGTGTAGTCAGGCAAGATCAGAGTTCCTGCCTCGGGCCAACAGCCAAAACAATTCCCAATATCCCAGACAATGTCGGAATCTTTCAAAATCACGGTAGTGCTATCTTTTTACTCGCTGGATTGTATAAAGTGTGATTTAATGGTAGGAGATTTATGGCCAACGGTCATTTTTTGAACTCCGAAGTGAATCCAATATTATTCCATCTATTGATCCCGGTAGGTGGTTCTGCATATGCGGAAGAGGTTCTACTAAAACCGTAGTAGGCGTGTCAGTGAGCCCAGGCGAGGTGGAACACCCTCACCTAAGCAAAAATTAGAAGCGTCTATCTATGAATCTATAATTTAACAAGCCAGCCGCTCCGCCGCTAGACCGCAGTGAAGATGAAAGACGGGCTCGATTTGTTCAGGAATCCCCAAACACTGTTCTCCTTGAGATTTTGTTGCTTCCACTGGTTCAAGTATGCAGGGAAAACGGGGATCGCCCCGCGCAGACTGATGTCATGCGAGGCGAGCACGAAAAATTCCGGATCCGCATCAAAGTTCGCGAGCTTCACGATCGAGATCTCCGAGGTGACTGGATCGGCGTAGAACGATCCCGCCGTGTCCGACACCGCGAAGAGCTGCTCCGGTCGCGAGGCGAGGTCGAATGCGCCCGAGCTGCTCTTGGGCGACCAGAAGTAGTCGGTGGAGATCGCCTTGGCATCCTCGAGCAGATGGGCGGGGCAGGGGTACTGTTGCTGGAAAGCGGGACGGGGACGAACCTCGCCGGGATGGTGGAAGGTGTCGGCACCGAGGACAATGAACGTGGACTTGGTGGTGCGAGCCAGCGCTGTGATATGGCCCGCCATATGCTGTTGAAATCGATGAGAGAAGACAATGGTACGAGATGCAGTGTCCTTACTCCGGGAGTATCCATGAGATAGAAACTGCCGTCCCCAAAATAGTCGATCGCTTTGAGCCCGTTGAAAGTCATCTTAGCCTTCGAGAAGTCGATCTTGGTCACAGTGCGGCCGCTGGTCGAGCGATCAGGGGGCTAGTCCAGCGAAAGAGAGGCGAACCAATCACTCACGCGAAATCCTCAGCCTTCAAGCTCGCGGTGGGAACTTGAGGGTAAGTATCCATGTCGGTCTCGGATCCGATGATCAGCTCGGTGCTGTTCGGGAACTTGGACATGTCTCCCTGGAACATGTTCAGTCGACGGAAATCAGCCGGCGAGGCTGCTTACGATGTGGTCGAAATGGGCGTGGCTGACAGGTTTTAGTATTGAATTCAACACCCGGAAAACAAGTGCCCCTCACCTCCAGATGACAGCGTTGATGGTGTTGAGAGGAATTCCGGCCTTCTTCAAGATCCCTGTGATCTCCCCGTTCGGCTCGTCGAGCTTGGCAACGAGTCCGGGAAAGTAACTGGCGACGGTGGGCGAAAAGTTCTGCGTGTCGTTTCTCATCCCCAGATCGAACAACATCCGTTTCCCGTTGTGCTCGATCAAGAACGAGAGCATCGACGAGGTCATGTTCTCCCGGCCTGCTGGTACAGGGTGCACAAAAAGCGCCATCGCGTTGGCCATTGTGGTCGTTCCCACATCGAAGACGCGCACGTTGACGGTGGCGTCCGACTCGGGGATTCCAAAGTCTCGGAACGACGCCCGTGCGGACAGTGCCAAAGAGAGGAGGAAGAGACTGACTGTGCGGAGGAAAACCATGGTGGAGGATCGTTTCGAACGTGTTGCATTTATAAGGGAGGCCTATACACATATGATCTTCGTCATTGGTCTCGTGCTCGTCATTCAGATTATTGAATCCGAATGTGGACTCGGCCTAGGCCGGTGTGTCCTCCAGCGTGTACAGTGCGCTCACCGAAGCCATCAATTGAGAAGCAGAGCGACCGCGCCTGTCGCAGAATGGCACATGACGATATAAGCGGCGCAGTCCATACCTTCCGACAGGGGAGTGGAGATGCTAAGATAAGAAAAAATACGAATACAGGCCATGGAACTCTCATTCGGCCGATAGGGTCAACCAGGCGACGTGCTTACCGAACGCCACCCATGCCCAAGTGCACATGTTGTGGAATGCGCAGTCAGGTCCCGGAGAGAATGGATTGGATTGGTCACAGGAAACAAAACGCTTGGGCATCAGCAATGCGCTTCAGTCGACAGGCCATCCGAGTTCGAAGCTCGGTTCTTGGCTCCATGGTTTCAGCATAGTCGAGTCATTCTGAGGCTTGCAGTTGTCAGAGCCTCCTCCGAAGCGCCTAGGCATGTTCGCTAATGAGAACGTCCGCCATGACGACAAGTCCTGGAGACACGGGGGTGTTTCAGGTGAGTATAAAATCAATGGCACGGATGCACGGAGGCCGTGCTCCCTACTTTGTTACACGATCATGAAGGGAACTGTGTGCGGTGTTGTAACAGCAGAGGGTGTTCACCTTGCACTGAATGGCGGTGCGGACGAACAGATAAAGATGACTAAGAGTCCCGAGAGGTCCAAAGAGTGGGAAGCCTGTCGGGTTTCAAGTCCTCGGCAAGTGACGTCGCCATTTTGCGGGGAACAAAGCCAATCACCTGACGCATCCGGTTCTTGTCGCTGGCCGTTATGACCAGCTTGCCTTCCTCATCCTCATTGCCACCCGCCACGCCGCCCCCAAACCGTCTTCGTCGTCGAGGCTCTCCTTCAACGCCCCTCAACCCCAGTGTCCGTTTCAGTCGATTCTTCACTTCCGTCTTGGGTTCACCGTTCCTGACCACGGCCGAAATATCCTCTCTACCCCCACACCTCGATCTCATAGATGGCGACGACGCTGCTGTGCTCAGGGAAGATACCGTGACCAGGCCGCCGTCTCCTGACACTGGGGAGCTTGCATTGTGGGGTTTCGAGGTGGTGCATCACGAGGACGATGATGGCGTGTGGGCGTTCAGGCGCTCGGCCTCGCCGTTCAGATCACTTCTTCCCCGCATCTGGGACGTTCTATCGCCGTCACCACCTCGCCGGCAGCTCACCATCTTCTCCAACCATCCGAACCATAGTGACTCTTCGCTCTGGAACCTGAAGTCTATTGACTATGCACAACTCGCGCCACTCGACGGCGAAGAAGGGGAGCTCATCGACGACGAAGCATGTTTCTTCTATCCCCCGGTCCGTGCGGTGACTGGAATTGGTGCGCAGCACTTCTCTACTCTAACTAGTCATCACTTACCTATTATCTACTGTCAGACATCCTCACTCTACTCCCGCCAGAGCTCTCCCTGCATATCCTCTCATTGCTGCTATCTCCTCCCGATATTGATCTGCGTGCTGCTGCTCCGACCGTACTTGCCGGCATCGCTGACCACAACATTGAAGCTGCCGTCTCGGTCCGCTCTCTACTCACGTGTCGGTCGGTGTCTCGTGGATGGGCACACCTCGCGTCGGACAATGCGGTGTGGCGAGCAGGGTACTTCAGTCGCTGGGGCGTCCCGTCAACACCGCATCTAGATGTCGCCAGAATGAAGAAACTACCTGCCCTGCCTCCGGACGAACCGGCGCTCAAGGCAGTCCTCGCGCCGCTCGCCACCGACTGGTATGTCCTATATCAGGCAAGACTGGAGCTTTCTCGAAGATGGGCGTCATCCTGTTGGGATCCGCGGGCGACCGCACTAGCTGGGCATACCGACAGGTGCATCATCTTCTCGTTTAGCCTGACTTTGGCTCACTGTCACTGACTAACAGCGTGTACTGCTTGGAATTTTCTGGAAAGCACATAGTCACCGGTTCCAGGGACCGAAGCGTGAAGATTTGGGGAATTCGGTCTGGCAGACTGCTGGGTACCTTGTCGGACGGACATGACGGAAGCGTGCTGTGTCTGAAGTTCGAAATGGCGGAGGAAGACGGTCGCTTGCGTGGCTCTCTCTTCACGGGCAGCTCGGACTGCACGGTTCGTGTGTGGGACTTATGGACCGAGAGTGCCGGTGAAGATGCACCCGTATTTGGGCAAGTTCGTGCAGTCCTTCGAGGACATACCGGCGGAGTGCTCGATTTGCGAGTAGCAGACAAATGGATCGTCAGCTGGTAGGTTCTTGGTCATGTTGCTCATCGTCCCACTTCTGACCAGACATCTGTCGTGCAGCTCGAAGGACACCTCGATTCGAATATGGGCCAGGGACACCTTGGAGCCTCACAAGACACTCTGCGGCCATGACGGACCTGTCAACGCTGTCGGGCTCGAAGGCCGGGATGGCAAGACGCTCGTGAGCGCCAGCGGGGACGGGAAGATGATCTTGTGGAACATTGCGACAGGAGATCGGGTGCGAACATTTGAGGGTCATGAGCGAGGGCTGGCATGTATCGAATACAAGGTGCGTGACACCTGATCCTGCCCCGCAAAGCGTGCTCATCCTTCTTCAGGGTGACTTGATCATCTCTGGATCGAATGACTGCAAGATCAAAATCTGGAGCGCTTCGTCGGGAGCTTGTCTGCGCACTCTGACAGGGCACGAGTCCCTGGTCCGCGCGTTGGCTTTCGATCCCTCGACCGGCCGGTTAGTCAGCGGTGGGTACGACCGGAGTGTGCGAGTATGGGATCTGTGTACCGGGCGCTCACTGCGCGTCTTCCGGGAAAATCATACCAGCCACATTTTCGATGTCAAGTTTGATGCGCAGCGGATTGTGAGGTACGTCTTTACCTCTTCCGGCGTCGAAGGGCATTGGTGATAATCCGTTCAATAGCACCTCGCACGACCAACGGATCGTTATTCTGGATTTTGCGCAAGGCCTTGATGTCGAGCCGAGCCTTCTCGTTTGAATTGTATAGTATGTGTATGATATTGTATATCCGTTTATGTACACCTGGACGTTTTGCACGAGTCTGTTTTTATTCGATTCATGGACGAGAATCTCCTTTCCGAGGCTTTCACTCATCGTGCTCGGTGTCGAGGCGTTTCGTTCTTCGTCGAGGGTTGGCCAAAGCTGGTTCGAGGACTGCTCATCGTGGAACGACACTGTCTTGTCCTGTTTCGAGCATTGACGTCCATCCCCGTCACTTTTGTGACTTGGTTATTGAGTACTGATTGCGCAGTACTCGTCTCATCTTTCCATTCATCGACGGTCTGACCCTAATCGTCTGATCGAATCGCCATCTCGCTTTCGAGTTCTCCACTCCATGTCAAGGCGAGACGGGAGGACCGATTATCATTTTGATCAAGTCAACGGGACCACTCTTCGTGACCTTTACAGCCCGAGATTCAGGCGTGATCATATACCAGACGTGGAGTTGAGCAATAGCTCTTATCTTTTCGCGGAACGTGATTGGTTCTAGTTCTGTGAATCAGAACTCAGTTGAACTTCTCGCTTTTATACATGACTCGACTAACGTGCATTCGATAATTAGTCAAGCGTATCTATGAAGGCGTCATTTACAGCTGTAATGTCGAATCCAGCTTCTGCCAGAATCAGCGGTTGAAGAATCTTGGTCTGCGTAAGCAACAACAAGATTGGTCACGTGATACCAGCCAGCTTTTTCCCGTCCGGCTGTAATGTTCACTAAGCCGTATCTCACGTCTTCTTGCCACAGCTAATCTCGGGTTAACTGTAAGTGTCAAGGTCGCATCTGAAGCCCGCACTTCCAGGATCCACTTCCCGATCATTGAGACTGGGAAAGATTCTAGGAAAGACTTTCGAATATTGAGCATACCACCTCCGACTCAGCGCATGATTAGGAACAGGGGATTCAGAACTACTTGAAATTGGGGTTTTTCTCGCTAAAGCTTGATCTCTTCGTGTGTAATCTCCCCTACTGACCACATCTCGACAGGTTGATTCGGAACCGCAACGTGCGTCATATCCATGTCCTTCCGAACCTATTCTTGCATGCTTCAGAAGGGAAGTCTGCTTGCCATTGACAATTATGTGTTGATGGTTGCGCTCAGGTTCTTTCGAAGCTTTATGAGTAAGAGAGCTGCAAGTCACGATATCTCTCCGGCTGGTTGGGCATCGCCTGTAGTGCATATGTATTTAAACAGAAAAGCACAGGATATGGCCAACCCACTGGACCGCCATGAACTCAATTTTTCTCTTCCTACTCCAGATCTCGGTTCTTTCCTCTGCTCTTGCCTCCTTCAGCGACTTTGGCATCCCCAAGTCAAACGCGACTGTGGACGTCCGGGCGTTCGATGTGGGAACCGCAACGCTCACCAACGAGACACACACGTTCTTCCGACCTATCCTCCCGGGACACGAATCGCTGGTGATTCCGCTCTTTGCGTTTCTCGTCGAACACAAGCGGTCGGGCAAGCGTGTCATGTTCGATCTCGGGATGCGCAGTGATCCGCAGAATTTCGCCCCAAGCATCAAACAATTTTTCACGGGCGGTGTGATGCGCATTTACGAGTCTAAGGACATCACGGGACTCCTCGAGGCAGGGGGGATATCGCCCTCGAGTATCGAGGCTGTTGTTTGGAGGTGAGTTTGTATCAGGTTGAGGCATTCCTCACACATCTGAATGTGTTTCAAGTCATGCACATTTCGATCACATTGTGAGAGAAGAGCTATTCTTTTTCAAGCTAATTTAATGAAACATTTCTACAGGGAGACATGTCGAAATTCCCGCGAGGCACTCGTCTTGTCATTGGCTCGGAGACGATCACAGAAACATATCCAACATTTGCCAATGCGACTCTCTTGCCTTCCGACTTTGCGTAGGTGCACAATGTCGTAGGGGTTCTCTGCTTATGTTTTGGACAGTGGACGCAATGTCACGAAAATAAACTTCAAAGCGGCCAAGCTGATCTTCGCTGGTATGAACGCGGTTGACTATTTTGGAGACAGCAGCTTCTATCTGCTGGACGCACCAGGGGTGAGTAGTTCTCCATAATATGGACCTCTTTCGAGATAAATGTCCACTCTAGCATATGCGGGGACATCTGATTGCTCTCGCACGCGTTACCCCGTCCTCGTTCGTCGTTCTCGGTGGCGACGCTTTCCATCATCCTGGGGAACTCCGGCCGAGACCGGCGTTGTACGACAAGTACCCGTGCCCCGCGCATCTGCTCACGCAGACCAAAACCGCTATCTCCACAGACTATTTCTGGTCACCGGATTCATCGGCGGGCAGCTTCGACCTCGCGTCTCGCGGCCAGCCGTTCCTCACTATATCTGATACGTCCGACTCATTTTACGCCGACCCCACCCTATCCCAGGTCTCCCTGGACAAAATAGCGGACTTTGATGCTGATCCAGACTTCTTCATTGTTATTGCCCATGATCTCAGCATGAGAGACTTTCTACCGCTATTTCCCGCATCTATCAACACTTGGAAGCAGGACAAGCTGAAGGATCGAGCGCTGTGGAGATTTTTAGATTCTTCGAGTCCAGCATTTCTCTTGGGATCTCTCAGATCCTGAGTTCAAGACCTCTTGTCTTTACATCCTTATGTTTTTGTTTTTGCAACCATGATCACGTGAATTCACCCACGCTTGCCTGATCGGGACCAAAGGCGTTGCAGAGTTTTATCATTGTTCTGGCACGGCATGAAATGTGCTCTCAACTCTGCAATTTCTCTAGAATGTTATATACTGCGCAAAGGTGCGACTTTATGAGGATCGAAGTGGTGTTGCTCACGAAATATGGCACGGGACTGCGGCTCGAAGGAGCCTGCACGTTGTCCGCTGATAAACTGGAGCAGCACCTGACTGGATTATTCACACATATTGGTAACCCTCCGGAGCTATAGACACCGACAGTGAGTTTGTGGCGCGGTAGTTGCGCATGGTTTCTTGACAGACATGACCTGGGCACCCGTGACAAAGCTCCAGAAATAAACAGAAGCTAAATCTGGATGACGTCTATGGCGACGCACGCTCTCATCATATGTTACCCACACTTCGATGGCAGATCAATCTGTTGCGAAACCCTTCATGATCGTGCTGTCCTCCAAATGGGATCATTCGTCTGGTCACCATCTCCGAGCGGATCCATAGAAGCAAGATGGATGGGCACTGCACAGGACGGGATGCCTGTGCGCTGATGTTCGGCGATTTGTTCAAATGAGGTCGCTATATCCGCACACACGTGGACGTGCATCAGATTGATCTGCAGGGCAATCACAGATCGGATCACATCCGCGACCGAGGCAGCATCTTTTGCACCGCCAGAGTTTTCGTGCACGCGCCCGCAGAAGATGCCCGACATCCCAGTGGGCACCCAGATCTTCGATTTGGTCTTCCACCCCAGTCAATCGACGGTGTACACCGCCCTGCTGACGGGCCATGTCAAGGCGTACGAATACGACAGCGCAGGGGGACACCGGCAAACGTTCGCGGTGCGCCCATCGAAGCGCTCCTGCCGGACGCTGACGGTCAACGAAGACGGCTCGCGCGTGTACGCAGGGGGGAAGGCCAAGTCCATCTTGTGAGTCGGCGTGCCTCGCGGGTGATGGGTTCGTGCTCGATGCTCATGTGTGCGGTGGTGAAGCACGGTGGATACGACGACGGGGGGAGTGGTAGAGACGCGTGCAGCAGCACATGAGTACGTGTCATTCCATGGGATCTACGTGTTATGTCTCTGGCTCATGGATAGACACGCAGAGACTCCATCAACCGCGTCAAGCATGTTACGCCGTGGCTAGTGGCGAGCGGAGACGACGCAGGCGTCATCAAGGTACGCGTAGACATCGTCCCATATGCACTCAGATGATGTATCTTCTCAAGCTTTGGGACCCCCGTCAACAAAACTGCATCCGCACGCACAAGCAACACTTTGACTACATTTCCGACTTCTTGTGGCTTCCCGACAAGCAGCACCTGCTAGCGACCAGGTGCGACCGCTTGCGCTCCTCCGAGGCTTAGTTCTGAATCCACCACCAGTGGTGACGGGACGCTCTCTGTGATGGACGTGCGATCCAAAAAGGCTGAGGCCTTCGCTCAGTCAGAGGACCAAGAAGACGAATTGCTCTGCGCGACGACAATCAAGGGGTACGGTGCGTCTATCCGACGATACACGCTGGAGACTGAGCAGAAATCAACAGTGGTGCGAAAGTAGTCGTGGGCACCCAGCTGGGCATCCTCTCCATCTTCAACCGCTCCAGTGGATACGGGGACTGTGTGGACCGTGTACCAGGGTGTGTCCCCGAGCTCTACTGCCCAAATCCGACAAGTGAGTAGATGAATGACGCGAGTCTAGGCACCCCGCGTCGATCGACACGATCACCGCACTTCCACCCGACTTTGTTGCGGCGTCCAGCAGCGCAGGGATGGAAAACACGGTGCTCACCGGGTCCTCCGACGGGCTCGTCCGTGCCGTGCAAGTGCTGCCGACGAAACTTGTTGGTGTCGTCGCAGACCATGGCGAGTTGCCTGTCGAACGATTGGCGATCGGATTTGGCGGTGTTGCGCTGAGTGTGGACAGTGATGCCGACGAGGACGACGTAGACGGTGGCGGCAACAGTAGCGGTCAGAAGGTCGGGAGTAAAGGGAAGCAAAAGGCGCAGGAGGACGATGACGAAGAAGGATCATCGACACAACGACCTGGAAGGTGGTGGGTCGGCAGTGTGGGCCACGACGAAGTCCTCCGGCTCACAGATCTCGATGCCTTCTTCCAGCATCCTGCCCAAGGCGAAGATGAGGAGGAGAGCGAAGAGGGTGAGGCCTCTGACGCGGGTTCAGACGGCGCTAGTGACGAGGGTCATGAAGCGGAAGAACAGGCCCCAGAGGATGACGCAGATTCCGATGACTCTGACGACGCTCCGACAAGCGACCGAAAGCGCAAGCGCAAACAGAAGGTGCAAGATCCTTTACAAGCTACGCGGCGAAAAAAGGGTCGGAATGAATTGGACGTGGAAGACGGAGGGTTTTTCGATGGCCTTTGAGCAGCAGGTGTACGAGCTGGTGCATGTGACAAGCAACGCGCAGTACCAGGGACGCCGAGGACTTCGCCAGCAAATACATGCAGTGTTGTTTCAGGGATCTATCTGGTCCCAGTCGTATGGTCGCGAGGTGTCGGCTGAGTTGCAGACGATGTCCCCTAATCTAAGCTTACCGAACTTGGCATCTCCCCCCGCTAGATGTGGGACCGGCGCCCCACGCCCAGCAACGATGACAGTATGTCGGGGAGACTATTCTTATCCTGACATGATGCGCGCTGAATCCTGAGAATCGCCGTGCGAGCGATATCTCGTCTGGTGATCAACGACAGAAATCGGGACGCAATCAAAGTGTGCGAGACTGAGTGTGCGAGACTGAATCGGCGGTGTTGCACCAGCAAGACCCCTCGGCGCTGATACGGGATCTGTGGCTCGCCCAGGCTGATTCGTACATACAGCGTGTGTGAAAGAAGCTTGGGACGAATACAAAAACGCGTTGCGACTTGACGTCCGAGTCGTGGGGCTGTCTCGCACGGACACGCAGATGCATAGAAGCAGGCCAGAGGGTAACCACTGCCCAGGGTTCGATCAGTCCTCCACGACCCCCAAGCAGCGTTGCCAGGCTTCGATTCGAACAAGATCTGGAGGTGAAAGATAGCGCATTCCGTGGGACGCGTACTATAGATATCCCGATCTTTGTGCCCGAAATGAGCATTAGTCGCAGCACATTGCCCCTAACATCCTGGGACGCGTGCAGAGAGCAAAACGAGGTACAGGCAGAGCGGCATTCCCCTCAGAGGTCGTCGTGCGTTTGGTCGTGATGAGGACGCGCCACAGGGCCCGCTGCGCACGGCGCAGTCTGTGCGGCGATCAAGGGATGATTTGCATGTGATTGATCGGAGCTCAGCGGCGTGCCAGCGGACTTTGACAGTGGCCCTGCGCTTCCTACACTGTAACGCGCACGTCGACGACCATCCATATCGATTCAACGCTTGCTTTCTATGATCGTCTCCAGATCGGCTCTCGGGCTAGGCACACGCCGGAGCCGCGTTTCCGCTCGTTTTCTGTCCAGCAGGGCGTCCAACATCCTCGCGGCGCTCGACATCACCACGAGCGGGGAAGTCCACGGCGTGTACGACGGAGAATGGAAGGGCACCGGGGACGTCGTGGAAAGCGTCTGCCCCACGACTGGAGAGGTTCTGGCACGCGTCAAAACTGTGGGTATCTGACGCCCTGAAACACTTGTGTGGAAACTAGACTGATGTGTGACCTGACTCGTCAGGCTTCGCCAATTGAATTGCACACCGCGCTGGAGAAGTCCAGAGAGGCCTTCGAGTATTTTCGCAGTGAGTCTACGACGGTTGTTCTTTGATTCAGGGTGGAGGGCTTTTCATATATCATTCCCGAAGATGTTCCGGCTCCTCGTCGCGGAGAGATTCTGAGGCAAATCAGAGAGGCTCTTGCGTCCAAAGTAAGATTTATATTGCTCATTTTTTCACCCTGGAATCGCTAGCTCACATCAGAACATCAACAGAGAACGGAGCTGGGTGCATTGATCTCGCTTGAGATGGGGAAAATCAAAACGGAAGGTGTTGGAGAAGTCCAAGAGTTTGTGGATATTGTCAGCTCAGACAAGCTCTTGGTTCTCCATCTTTCACCTGATTTTCATTTCAGTGTGATTATGCCGTAGGCCTTTCTCGTATGATGAATGGCCGTGTGGTCGCATCGGAACGTCCAGGACACTCCATTTTGGAAGGTGAAGTCCGATCGATCGTGCCTGATTTTGGATCTGATGTCCTGATGCCCCGCCAGTCCCCAATCCGCTCGGGGTCGTCGGGGTGCTGAGCGCGTTCAACTTCCCGGTCGCCGTCTATGGCTGGTGAGCAACGTTCTTCTCGCTTGAGCGCATCAGAGACATCGATCAACCAGGAATCTGTCACTTTCGCTGGCAGCTGGTAACGCGACTATCTGGAAACCCTCGCCGTCCACTCCACTCTGCGCCATTGCTGTCACCAAGATAATCAGTGGCGTCCTTGAGGCCAACAGTGCGCGTTCAACGACGCATTTTTACTAATTGTTTGACTTTCCGACTTCCAGACGTCCCTGGGGCAGTTGCGGGTCTCATCACAGGCGACAAGGATGCCGGCGAAGCGATCACTCAGAGCCGCAGCGTTGATCTTGGTATTTACCCGAATCTGCTTCAAAGTTTTTGGTCTTTAGCTTACGACTGTCAGTCTCATTCACTGGTAGCGAGCACGTGGGCCGCATCGTCGGCAAGACTGTGCAATCGCGTTTCGGTAAGCTGATTCTGGAGCTTGGAGGGAACAACGGCAAGTCCTATATACTCATCTGGATTTCGGGGCTTACTTACAGCCCTGTCTAGCCGCAATCGTAATGCCTGATGCGGATCTAAAAATGGCCATTCCATCAGTATTTTTCGGAGCAATCGGGACTGCTGGCCAACGCTGCACGTCCACTCGTCGGCTGTATCTGCACCGCAAGGTCGCTGACGAGTTTTTGGAGCGTTTGGGAAAAGTGTACTCTTCTGTCAAGCCTGGTGATCCTCTGGACGATGCGACGCTCCTCGGTCCCCTGCACACGGCTTCTGCTGTGGGAATGTTTGAAAAGACAATTGATTATCTCCACGACACAGATGCGGACATTATCACGGGCGGAAGGGTATACTCCTCGGACCGCCAACCGATGGGATGCGATGGCAACTTCGTGCAGCCCACCCTAGCCGTGCCGAAGGATGCAGATCACTCTGATATCTTGTGGCAAACGGAGTGTTTCGCGCCGATTTTGAATTGCGCGGTGTTTGATGAACTGGAAGAAGCCATCCAGTGGAACAACGCGGTACCCCAGGTGAGGACTGCATGTTATTTGTGGTCTTTTCGAACATACTCACGTGTTGTTGCTAGGGTTTGTCCTCGAGCTTATGGACGCGTGACATGAGGAATGTGGGAACATGGATTGGGCCCCGCGGGTCTGATGCTGGAATTGTGAATGTGCGTGGAATCTCTGTTTCAAGTTAGCTGCCGCTGGTACTGATCTTTCCAGGTGAACGTCGGTACGAGCGGTGCCGAAATTGGCGCAGCTTTCGGTGGAAACAAGGTATGGACCGGATATATATCGCTGAATTTGCTGACATTTGCTGCCAGAGTACGGGATGGTGCGTGTTTCGTAAGCTCATGTTCTAGGCACCCAACGCCTATGCAGGGGTCGTGAATCTGGCGGTGACGCCTGGAAGCAATACGTCCGGTGGTCTGCGTGCACAAGTGAGTCCGATGACGGGTCCGATGGATATTCTGACCATTGCCCAGTCAATTTCTCGGATGCTGCTCCCTTAGCGCAGGGCGTGGACTTCAGTGTTTGAAATGGGAATGAATTGGACGACTGTACTGCGACAACAACGCAGTTGATGGGATCACGGAATCAAATTGATCAGCATTAGCCTAGCGATTCCCCTTTCAGCATGATTTTTTGATACTCGCAACGTGCATGTCCTGGGTCCTCTGTGTCTGGTCGATAGCACTGCCTTTTCCCCCTCGAACAAGCCTAAACACGCGACCATAGATGCAGTCCGTGAGAGCAGTGATGTGCTTCCCAGACAACCACGGCATGCACATGTTCTCGTCGACATGTCGCCAATTCTGATCTGATCGATTCGCGTATGCCCGATCGGGAACCTCAGATCATTCGACGTCCCAGCGAAACACCAGATAGGCTTTTAATCCCGGTGGAGCACCAGGCGTCACTGAAGTTCCTGCCCAGTCTTTGTTCCTCAAACACTCCTCGTGCTTTCCCCACTCTGCGCACATCGCCGCAACCCATCATCCCTCCATGGCTGCTCATGCAGACGACCTGCCCTGGCCCGAACTGGGCAACGTTTCCCGCGGCGCGACGCGCGGCAACCAGGGCCAAAAAGGTGTCCTGGGACCGCCCGATCGCGAGGGCCGCTGTGTGCTCCAGCTGCGCGTCCAGCCCGGGGTGCTCGCGGTGCGCCTGAACCGCCAAGCCAGCGACTGGTACCGCATCCTCGACAACGAAGTCAATCGCGCGCTCAAGCTCACGAAGACGTTCTGGCGCAAGGCCCGGCGGCGCCAGGACTACGATCCGCGCGCGGACCAGGACCACATGGAGCTGCACGAGTGGCTCCAGCAGCTCAAGGACAAGACGATGTCGCATCTCGAGCTGCTGATGCAGAAGGGGGACATCCTTGGCCCCCCGTACACGATGCCCGATGACGTCGAGCTGACGTTCCTGCGCAAGTTCGTCGAACGAGAGGCGGCGGGGATAGCCCATAATCCGCGGCTGCGGAACGGCGGCGCGCCGCCCGGCGGGGAGCACGGCGCAGGGCCCAGTGGGTACCCATCTATGCGCGGCGAGCCGACCTCCGCCGGCTCTTTGTCCCCGGAACCATCGGAGCGCGTCTACATGGACTCGAAGGGACACACTGGGCTCGGTGCGTGCGGGATTTTCGTGGGCGGATCTTCGTGCTCATCGGCCTCGCCCCCTCCAGATCACCTGTCCGAAGCCCGTAATTCGGGATCGCCATCCCTTCGCAACGCGGAGTCGTTATCTCACGAGGCGGCAGCATCGAGTAAGAATTACATTGATTTCTCTGTGATGGATCCTCGCTTACCGCGGCCCCCGCAGAACAGGCACTCCAGAGTTGTCGCGCCGCGTTCGCCCGGGCGCAGAAAGAGACGCAGGAGGCGTTCATCCGCTACCAGGCCTGCCTGAGCGCCGAAAACCAGGCGGGGAACGCCGTTGCCGCTGCAGAGAAACGCCGGGACAATTGCAGTACGGCCCGCTTCTTGTGCGTTTTGATCCTTCTCTCATGCCCGTGCAGTGGGTGCTCTTCTGTCTCTGAACCAAACTGTCGGTGCGTTCTGATGTGCTCCTGCTTTTTCTGCGCCGGAGCTCATGTCCCCGAAGACAGCATGTCTAGGCACTCTTCAGTTTCCGGCGACGAACCCAGCCCCAGATACGATGTGAGAAGCACGATCCGCGATGTGCACCATTTTCTGATTGTATGTAGGACTTCCGCGGCGCAGACAACATGTCGATGCGGGCCATACCAAACACGAAGCCCATGGCCTGGTCGGATGTTTACGGAGAGCCTCAGACGCACCTGGATGTCAGTCTCCCGGGCCGTTCCGCAGATCTGGGTCGCTGATCTGCTCTGTCTCATTCTAGGACCCGCACAAGCCCAGAAAACGAACGTGGGAGCACAGCCAGCAGCAGCTGCAGGGCGGGTACCACAGCGATGCCGATTACCCGCCGCCTAGGGCAACCGAGGTGTACGACAGCGGTGCTTATGGATGCCAGGTGCGTCACATGCTGGCTGGACATGTGACATGCTTTGAGATATTTCTCTCCCGCAGGACATGGCTGGCCTGCCCCCGCCCAGAAAACGCGTGCATCACATGATGCCCAACTTTGACGTCTTGGGCAGCGCGGCCATGCAGCCCAATGGCATGACGCTGCCCTCATAGCCTGCGCCCGCCGGCATGTAAAGCTATTTCTGTTCCCCCGCGCATTGTATGTAGTTTATACCCTCCCTGCCTTGCTCTGTCCCTTGTAGCAGCTCCCACGACTTATATCCTTTACACATGAGCTAGTTTGTGCCCCCACCCGCCCCGTAACATAGATGTATTTCCGACAGCTTAGTCGTACCGTAACATTATCATCCGATGTATCCTTCGTACATGTGTGTGCTACCCCACCCCAATTTTAGATTCTGGTGCGTGTTCCTGGAAGATATTTACATAAACACGAGCCAGCATCAATGTTTCACCGTCTACGCTCCCGTAAGCCTGGAGATAATTTCCTCGACATCTCGACATATAAACCTCGAGCTGTGCCGCGATGCTGTCATATTTCGTGAACTGATCGATGCATGATCGTCTTCAAACTGTTCGCTTTCCTCAACCCTGTTGAGCTCAGAAAGATAGGGATGCACTCAGAGCCTGATCTCGATCCGACAAACGGTTTCTCAGGATCAGGCTCGCATCTCGAGCTTTGCTTCCGAATGTCGCGATCTTCAGGCTCAGGGACCTGAACCGAAGGTGCATTGCCACCGATCGTGATCGACACGCCACATCACGTGATGATGTGAGCGACTGCATCAGGCACTCGTGACTTGAAACGACGCGAGTGCTCTGAGGGCTGAGATTGATGCAATTTTTAAAGAAGCATGCAAAATGCCGCCTCTGTGACAAGGGATTAGTAATAAGCAAGGACAGAACCAGGAGGTCCTCGCCGATTTTACATAAAGATGTTGAGGCTACGTAACACGTGTAGATTACTTATATCAGCGTAGTTTGCCGCGGGAGAAGTGATACTGCGCTATCTCCGTGCTGTCCTACTCTTGTTTTTCAGTTGAAGGCGCTGGCTCACAACATCATTGACTGCTCTTTGCCGACTCTGGTCTATAATCAGACTGCAGCCGCCCATCCTCAGCCTAATGACACGCCAGTAAAGTTCGCATCTCCTATGTCCTGTTGCCATCTGCCAGAACCCTGGGACCGATAACGCTGATAAGGTCCACGCGCCCGCTCTATCGACCGATCAAAAGAAGACGCGCGACGTCACGAATATGTCACGCGTCCGACTTCCTGGAACTCCTCATAACGATTCCCAAGCACGACATGTTATTCCCCACGGACACGCTCCAACACCGCCCGCTTCCGGAATACCGCGATGATGTTCGACCGCCGAGTGCTGCTCGCCGTGCTGAATCTGCTCGCTGCGGCCGACGCGGTGACCAACTACCAGGCCCAGGGCAAGCACGGCGCCGTCGTGTCCGAGGTTGCCGAGTGCTCGGACATCGGTCTCAGCATGCTCAAGAAGGGCGGCACTGCCGCTGACGCCGTGAGTCGTCGTCGTGTTTCGGCGCGCGTGTGTGAGGGGCTGACTGGGAAATTGTTCTGAACAGATGATCGCGACGTCTCTGTGCGTCGGGACGATCGCCGCGTACCATTCGGGTATCGGCGGCGGTGGCTTCATGATGTGCGTTCTCTCCACTGTCGAATCGACTCGCCCAGTGTTCTGAAATGCTGTTGCCCAGAATCCGCTCCCAAAAGAAGGACGGGCCGGGCTACGAAATGGTGTGTCCCCCTCGTGCACGCCTTTGTCAACCAGACATGACCGTGCCCAGATCGACTTCCGCGAAACGATGCCCGCGGCAGGGAACGAGACGATGTACCTCGCGAACGCCACCTCGCAGCTGTACGGCGGGCTGTCCGCCGGCGTGCCCGGTGAGCTGCGGGGCTGGGAGGCGCTGCACAAGGCGCACGGGAAGCTGCCGTGGAAGTCCCTCTTCGAGCCGGCCATCAAGCTCGCGCTCGACGGATACAACGTGAACGCCGATCTCGCCGCAGCGATCAACCCCAGTGCGTCGACATCTCTTCGGAGCTCGTCGGACCAGACGCTGACTCTCCCTGCCATCAGCGAGCTATCCGTTCCTCGTGTCCGATCCCCTCTGGGCGGAGACGTACGCGCCCCACGGGACGCCGCTCGTCGAGAACCAGCGGGCGAAGCGCAAGCGCTACGCGAAGACGCTCGAGAAGATCGCGAACCACGGCGCGGACGCGTTCTACACGGGCGCCATCGCGGAGCGCACGGCGGCCGCCGCGCAGCAGAGCGGGGGGATCATGACGACGGCTGATCTGGCCAACTACACGGTGATCAACCGCGTGCCGGCGAACATCACCTACCGCGGCAAGTATCGGATCTTCTCGACCGTCGCGCCGTCGTCCGGCTCGATTGTGCTGTCGATCCTCAAGACGTTCGAAGGCTACAACGGCTCCGCGCAGCTGACCGATCCGGCGATCAACGACACGACGCACGAGCTCATCCAGGCGACGCGCTTTGGGTATGCCGTGCGCCAGAACTTTGGCGACCCGGCGTTCACTGCGAACGTGACGACCATCGAGCAGGAGAGTCTCACGGAGCAGGCGGCTGAGCTGTTCCGCTCGAAAATCGACAACATCACCCACCCGATCAACTATTACGGGTTGACCGAGTTCACGTCGCTGGAGGAGCACGGGACCAGCCATCTTGCCGTCGCTGACCAGTACGGCAACGCGATTTCGCTGACGACGACTGTGAACTTCTTCTGGGGCTCTCGAGTCATGACTGAAGATGGTATGTCTGATCTCCGGATCCAATGCGGCAGCAGCAGGTGCTGAGCCACGTTTACAGGTATCATTCTTAACGACGAGATGGACGACTTTTCTAGCCCCGGCTCTGTCAACGGATTCGGATTCCCTGCTTCGCCCATCAACTTTGTGCGGTAAGTCCATGTCCGTGCCTTGCTCCTAGATAATATGTCTGACCTCTGTCCGCTGCAGACCCTTCAAACGACCCCAGTCCTCGATCTCCTCGTCGATCGTCGAAGACCTTGACTCGCGCGAGTTTGTGATGGCGACAGGGAGCGCAGGAGGCAGCCGCATTATCACAGCCACTCTGCAGCACCTCTACCACCATCTCGACCAAGGCTACGACGCGCTGCAGTGCACCCATGCCAGCCGGTGGCACGACCAGTTGACCGGGCTGACGTACTTCGAGCTGCCGTACCCGAATCTCGGCCTGCCGGGCTTCAGCAACGCGACGATCGCCAACCTGGTCGCGCGCGGCTACAACGCCACATACGAGGACTCGACCGGCAGCACGGCTCACGTGATCGTCAAGAAAGACGGCGTGTTCCAAGCCGCCAACGACCCGCGCAAGTCAGCAGGTGGACCGGCAGCATACTAGATATCTAGGCGTTCGTCGATGAAAAAGTGTGGCCAGCGTAGTTGTCCATCATTATAGCATAATTTATTCAGAGACGATTTGATCATCCGCCCATGAGCTCGACGTGAGCTGGTAAAGCTATGCGCGCTTGAGTAGCGAATTCAGTCTGTGCTCGTTGGGATACATCCGGGTGCAAACAGGCCTGCAATCCCACGCGGCGGAGCGCGGGAAACAGGAGGATCCAGTCCAGAATCGATTGCGGGTCGACATAGTCCTGGTGCCCCGACAGAACCAGAGTATTCACGCGTGTCAGCGATCGAGTCACATCCTCCGAGATATCCCTGAGCCATGTCCCCGATGGGATCTGCAGGACAAGCAGCTGCGAGCCGCGATGCCTCGCGAGCAGGCGCAGGAACGCCTCCATCATGGCGCCGTCTGCCGCGCCGGTGATCCGCACAGAAACGAGCTCAGGAAACACGTCGGCCGGCGCAGCGAACAGGTGGGACGCGCACAGCGCCGTCGTGGTGATGTTCCTGATGTGGCGCAGGGTGGCGTGCGGGAACGGCGGCGCGGTCGGGACGGTGAGCGGGTCCGGGTAGTAATACAGCCGTCGGAGCGCAACGTGTCGGGCGAGGAACCCATCTAGGTCCCGTGCATGGATCCGCGGCTGATCGCACTCGGGATCCATCCGCACGATGGGCAGAGTCGCGAACGAGAGGACAGGCAGGATCGCGGCCCACTCCTCGCCGTCGAGCGGCGACGACAGGTCCACCACATTGGGCCAGTTCGACAGGTCTGGATTGGCCACCGCCAACGTCCATTGCGGGAACTGCGCGGACAAGGGCGTCGAGAAGCGCGTTATCTGCACCGACCTGATCGTCATCAGCGGGAACACAGAAAAGCACCGCCCGTTGTGCTGCACGATAGACGTCTTGGACCGGGTCGTGCGCTTCTCCGGCAGGCCCGCCATGGCCTCGAGCAGCCCGGAGAAAGAGCTGAACAATCCGAATCCGTTCGCCACGGGCGCGTCGTCAGAGTTGAAGGCGTATCGGTCAAGCCGCCATGTCCGGACGTCCCCCGCTCTCGCGGTGAACACGTCGAACCCCGCGAAGACCACGGGCTCGTCTGGAGACCGCCCGAAGGAGGACAGCGCATCGCAGAATGCGGCGGTGATGTCCCGCTGGGGGTTGAACGCCTGCGTGCTGGCAAAGTCCACAGAGGATAGTAGGTCGCCCCCGAAATGCAGGTGCACGTCGGTCAGTGCGTGCCGCGCGGCCAGGCGCTTCAGCGCCCCGAGCTCGTGCGGGCACCGGCTGCGCCCTGCCTCCGTGCGCATGTCGAAGGCGCAGGTCAGGCGGTGGATGGGGGGTGGGTCCCAGGCCATGTTGAGCAGGGGCAGCACGGCAGAGGAGATCGACACTGAACCCGGGAGGAGTTTCGCAGGCTCTTTGCCCTCGTTGGACAGCAAGACCGCCAACGCGAGAGAGTTGAAACGGCGGCATGTTTGTAGTAGGGACACCAGCTCTGTGCGCTCGAGAAACGTGAATATCTGTATCCATAGCTCGTTCGGGATGTCGAGTGGGTCGATTGGGAACGCCACCGGGATGACGGAAGGGGGGTAGAGCCAGCGAGAGAGAAAGCCCGACATGGGAGGGGGGAACTTGTGCGGAGGGTGAGCACGACTCCAAGTAGTCTGGACACTTTTGATCGGACTCGGACTGATCCCTCGTTCTCGTCTTATTTACCATGAGCGGCTGGAACTTTGGGCTCAAGCCCGTTCCGCAGGTCGCGCGGCCCTTCGAAACGACAGGGCAAAAATTCGGCCGCAAGTGCAGAGAGAACCCGTACGTTCCGATATGTAAGCTGAGCCCGACGCAAATATCATCCCGCCTCCCTAATCCTCCTCGTTCACCCCCAGGTGGTTTGCTCACTGTCGGCAACCTCGTCATGGCGATAGTCAGCCTCGCGCGGGGTCAATCACTCAGAATGAACTACTGGCTGCGGGGGCGCGTCGCCATGCAGGGCCTCACGATCGTCGCTCTCGTCGTCGGCGCGTCGCGCATGGGCGAGCTCGACTGGGGCCCCGACCGCTACCAGCGCGGCGTGCACTGGGATCTGCGCCAGCTGCTCGCGCAGGAGGAGAAGACGTTTTTGGCGCGCAAGAGCGCCGCGCAGTATGCCGGGGAGGCGGAGGACAGCGTGTACGGCAAGGGTGTCCTCGCGCGGCACAGCGAGGCTCTGATGGGGCAGGGCCGCGACAGCGAGGCCGGGAAGGAAGAAAAGGGAGCTGCGACGTCGAAGAGGAGAGGGTGGTTGGGGCTCTCTGGTTCTTCGCAGGAGTAATAAAGATACATGCGAGCTTTCTCGGCACCGACTCTGTATTTCGACTATATGATACACCCTCCCCTCCTTCTATCCCTATTGCGCAAGCAGAAGCCCTCGCTCACTCAAGAGGTGCTAATTTGACCCAAGTCTACGCCGAACCTGCTGGCTTCTTGGGCTCCTCCACTGCCAATTTCCAGCCTCCAAAAAGTTGATTCACCGTCGCACTTCGTCTCAGGACAGCAAGATCTGCGACTGCGTCCGTATACAGCGTCCGGATCTTGTCTGAGTCTGTTTCGGTCTGTGTTTCCAGTTTAGCAAGCGCAAGGGCGAGTGGCATGCGAACGGACTTGTATGGCTCGGAATTTGTCCTGCGTGCGGCGCAGGAAGTACGTCCGGAAGTTGTAGGAGCTGAACGAGCGCGATGTGCGCAGAGTCTGGGAGTAGAGGCTCAGAATGGATCTGCGAGTGGGTGGTGTAACCATTGTGTGTAGAGACGATGGTTGAGGGACTGGAAGGAGGTCTGAATGACGCGGTCCGATAACACCGATCACGTGACCCGAGGGCCGAGGTACTTGAGTCATCCGAGACTGGGCTGAAAGTCGGTCCTACAGGTAGATCACTGGATGCTGTTGTACACGATGCTGATATGATACACAATTCGATTGTACAATAATTTGACCCTTGTATGGATGCATATCGAAATAAGTGATACGTGGTCGAGATCACAGTCTCAGCGTGAAGTCTTCGTCGATCAATTGGTCGAGCTCAGTCCAGACGGAGCCCACACTCCTCCGAGTCATTTGTTGTCCAGAGAAAGCCGAGGAGGTGGACATCTTGGTTACCAAGGTCTAGAGCAGCAAATCAGGAGCAATGGACGGCAACTGGTTACTTTCGTTCGACTGACCTGTAATGAGGACTGCAATGCTTCAAATGTCGCTCGCAAACTTGTCACGTCCGTATTGTCAGGAAGTTGTTTATCAAGCGTCGTCGTCTGAGCGGAACGTCAAGGAGTGAATAAATAGATAGATGCCACCACTGGCACCGCACCCGCAAAACGATCGTCTTGATCTTCGTCAAGAAGTCCTGGGTGGATGAGAAGTCCGGCGTGTGAGCTTCGTTCTAAGATGCTGATTCAGTCCCGGACGAAGTTCTGATACTCACACTCACCAGGCGAACGTGTGCACTGTTCATCCCCGAAGTCAAAGTGCCGAACTGGCTCGTGAGGATTTCCAATGCACCCTGGACCTGGTTGTTGGTGAGCCACTGCTCAAAGTTTGAGGGAGATCTGAATGACACACCTGGCTGGGAGGACTGTCAAACGTGCTGAACAAGTCGCCTGCAGACCCGGTGAGGGAGACCAGGATGTTTTCGACATTGTTGAGCACCGGTGTCAGACTGCTCAACGTCTCCGATAATGTTACGGGGAGCGGGGCAGCGCTTTGTCTTGTTTCTTCGCTGCGAAGATCCCTGGACACAGATTGGAATGTTTCGGGAGGGGACAAAGCGCTTGCTGCTATTAAAGGCGGGGAGAAAAATGCTCCTGCTGCTCGCAATGTGATAGGGCTGGCCAGAACGCCATCGAGAAGGAACAGAACAGAGAAGACGACTTTGAACATCCCGAAAAAGGAACGCAAAGTGTTCTGAAAGCAGGAGGGTGCGAAGAGGTTGGAGTGTGAAAGTAAGACAGAAGACGGTCACTTATACGGTCTAAAAGTGGACTTGGATACGGGGGTGCTCCGCGGATGACTGAATCAGGAGGATGTGATTCCGCCGCGTGGCATTGCGGCAACAAGGAAGCTTGCGATATGTTTTGAAATTTCGAGAGAGTTGGAGATTGGGTGGGGTAAATGTTTGATGGAGACAAGGTCATTTGCAACGTCATCTGAGCGGTCGCCGGTGGAAGCATCGACTGCTACATGTTAAGCCCGGGCAATCACTCGGGGTGCGAACTGCTGATTCTGAAGACCTCGGTTTGAACTTGACACAGGATGGATGATCGATGAGAGGGTGAAGTGGAGCTCCAATGAATCAGCACTGAAGCTTGAAGGACTATTTGAGAGGTGGCCCAGTGTCATCACGAGACACATCACCACGCACGTGCAACGTCGTGCATCGCATCACATCAATCCTCGGACGTGTCCACCCCCAAACCTCTCCCCCCACTCTTTTGCTTTCGTTTGCTTTCGTTTCAATTTGCTATCGACCATGTTTATGGAAGAGCTGAAGGCCTTTCGGAGGCTTGGTGTCCGCCACGTCTGTTGAAATGTCCTCGGGGATGCCTTCGACTGATGTTCTTTCGCTACTGCAGCTTCTTCTCCAAGCGCTCAATTTCGCGTCCGTCATTGCGTCTGGCTTGATGATATGGAAAGGTCTTGGTCTCCTCACCAATACTGAGTCCCCATTGTCGTCGTTCTGAGGTTATTACACGCCACAGTCCCAATTTCGGCCACTGATTTGCTGGCAGTGGTTCGATGGAGCCCGCGTTCTACCGCGGAGACTTGCTTTTCCTCACCAACCCGTCCCATGAACGGTACCAGAACGGCGACATTACGGTGTACAAGATTCCGGGCGCAGACATCCCAATTGTCCATCGGGTGTTAGAGACACATGATGCTGTATTCAAGTGAGTCCACAATTTGCTTCTTACCTCTTTCTCAAGTCTGTTTGTCTTTCCAGAGGGACGTATGCCGTAGATAAGCAGCGATTGTTGACCAAGGGCGACAACAACCAAGTCAACGACATCGAGTTGTATCGAGGATTGGACTATCTGGAGCGCAAGCATATTGTCGGCAAAGTACGAGGGTGTGTATCAGCATGTCCTCTTTCTTCTCCATCGCCTCATAGTTCCACCAGGTTCCTACCGTATATCGGATATGTGACCATCGCAATGGTGCGTCTTTCTCAATTCTCTTGACTGCCTCTCAATATGACGCAGAATGACTTCCCTCAACTCAAATATGCTCTCCTGGGGGGATTGGGGTTATTAGCTCTCATCCAAAGAGAGTAGATGCGTAGAGATGGGATTTATTGTGTATTATATAGCCTTGGTTTTTGGGTTCTTGAGCCAAGCGCCATCCTTCCTCGCATCTGGTGATGAGTCCTTGACTAACACAGACCTTCGGCCCAAGTACTGTCATGACTGTTCGCTCAAAGCCGTTTTGATGAGCTGATGACCTTTTGAACCGGATCCGTTTTGTTGCCCACCGCGATCACCTGCAAGAGAGGAGACATCATCTCTTGTTCCGAATGATGTGACTGCATCCTTGCAAGTATCCACGACTCACACGCAGCATGGTAGCCACGCTATGGATTGGTTTGGGAAACATGGGACGGGTGAGCCGATCTGCAACTCGGACCGTGACAGAACTGACCGCTGGCGTGCAGGGTATGTGCAAGAACATCGTGGAGAAAGCCAACCTAGACGGGCCTCTGATGATCTATAACCGATCGATACAGCGCGCAGAAGCGCTCAGCCAGGCCCTGCCATCCGGCAAGACCGAAATCGTTGAATCGATCTCAGCAGGGGCGGCTAAAGCCGACGCAATCTTCATGTGTCTCGCCAACGACACGGTCGTGGAGGCGACGATCGAAGAGATATTCAAGGCCGGCGGTGTGAGCGGCAAACTCATCGTGGACTGCTCGACTGTGCACCCAGATTTGAGCGACCGTCTCGGCAAGCTGATCGTGGAGAAGGGCGGGGACTTCGTCGCGGCGCCGGTGTTCGGTGCGCCCGCGATGGCGGACTCCGGTATGTTGATCGGCGTGCTCGCTGGGTCCGCAAAGGCGATCGCACGCGCGCGGCCGTATTTCAAAGGCGTGACGTCTCGCGTGGACATCGAAATGGCGGACGAGCCGTATCACAAGTCCTCGCAGCTGAAGCTCATCGGCAACTCGTTCATACTCAACATGGTCGAACAGCTCGCCGAGGGGCATGTGTTGGCGGAGAAGACCGGGCTCGGGACTGCGCCCTTGACGCAGTGGATCGAGGCGATGTTCCCGGGACCTTACACCGCATACTCCCATCGCATGCTCAGTGGGGACTACCACACACGCGCCGAGCCTTTGTTTGCCGTTGATATCGCGATGAAGGACGCCAACCACATGAGAAGCATGGCGAAAGAGGCCGGGATGACTCTCCCCAACATCGAGACAGCATTGGCCCACCTGGTCCAAGTCAAAGAGCATACAGGACCTTCCGCCGACTTTGCTGCTATATATGGCGCAGTCAGACAAGAGGCCGGCCTGAAATTTGAAAACTAGACCTGTATCCGTAGCTCGAGCTCATGTATATTGAATCAACGAAAGGAAGAACTGGACCCAAGTGCTGCTCAGGACTAGGGATGGTTGCGAATATCATACATCGACAATCCTCCAAATATAACATTCCGTACAGAGTGATAAAGTATATTAATGTTCCACACATCTCTACCAAACAAGCCATTCTCCGTACATATTCGGCCGCTCGCCCCGAACATAGGCTTCGAATGTTCTCTTGAGCACCGCAGCCCAGTCCAAGTCCAGCTTGTCGTCCCCTACAGTCTCGGCATCGTCGACTCGGAACTCTCGTCCCTCCGCCTCGGCAGCCGATTTCCTCAGTGCTGTTTCACCAGCAGAGAATTGTGGCCCCAGGTCTGGCCAGTTGCGAGTCGGATCGAACGGTTTCCACCTACAGGAGAGAGTCAACAAATTGATTGATATGATGGATTGATAACATACCAGAAGTTGTGGAAATGGTACGAGTAGGACCCTTTGAAGAATCCATTGAATCCAAGCGCCTGGGGCGAGGCGCTGTTTTCCATTGGTGTATCGAAAAAGTCACTGAACCTACAGAACACGTCAATGTCAAGCAGGGCGAAGAGAACCGTCGCATACTCAGTGAAGTACGGCTGTGGGGGCCGATCCCGTTGGTATTCCTCAGTGTTCAGCCAGGCCGCGTCGAACAGGGCATCCGGCAGTCGGAGCAGTAGCCCTTCCAGATATGCGTCCTTCGTGTATCGGGATACAGACATCTGTATTGTTTCACAGTCAGCGCCAAGGACATCGCCATTTCCATAACCGATACCCACCGGATGGAAGTCGAGCCCATTCTTAAGCGCCGTCCGGAATAGAAAGGTTCCAAGCGCTGATCCTCGGTTCATTCTCAGCACAGCTGTGTTGTACTTCTCCAGTCGAGACCAGCGATATGCAAAGGCTGATGCGACGTGAGCCAGATTAACGGAGAGAAAAACACACAGACACGTACCTCCTTTCCAGCCCCACAGTTCCTCCCAATCTCGCAGGAGGATAGTGTCGGCGTCTAGATAAACTCCTCCGAACCGGTGGCAAAGCACGAAACGTGCCATGTCACTCAGAATCACAGAAAGTCTGTCATACTCAGACGACGACTTTGATCCGGTCCGGTGGAGCATGTCAGTCGCCTTCGCTTTGACGGTAGTGTTGGCAACACCCTCTCCGTCCTCATCAACTTCTGTCTCTTCTGCCTTCTCAGGCTCCGGGACGCTGATGATGTGTCCGCCCGAGTTGAAGAGAGTATCCCGAAGCGCGCGCCAGTCATCTGCGATCTCCGGTACCCCGTCCAGCTGCTCCGTCGTGTTCCACAGCTTGAACCGGATCACATCTTTGAAACGGGGATGCAAGAACGGCGCGGCCCACGGACTGGATTTCAGCTGCGCGAACATGTCGTGAAGGGCATTCGGATTTGGAATGGAAGCTGCGGGACCGGGATTGATCCAAAGCCAGAACTGCGGTCGGCACACGCTTGACGGCGGATTCGGCGCGTGCAGACCGGTGTTTTGGGTGAACAAGAAGGAAAGCAGTGCGAGATACGGTTTGTCGGTGAATGGGCCCGTCCAAAACATGTGATACAGCCGGGGGTTGTCGGTGTCGCATGGCTCCGGGAGAGAGGCAGAAGGTCGATGAGTCAGAGTCGGCGATAACTTGAGAGGAGGCTCCCATTTCGCGCCAGACTTGAGTACAAGACCGGCGTCTGGGTCGTCTGACCGTCCGACGACAGGCCTGTAGATTGGAACTTGCAAAGGATCCTGATTCACCACGTGCCGGGTCGTGCTTGTGGTGTTTTCTTCCATATAGATATACTTCCAGTCCTCGAAAGAGCCTCGGCGCGTGCGTTGCCCGTTGTCAAGACCAGCTCCGACTCGTAGAACTTCTAAGCAGTCACGCACATACTACACAGCATCAGCGGGCAAGCTTAGGAATACCACCGGAGACAACGCACCTTGCCCTGAGAGAAGTCGCAGTGCTTCATAATGACATCCAGGTCAGCAACACTGCCTGGTACAGGCCGTGGAGGATAGGCGACATGCGGAGGAACACTTTGCGGACTGAGGTAAGTTCGTTTTGGACCATGGCCGATGGTGTCGGTGTCAGCACTCAAGGAGCCGGTCGTAGGCGGGCGATACCGTGAAGGGCTCACGGTACGTGATTTTGGGGGTAGTGCAGGATTGGGTGGGGATTCGAGCAGCCCGACTTGCTTTGGTACTATAGTGCGTCAGCGGTCAACCAAGGCAACCGGAGGGTAGTAACGCACTGCTTTCGCCACTCGGATAGTGCCCACTCGCAATCTCCCACTTCCACAGCTTCTGTAGGTCTTCACGACGGAAGACCAACGTTGACTCCTCCTGCGAGAAGCTCTGCTCTCCAGGAGATGACAAACCTCGCGAGAATAGAAGGAAAGTGGTGCAAACGAGCCCTAGACATACGACTACGAATAGTAGTGAGCCTCGTTGGCGGCGGAAGCGTAAATTAGGGACGAGGATGCGAAGCCGTCTAGTCTCGACTCCGGGAATGGGAACAAGGATAGGACGCGTCCATGCGAGCTGAGGATTGGCCCGCTGAAGTTGTTCTTTTTCCCGTACAGCGGATGAGTGTAGCGGTAATGGCCCGTTGTGCCCAAGCAGCGGCATAAGTCGGACCCGGGGAAAGAGACGTGGTCGTAGAGGAAAGTTTGATCAACCAAACAGTGACATTTACCCCTAGATCAAAGCTCGCAGAATGTTGGCCTGTGACTGACTTCAATACACGCTTCAGTTCTCAGCAATTTCTAGTGAGGAGCTTGCCAACCCGAGTCAGCGCTCGGAGGTAGAAGTTCAAATTCGAACACTCGATAGCAAAAATACGTGCTGTCCATAACTGACTGATGGACGATCATCTGCTCATGATGATATCACACTGGCAGGTCAAAAGCTAGCTCAAATCGCGAGCCGTGGGGGACGAGCCGATGTTACCGTAAAAACCGTATTCTGTAACAAGGCCTTTTGAACACAATCCCCAGTGGCATACCATTCCATAACAGTTTGACAGATTCGCGGCATAATTGCCCAGGCTACTTGACAACAGAAGGGTAGAACACAGTGATTATGTTCGCCGTGATTGGAATTCCTAATGACCCAGCTGGAGCAAGCAGGTGGCCATCAATTTCTGAACGTCGGTGTACAATGAGCCGAGGACCTGGCTCTGCGTGCTGGTCAGCACCGAAGTATCGAGTTCAGGGACCAACGTCTGTAGAAATAAGAGATGAGGGACAACCTTTTGAGGGAAGTGGAGAAACTTACTTGGAGATTAGACTGGACGCCAGATACCGCAGAATGAAGGCTTCCCAAGTTGGTTCCAGTGGGCAAATTGGTGGCAAGCGATGTGACCTGTAACATACGCATGAGCAACGAAAGCGGTCGCGATGGGAGAAGAGACCGACCTGGGGAACAAGCGTCTTGAGTCGAGTGAGCAAGCCTCGGACCAGGGGGAAAATCTGGTTGGCTTGAGTGCTACCAGGGATGTTGGCTGCACTGCCAGGGATACCATTCTAGGCGGCATAAGCAGGGTTCTATGGGATAGAGGGGGAAGTACATACCAGTAGACTGTTGGTATTACCGAGACCGGTTCCGAGAGTCGACAGCTGGCTGACGATACCATTCAGATTACCCTGGGACTGGGTATCGCTAGGTCAGAATAGGATGAGATACAAAACTGCGGAATCACCTGGCTGGAAAGTCCATTGAGGGATCCGACGGTGTTCCCCAAGCTTCCGACGCTGGCAAGCAGAGAGGTAGTCAGAGTTTCGATGTTGTTCAGGACCGGCGTGAGGCTGTTTAGAGTGCTCACGACGCTGTTGAGGGCGTTTGTGATCGCAGCCGTCAGCGCCGGAGACCCGCCCGAGGTCAAGGAAGAGACCGACGCAGCCAATGGGGCAGGGCTGGCAGCCGCGGCAGGGGCTGACGAGCTCGGTCCCGCGACAACCGATGAGGCGCTGGGACCACACTGGAAGACGGTGACGGTGGCAGTCGTCGTGACCGTCACGGCCCCGGATCCACCCAGTCCCAGGAAGTAGGGACTGGCATTGGTAAGTGCAGATGCGTCCAGCACGAGGAGCAGAGCAAGGATATTTTGAAACATGATTGGATGATGGTTGGGTCGTGCGAGTCGTGAAGGTCGTGACAAGTCGTAGAAGGCCGGGAGAAGCTGGTCGAGCTGAGGGTGAGGCCACAAATGCGAGCCTTTTATTCACTTTGGGTGCGGATGAGCAAGACACCGCCGCATCGGGCTGGCTGTTTCACGGATGTCTGAGGATCATGAGTGTGTAGATTATCCGCGAGTCAGCTCCGCAGCAGCACCACCCGGTGGTAAGGGTAGATTATTTTAGCACGAGGGAAGTGGTCGCGGGGAAGGATGCTTCGCTTGGGCACTGGCAGATACTGTTGTGCGGGATTTTGCTAGCAAAAGAGACTGCTTCCGAGCCGAACATCATTTGAAGCAGCTGCAAAGCGGAGGACTGAGACTCGACGTATGAGGGTCGAGCGGATGCTTAAACATTACAAATGAAAGGGCCGGATAGTCATGTGTGAAACCAACCGGGAATGGAGCGCTGATCAGAGTTGCCGATTCGAGGTGTTTTCCTTGACGTGAGATTTCTGAGTCGGATTTGAGACAAATCGTAACAGTCATATGGGATTTTTGAATCTTCGGGGCTTCAGGGACGTGCAGGAAGACTGAATGCCGACTCCCGAGCGTGAAACTGGATAAAAGATCCATCAGAGATCATCTGACTTCCGAGTAATACGATCACGTGTATCTTCCCACAGACAGTAGTCACAACCTGTCACAACTCGTTCGGGCCGTATTCCCAGCGCTCATCTTTTGCACTTGGCCCGCTCATTCAGCGCAAAATCTGCGAGCGCTTACTGTGGGATCGCAATCTGCGTCTGCCCTCCTTGGGACTGCTTTGATTGGAGTCTGACATCGCCTTTGCGATTCCAATGTGGTCACAGCATTTCAATCCGTTGGGCCTCCGTCTTGATTGTGAGCGGCAAAATGGTCTTGCTGTCTGCTGTGAGCGCGTCTTGACTCCTTCAAAAGTCAGGCAGCTGCATAAGATAGGCGCTCCCCATCCTCTTACCTAGACTCATTCTCTCCTCGATTTCACCCACCCTACCGTGCTTACCGGTTACTCCATCTCCATGCGTTCCAATTTGGTTGTCTCGATACTTGCCGTCGTGCTCTTAGCGCAGCAATCCACGTCTGCCTTGGCGCAGAGACACTCTAGGCACCTCGTCCACGACTTGCGTATTGCGTTCAGTGCTGTTTCCAAGAGGAGATACAGCAATGATGCTGTGTCCACACAGCAGGTGCTGTATTGCAAGAACTTACGCCTCGGGTCGGGTTTGCAATCGGCAAGCACTGGGCATATGGTTACCGCTCAGTCATCCAGCTCAACGGCCCTTGCTCTATCCCCTACACCCGCAACGAGTACGAGCAGCAACGGTCAGCCAGCCAGTACAACCATCCCTGCATCCAGTACGAGTGTGGCTGGCGATCCGGCATGGACGCTTGTACAGACATATGTGCGTGCGGAACTTCTTGCGTGTGCACAGCCCTTGCTCACTCTGCACCAGACGGGCTCGACATTCTTCGACGGCTGGCAATTCTGGGACAGCGCCATTGACGGCCCGGACCCCACCGGTGGCGCAGTGGACTATGTCAATCAGGCTGAAGCAGTTCGTCTCGTCAACTGATCCATATTGCGCTGTCATCTGAACATGCTCAGCAGATGGCTGGCTTGATCGAGATCAACGATGCTGGAAATGCTATCATCCGGGTCGAAACTACACCTTCAGTGGTAGCTAACCGAAAGAGCATACGGATAACCACACAAATGGCATTCACTGGCGGGCTGGTTATCATGGACTCGCTTCACATGCCCGCAGGCTGTGGAACTTGGCCGGCGTTCTGGTCTACGGGCCCCAACTGGCCTGCAGGTGGAGAGATTGACGTGGTTGAAGGTGTCAACGATATCCTTGAGAATCAATCCACGATCCATACTTCCCAAGGCTGCACGCTCCCGAGTAACGACCCGGCGCAACTGAACACGACCGCAGCTGTTGTCACGGCCGATCTCAATTGCGTGGCAAACCTTACTGAAACTGCCGGATGTTGGATGCAGTCGGGATCAAATGTGTCGTTCGGGGCAGGATTCAATTCCATCGGAGGTGGAGTCTATGCGAGTACGCCTCTGATTCCATTCTTGTTACTTATCTTGATGTTGACACACTTTGACAGTGAAATGGGACTCCGAGGGAATTTCTGTCTGGTTCTTTCCGCGCTCGATCATTCCCTGGGACATCTCATCGGACAACCCGGTCCCGGGCAGCTGGGGACTGCCTGTTGCACACTGGCCAGCGTCCACATGCAACCCAGAGCAATATTTCTCCGCACATTCCGCCATTTTCAATATCAGTCTCTGCGGACAATGGGCAGGAACAGTCTGGGGCACCAGCTGTGCGACGTTGACAGGCTTCCCAACCTGCGAAGCATTTGTTGCGCAGCAGGGCGTGTCGTTTATCGAAGCTTGTAGGTTCCCTATCTATCGCTTATCTATTCAGAAATTCTGATCGGGGTCGCAGATTGGGAAGTGAAGAGCCTCAAGTTTTTCAACTTGACCTCGGTCTTCTGACGCATGTATCACATACAATGTACATCCGTAGAATCGTGCTCGAATAGGACACTCGCGTATTAGGAAGGAGGGAAAGAAAGAAGATCAATCTCGTGTCATACAGTATCACTGAGGTTGTTACAACACAGGTCCTCACGGCGCGACGTATACACGTCAAGGATCGGGGGGTTTGGAGCTGCGAGGGAGCGCCATTCATGCTGATTGCGCTATCCTTGATTGGTGCGCAGATGCCCCGCATCTCCGCAATTTAGTTCCAAGGATCCCTCCCACAAATCAATGATACTTACTAGATCCAAATATGATCAACTTCGATTGCCACGTGATGGGATGCCATCTTTTTGCTCGTTCCTTCTTTAGACTTTTATCTCCAGTCTCCGGTCCTCGTCGTCGCACACTGACGTCTGCCGAGATGTTTCGGTATCTCCGTCCAAGGCCGAAGGTGAAGCAGCTTTGATCGATTCTTCCTTTACGATCTCGACAAAAATCCCGCGGAAGCTAAGAAGCTCGCTCATCAGAACACCCGACTTCCGAGTCCGAAAGTTCCGAGCCTACTGAATTCACTGACGGATCCTGAAGGCTGACGGATCTCACATGGGAAACCCCATTAGGCTCGCTGCGACCTGATTCAGACAGAGCGCTCTCGGCTTGGTATCAGATTTCTTCGGTTTTTTTTGGGTTTTGATGGCTCATCCGTCGTTGCGGATCGCGGACGAAATAAATAAATCACGAGCGAGCGACGGGCGCTTGGTCGATGGAGAGGGATTTTTAAACCCCCTAATGTATCTTCCGTCCGGTAACTTTCGGAACGTCCCTTGGAATCTGCCGAGGAAACTCCCCACCGAAAGTTCCGCCGGTCCACAACTCACGTCTCGAAGGTTCAAAAGGGGTAAAGACTTCTTTCCCATGTTATTGAGCTAAGCGGGAGCCGCCGACAAAGTAGATCAATCACTGGCGAACAGGAAGAGATGGGAAGTTACGACGTCGCTTCGAGCCGCTATGCCTTCTTAAACCCAGACTTCGTTCCGGACAGTGGTTTCGACCTTGATTTGATTCCCCTGGTACCCTCCCCTCCCCGCTTGCCCTCGCAGTCAAGGATAACGCTGAGGTGAGCGGACCGCCCGATCGGGCTTCTTCGACATGGACTGACTGACGATAATGTCTCCGCGAATTCCTCTCCAGTCACTCTCGCGACCCTTTTCGGCACACTCCATCTAGCCCGCTTTCCATCTCGATACCGGGAACACCAATCACTTTGTACATACACTCCGAACATGTCCAGCATGCCGCATCAAGCACCTCCCTCGCCGTCAAGCTCGTCCGACTCTGATGGCTCTAACAACTCAGGCTCGACTGGGCCGCACACGCCGGTGACCCAATATGTGATGCCGACCTTCATGAACTACACTGGCGAGGATGGAATGCCCAATCTCACCGGTGGAGGCGTGAAGCGCACGGCAAAGACGATCCGGCGGGTCAACACTGCCGAACGCCGCGCGACGCATAACGCGGTCGAGAGACAGAGACGGGAAACCCTGAATGGCCGCTTTATGGTTAGTGCGAGTCGTGCGCTTTAGATTACGTGTGGCTTGATCATCTACAGGACCTAGCCGGCCTTCTATCGAATCTGAGCCAGATGCGGCGTCCTTCCAAGTCGGCGATCGTCAATTCTTCGATCGCGCATCTGAATGCATCGCGCCGGCACCGAACACTAGGTGCAGCGGAACTGCGGGGCATGAAGTCCGAGTCCGATGCGCTGCGAAACGAAGTCAATGAATGGCGCTCGCGGGCCGGCATGCCTCTGCTCGAGGAACCGGCACGCTCCGATGCATTTGGGCTGGTGCTCTCTGGGGAACTCGAGTTTGAGCCCGGCGACATGTTGGACGGGAACGGGGAAGAGGGCGAGCAGGACGACGAGGAGATCGGCGGTGTCTACGACGGCAGCGGGCGCTACCCAGCCTATCACCCTGAGCAGGCGGCGCACTACGCCGCTCTTGGTGAGCAGCATCGAATGGCTGCAGCTATGCATCACGCGCAAGCTCCCTATGTACACACCCCCGCTCTCCCCGTTTCCCGCGCTGCTTACCACGGCCATCCATCCGCTCATTACTACGACATATCTTCTCCGACGATCGTCACTCAAGGTCTGGCCCCGGGCGTTTACGAGAATCCGGCGGCCAGTGTCACTTACGAAGCGCACCGTGAGTGGGAAACTGTGTACGACAAGCAGTCCCACCTGCTCCAGCATCCGGGGCCGCGGCACGCGGGTCAATGGTGAAGCAGGAATGACTGACTTTCTCTCGGACTTTCTCTCTCTTTCTCAGCACACTCCTTTATTTAAGTATTTACGCTACTTAGACTTGTCTTCTGCGACACCTCTGGGTCCAGCGACCTCTTTACAAGCGTTTGTAGCGGACGTTTGTTGTTGTATGTACATCTGCGTCCCGACATCTCGCCGGGGGTGAAAGCCTTCAGTGTGCCACCGATCCCCAGTTCGTGCAGAACGTCGGATGCTTGTCCAACGTGTCAATCTTGTGGCAACTTGCAAAACATGATTCACTCAGCCAAGGAACGACCAGAAGAAGGCGTTCTTTTGATCACAGGGACAGCCCCCAGATTGGCCTGTAACCCAGTCGGGGACCGGCTCAGCGGATGTCGATATTAATAACATCCGGTTGCGACCGTCGGGGGTCGGCTGGGCCGCTCGTCGATCTCGCCCTGCAGCAGCAGTGGGATCACCGAACAGGAAGAACAATACGTGATATGGTATGACCAGCGTCACCTAGCAGCCCTCAAGATCCTGCTCGCAACATGGCTTCCGGTCTCCTAGGCGCCGAGGTCCATCCCGGCTTCCGGCCTCACGCTGTCAAGATTGCCTATGGCTCCGACGGGCTGGAAAGCTTTACTTAGCCATGGCGGATCCGAGGGCTTGGTAGACATGTATCAGGTCGTCTGGGCAGATGAGACGGGTTACGGATGCCAGTCGCAAATTACGGAGCTCAATTCAAACTTTTCTGCGTCAATTTTATCGGGCAAGTTGTAATGCTGACGCTAAGTAATGGAGTGGAAATGAAGGAAGAAAAGAAGGATGGTCACAATCGCGGCACCGATTGGATAATCTTATCTATCACAGCCACTGTCGTCATTGGCGCGAACAAGTCGAACGTAGCGTCACAGTGTGTCCAGCTCGCATGGCAGCTACAATCACTCGATTCTCAATCGTTACTCTTTTGCTGTTTGCACTCTCTATTGCAATCGTCATCTTCCCCTTCTATGTCAAAGTTGGGAACAAGAAGATCCCCATCAACCTCACCACTGCGCCGATCCTCGTTATAGGCATTTTATGGGCGTCACAATGTCTTGGAGCTACGCAAATACGAGATGGAATTGTAGGGACAGGTGAGCCGGTCTATCTACTAGCTCTCCTCTGTTTCGTGACGGTGCTTCGCCAGCCGGAGTCAAGCCCTATAACATCCTCATTCTGTTTTTCTCCCTCGCATACATGGCCATCACTTTGGATATCAGTGGAGTGCTGCAAGCGGCTGCATTCTGGGTCTCCAACAAAGGTGGAACCCGAGGGCGACGTCTCTACTTCTACTTCTATGCTCTGATCACGCTGCTGAGCATCTTTGTCGGCAACGATCCAGTAATCCTGTCGGGCACCGTGTTCCTCATCTACTATACGCGCACTGCGGACGTCCATCCCGTTCCATGGCTGATGGCGGAATTCGCATCTGCGAACACCGCCAGTATGGTGCTGGCTGTCGGCAATCCCACCAACGTTGTCATATGCGAAGGATTCAATATCCCTTTTGCGTCTTTCACGTTATACACGGTACTCGCCTTCCTTGCATGCAGCCTGTCCTGCTATGTTGCTCTGGCCCTACAGTTTCGCAAGGACAAGCACGTCCCGCACCATCTACGGCCGGTTGGGACGCTGGATGCGAGACAGGCTATCAGGGACCCGATCTCGGCCTGCGTTGGATCCATCCTGCTGTTTTCGTGCATTGTGGTCATCCTCGTGGTCAGCTTCTTCAAGATCGACGTATGGAAGATCAGTCTGCCGTTCGCGGGGGCCAAGTTCCTCTTCGACTTGGTATGGGACTATCTACGCAACAGGCCACTGCCTGTAGATCCGAACGAGAAGCCCGCGTCCTGGAGAGAAACTCTTTCTTCTCGCTTCGTGACAGTGTCTACCGCGTTGCCCCGGCTCCCGTTCGGGCTGATTCCCTTCGCCTTTTCCCAGTTCATCCTCATCGAGGCGCTGGCACACCAAGGATGGATCGATGTTTTCTCCCGCTGGCTTGTGACGGCGTCCGGCCGGTCCATGCACCCGACGATCTGGCTCGTCGGTGTGCTCACCGTGCTGCTTTGCAATGTGGCTGGCACCAATATCGGGGCAACGATCCTGATGACGAAAGTCGTCAGCCAGGCAGGGCTTCCGGTGCCCAGCAACCGTGCAGCGGGCGTTGCGCTCGCCGTGGCCAGCAACATTGGCGCTGTCAGCTTCACCTTTTCGGCGAGCCTGGCCGGCCTATTATGGAAAGCAATTCTGAAACAGAAAGAAGACGATATCGCTGCAGAGGAGCGGCTCTCGGAAAAGTCCGAATCCGAGCCATCCTTCGCGGACCGCCTGAGCATATCGCAAGTGCTCTTCGCAAAGTGGAATATCCTGCCCTTGGTCGTAATGACCGGCGTCGGCCTCGCTGTTGTCTCGGCAGAGATGGCCGTGCTGTATCGTAAATAGATCTCGGGGATGGCAGCGATAGGGAGTAAAAATGAGGCTGAGATTGTCCTGTTTTTGGACCCGTACTTACTCGGCACTCTTCCGCAACTCCCAGTATCGCGTAGAAAGTGTAGAAATATGATTGGGCTCCAAGATTGAGATAGCGATAGGAGAGCTCTGGGGACAATGCCACTCGGGCTGAGTCTCCACAGCATTGCCATCCCGTGACCGCGTCAGGCTGATCACGCCATCATGGTCCTCGCCGCCACTCCAGCCTCATGCCCTCCTCTCATCGATTTCTGGCACAAGTCTTGACCTTTCACGAGCACAGATTACAGGTAGAGGGGCACGCCATGGCCATTGCTCGGAGCCTTCTCTTTTGTCTCTACTTAAGGTGACAGCTGTTACCGTTCCATCAACTGCGAGGCCAAAGCGACTCGAGTGCTTTCCTTTGTCCTACAAAAGCGGCCGCGACAATCTTTTCCAGGAATTCTCCCCTCCCCTCCCTCAATGTCGCATCTTCGCCAGTGCAATGCTTCAACTGCCATACGGGCTGCGACGGCGCCGACCTCCCCACCCACTCGAGCATCTAAAGCGCCCGGGAGCTCCAAACATGTTTTATACTTTATCGCGAATGGGACAATGCCATGTGTCGGAAAGGGCAAAGAAAGGGCAGCGGAAGGCTTCCCCCTGACCTCGAGCGTGGATTCTCCCGGTCTAGTCTCGCCTCACACCATTCTCAAGGAAGCGCGTAGAGGGAGCATGGCGGTGCCCCGCAGCGTCCCGGGCCCATTCATGTTTCTCAAACGAGTGCAGTCTAGCCTACATGGAACTATGATCGCGGCGAGGGAGCTGGATGACGCGTGGCTCCGCGGTGAATCCGGTCGGATCGTATGTATGAAGGTCTTCCGAAAACGAGCGGCATACAAACGAGATCTGTACTCCGGCATCGTACAAGAGATTCTGGCGTACAGGAATTTGGCGCGCGCTAGTTCGCGAAATCCCGGACGCGCTTTCGTAATGGATCTCGATGCGGCTTTGCAGGACGAGACGAGGCTGTTCTTCGTCATGGTTCGCACTGACCCGCGGGTTGCCATGTGTTTGACGGCTAATTTGGTTCGCAGGAACTAATGGACTGCGATCTGCTAGCTGTTATGAATGGACACCGGTTTCCCCGGCGGAGCAATGCCCCTCGGTGGATTTGGCAAATGGCGTCGGGCATATCTGCTATTCACGATGCCGGTGTTATCCATCGAGACATCAAGCCGGAGAACGTCTTGGTTGACCCTCAAGGGAATGTGCGGATAGCTGATTTTGGAGCTGCCTACGTGGATCTAGTGGCCCATCCGCTGGATCCTTATGACTGTTGCACAAGTGATGTCACCGGGACCTGGTCTTATATGGCGCCTGAAGTGCTCTTCAACCGCAAAAAGCCGCGGTGCGAGCGCAGACCCTACGGGCCTCCGGTGGACTACTGGTCACTCGGATGTGTTGCATACGAATTGCTTTCGGATGAGGCTTCTCCCTTGTTTGCTTCCGAGCAGGACATGTGCGCATTTTTGACTTGGCGGGGCCCCGACTCGTTTCCTCTGCGATGTGGCCTTGACCAGAATGCGCAGTGTCTCGTGTCTGGGGCAAGTCTGCAGCTTTGGCCCAGTAAGAAAACTGACAGTCTGCAGCTCACGAACATCGAGGCTTCAAAACGATTTGGTATCAAGGATCTGCGCGGGCATCCTTTCTTCTGTAACAAGGACCAGTAAGTGTCTGTCGTACACAGCGCTTGTCATATCCTCAATCAGCGTCGATTTCAGGGCCATAGAAATCGATTCCGTCATTCGCCCAATACGAGGTCAGCGCCATCTCACTTTTCCCGCTCGTCAATTCTAACCCGGCCTAGAGCGCAGGCGATTGTCTCATATATTTACTGAAGACCCGCAGCTGGGCGAACAACATCGCGAAATCTTCACTCCTACCATTGAGGGGGAGCATCCCTTCGAGCATTTTGGCTGGGTCAATCCAAAGGGAATTTGGGCAGACTTGGTGACACATAGACCACCATTGACTCGTCCATGACCCGTCGTTCTGACATTTATTCATCCAAGCTAAGATTGCCGTGAATCAAGTTTGTATATATGTATCGTAGCACGTACCATGTTTGTCCCTGACTAGAGCTTATCTAAGCATTGTTCAGTCCTTTGTGTGCTCAAGGTCTGAGCGGCAAGGAAGACGCACGATCACAAAGCTATTGATGAACTTGGTACTATGGACACAAACAGTAATCCAATATCACAGTTTGTCTGGGTCACAAGTGCCTCACAGGGGGTGGCGGTACAAGTTTGTACGTGTTAGCGCTCCTTTCCAATAAACGCGATGAGCACGACGCCCGCGCCACGACGTTCTACGCGTGAGCGGAAGAATGTCCCCGTCGTGACTCCAGGTAAGCTCACGGTCCTGCATACGCGTATCTTTCTCATGCGTCCGACCCAGATGACGCGCTAACGAAGGGCAAACGAAAGCGCGCGACTAGTGTTGACGAAGACGAAGACGACGAAGACGACGACCCGAAGCCTAGGCGGAAGACAAAACAATCTGCTGCTGCTGCTAAGAAGCCACGCAAGACGGCGCGTAAGGTGAAGGAGGCTCAAGACGCGTTTGATCCTGATGAGGCCGCGAAAGACTCCAAGATCAACGCAGACAACCCGCTCTTTAGTACGTGTCGTGTTTTTCTCGTCGATTTTGCAAAGCAGAGACTAACGCACGCGAAAAGACGCGATTCTTAATCCTGCCGCCGCCCTGCAATCGACAGCTGAAGACTTCCTCGAGTCGTTGGACCAATCTCCCGAGCTGGCATTGGCAGAGCTCGTCAACCTTGTCATGCGAGCATGTGGGTGTAATGAAACTTTGAGCGCAGATCAGGTCGCCGACTTCGACGGGATCATCGATACTCTAGACGACGTGACGGAGGAGTTGAAGAAAGTCCGTTGCCACTGCTCTAAGCAATTCCCGTACACTCACTATACACACAGGAGCAATCTCTTACAGCATATCCACTCACGTCGAGGCTGCCAGTCTTCAAGAAGTTCCGAAAATCGTTGCACGAGTTTCTTGACCGTCTGATATCCTCGGCGGCCTCACTGGGCTTCCTCTATAAATCAGAAATGATTCCGACGCTACAGGCTTGGGTCATTGCCATGTCCAGCTCCAACATCCGAAGTTTCCGACACACGGCCACAGTTGTGGCTCTGGAGTTGGAAACCGCGCTTTGTGAAGTGGCTGCTGCTGTTGAGAAGGAGGCAGAGTTGAATGCCCGTCAACGCGAGGGAGAGAAGAAGCGCCGTGCCGGCAAAGCGGCGGCCACTGCTCAAGACAAGGGTGCTCTGGACAGCAAGTCCACGGAAATCCGTGCCCGACGCGATAAGCTCAAGGAGTTCATCAAAGACTTTGTGGATGGGGTGTTCATCCATCGTTATCGAGACTTGGACCCCCTCATCCGAGCGGACTGCACACTAGCCTTGGGCGAGTGGTTCACGAAACATCCTGCTCATTTCCTCGATGCTGCCTATCTGCGATACATTGGCTGGGTTCTCTCAGACAATGCAACGCCTGTTCGCCTCGCTGCCTTGAAAGCGCTCACGGGGGTATACGCACAGCCTACATACGCTCCTCAAGTGCACCATTTCACGGAGCGCTTCAAGGGGCGTCTGCTCGAGATGGCTGCACGCGATGCGGAGCCTGCCGTGCGGGTGGCTGTTCTTGGTGTGCTGGAGCAACTGGGCGCGACCGCATTGGAGGACGACGAGCGCGAGCAAGTTGCCTTGTGTGTATTCGACATAGAACCCAAAGTGCGGCGTGCCGTGGGCGGATTCGTGCGGACGTGTTGGGAAGAAGCTCTGGAGGAGCGGCTGATCGGGCATCAGGGGAAAGTCACGGATGACGAAAAGGCCAAAGCGGGTGTCAAGGCATTCGGAAGTGTGCTGGTCCGATGGGGTCGTCGTCTAGATGCAGACGAGAATGGAGAGCTGGACGGATCCCAGGCCGAGAGCGACAGCGGAGAGTCTCGTCCAGGGAGAATCAGCAAGGCCCCTGGGCACCTTTCGGGAACATCCGCCGAAGACCGGATGGGTCGTGCAGGGATCATCGTCGAAGCATTGTGGGACGAAGTGGATGTTGTCAGGGATTGGGAGGCGGTGCTCGACGTTCTGCTACTAGATCACTCCTCAGCAGGTGATGGTTCCGCTCCTCGCAAGGGCAAAGCAAATGGCAAGTCCGCTGCCTCTAAGCGGACTGACGACAGCGTGATTGACGAGGCATGGCGGTTGGACGAGGATGAAGAGACTGTTCTCCTGGAGGTCTTTGTCGCCTGTCTAAAGTATGCCAAAGAATTTGTCAAGAAGGTGAGCCCCCAGACACGTCCGTCCTGGCGCACAACTGACCACTTGCAGGGCAATGAAGATGCGATAGCTAATGACATCACACGCGAACTTATCAAAGGCCTACCCCGACTAATTATGAAATACCAAACTGACCAGAATCGCATTGCGAATGTATTGACGATACCCACTCTACTGAATCTCGATCTCTACCTGGAGATGCGAATGATCACGGTGCGTGTTGATCTAATGCAATATGTGCCGCATGCTCATCGGAGCACAGAGCTACGCGGCTCTATGGGACGACATGATCAAACAGTTCTTGTCACATTCTTCTCCGACGGTCCTGAACGTAGCTGTTCAGTCACTGATGTATCTCATGACGGCGACTTCGCTGTCGAACACCAACAACACCAAAATCCTTGAACTCGAGGATGAATTATCATCGGCCCTACATGCTGCTGTCGGCGGACGCGATGAAATCGAGGTCGCCACCTTCGATGAGGACGAGGTGATCGCCCTTGCAGCACTATGCGCGAGATTGTCTGTGCTGAGCGGCTACCGTGATCTGACTGGCTGGATGGAAGAGGAGGAAGACGGCAAGCAAGCCAGTGCGCTGAATATCTTCCACGCGCTTGTTGATCGCGGGAGACTCGGTTATAAGGAGGAGGGATTCGTAAGTATCGGTGCGTGCACTCGGGCTCATCTTTGTCTGATTATTTTGTAGATGATCACTCAAGCACTCGAGGTGCTCACAAAACATCTTTTGTGGAAGACAAAAAAGCTTCGACCTGAGGATGACATGAGTGAGGAGGCTGTGGCTTACCGCGAGAAGCTCCAGGAACAGCGAGATATGTTTTTGGAGAAGCTGGTCGAGTACTCGGTTGGAACTCAGTCGAACACGTCCGAGGCGGTCCAAAGAACGGTAAGTGGCTGCCTTCCACATTCACACCATGCACTGACCATGTGTTTCTGTCAATAGGCCTTCATGTGCCTCGTGAACATGTATATCCTATTTGGCGAGCGGATGTCCATCACGCTGGACGACGAGGTTCAGTTCCGTTGTGCAGGATACGTTCAAGCGCAAGTGGAGCGATACGCAGAAACGTTGGATAGTGACGACGCCGAGAAGCCCAGAGACGGTATGCAGGTTGTACCCGAAGAATTTATGTGCATCTAACATGTCGTCAGTGGACCCCAACTCTACATCACAGCTCTTGACAGAGTATTCCTTCATCGAGCTCATTGTCACGTTCCTCCGCGCGATCAAAACCGGTGTGTTGCATGTGCGGCATACTGCCATTCTGCTGCCCCATTACGGCCGACTGGGCAGTACATTCGACCAGTTCATCAAAGTCATTGTCGATTTGCTCAGGGAAGACGCGTTGGAACAGGACCACAGTGACGTCGTTGTCACAGTCATCAACAAGTCCTTGGAAGAAGTGAGTTGGTCGATTGTTCGAGTATGTGTGTGATGCTGACTTTCACGAATAGGCCTTTACGATGGTCTTGGACGAAGTCGTCGAGGACGAATCGAACGTGGTGCAGCTGGCTAAACATCTGGCGACCACCTTCACCCTACGGGGCGCACATCTTGCTGTCTTGAAGCGCATGGAGGTTCAGTATATTGTGCAGATTCAGACGACAGCCTTGTCTTGGCTTGCCAAGCGGATTGAGGGCTACGAGGCCAACGAGAACAAGCGTGGTTTGAAGATCGCTACGACGTGCTTCCGAGCGCTGGTTCCGCTGCTATCGAACATACAGAGTCGTGATGCGATGAAGATGTGAGTATGAGCGCAGTTGATGTATTGGATTGATCACTGACAGATTGATTCAGCAAAGCGCATCTGGATCAAGTGCTTGCAGAGGCGAGTGTCGAGCTTTCCTCGACGTCCAAGATCTGGGAACCATTGCGAGCGTATGAGAAAAGGCTACAGGCGATTTTGAATAAGGAGAAAGGTGTGTGATTGCTCGTCAATTATGACGCGCGAGGCTTATCAGTACATGTAGTTCCTGGCACGAAAGGCCGCAAGGTCAAACTGTCGAGGGGTGATGGCCTTACATCCAGTGAGGACGAAACCGAAATGGAGCAGTTGGTTGAGGAAGAGGCAGCCGCGCGGCCGAAGCCTCGGCCTAGAGCACGCAAGCTTTCAAAGAAGAAGAAGAATAGCAAGAATAGTGACGACGACGACGAAGATTGCGATGCTCCCGCGCCGAAATCAAAGCCTCAGCGTAGAGCTCGTCGACTCGCCGACAACACTGTGGCGAGCGGCGCTGACAACGAAGACGACGCCGAGGTCGATGTTGTTCCAACTCCTCCTCGGACTAGGCCTCGTAGGCTGTCGACCAAGAAGACTCCCGTGACTGAGGTAGACACAGACGGAGTTGATGATGATGATGAGGAGGACGAGGACGAGGACGAGAATGGGGAGGACGAGCCGGCGCCGCCCACTCCGAAAGCGCGCCCTCGGCCACGCGCTACATACCAGAGCAAAGCAGCTTCGCCGCTACCTCCTCAAGCATCTTCTCCGGCCCCCAGTGCTCTGTCAGATGTGGCTGCCCCGTCCTCTGCCAACTCGAAGAAGCGCTCGCGGCCAGACGATGCGGATGTCGAAGACAAAGTGCCAGAGACGCTCCGAAGAGAGTCGGAACGCGAGGCCACGCCTGTGGGTGATATGCAGGTCCGCCGAAAACGGGCCAGGCGTTGAGGATGACTGTTGTTGTTGTAACTTATATCACTGCTCGCTTTGCATTTGCTCTGAGTGTATTACTAGATTGTGAGTCATCTGTTCGATTTGAGGACGATACTTATGTCTCTCGCAGTTTGTTGTATGTAGGCCCTTTTGTCGGGTTTGCCAATGTGGACATGCAAGTGTTGGGTGTTCTTCGTATCAGAGCTGTTAGTCCTTGCAAACTTGGCCCTTGGCTGCGTGTATTTGCCACAGTCCGATTGCAGAGAATGTCCCTTCCCCGTTATTTGCCACAGTCCGACTGCAGAGAATGGCACAGTAGCCGCGCGGAGATTACGGAGTGCTGTCGAGGATGGCGGTGCCGTGCGACCGGCAATGGGGTGATCAGATGGAGGCATTTAGGTGGGCACGAGAATGGGCGCAGCCCGGGCCTCGCAATGGCCAAGGGATTTATCAGACTCGTCTTTAGCGGCCTATGTCCGCATTCTGCATAGATGACGAGAATGCACTGTGTTCTCAGATAGAAATGAGTCCAAGCTGGCATCGGCCGGCCGCCGAAATCTCATCTGTTCGCCGGTTGACCTGCACCCCATTCCTGTCCGGACCCTCGACGTCCCATCTCTCCCATCTTTGTGGTGCAGTCCCACCGGTTGCACAGATAGATCTCCGCTTCTTCTTCCCATCGGTGGCCAACAGTGCGACTCGGAGAACTCGATATTGGCTTCGCTTTCACCCCTGCCCGCCCGTCGTCACGGCTGTACTCCATTCGCCACCCGGGGCGCATTCATCGCACACGCGCGGAGATGCTATTGCCAGCACACGGGGTCGAGTCGCCAGCGCTCCCCCGCCAGGCTGAGGGCGCTGCGCTGCGCACATACCCCGACGTCAGGCTGTCGTACGGTCCCCTGCTCATTGGGGTGTTCGTCAATTTGATGTTATATGGTGTCTTCGTCGGCCAGGCGCTCACGTACTTTCAAAGTTTTGTGTTGGTGCCTCGGTCCGGGTCGACTGCGGGCAGTGGGGGGATTGCGGGCGGACGCCATTCGGGATCGCGGCCGGCGATGCACAGGGACACTTGGCCAATCGTGTTCCTCGTCTCGTATCTGTGCGTGATAGAGACCATAAACACCTTTTGCGACATGGGGATAGTATACCAGCCGCTGATATTGGACTACGGACATGACCTGGACCACTGGCCGGCGCTGTTCTGGACAGAGCCCTTGTTGGTGGTGCGTCGTCCTGTGCGCCTGCGCTGCGAGTGTATGCTGATCTCCAGCCTCAGGTCCTGGTCTCTACCCCAATCCAGATATTCTTCGCATACCGCATCTGGGCTCTGACGCACTCGCGATGGCTCCCCTGCATCGTCATCGTCTGTGCGGCTACTTCGCTGGTCGGCGGGCTTGCCACAACGTCTCGCGTCTTGTTACTCGGGACCTTCGCCAGCAAACCAGCCTTGCACCCTCCGGCTCTCGTTTGGCTTCTCGGAAGCGCGGTCTCAGATGTTTGTGTCACGACAGGTCTCGTCTGGGGCCCTCGGGGGTTGGTGCGTACAGTGCTTTCTGGGGAGACTCCTAGCTGTCGCTGATCTATTACAGTCACATCGCAAGACTGGCTTTCTTGCTACGGACGGTGTCATTGACCGGATCATACGAAGTGGGTTCATGCTGCTCATGTATGATAAACGAGCGTTCATTGACGTGGACCAGCGACCATCCAGACTGGCATGATGACGTCGATGTTCAGCATTCTCGACGTTATCTGTTTCATGCTGCTCCCGGTCAGTCAAGACTGGATTGTTGTTGCATAACTGACCGGAATGTTGTTATCCAGCATAATGCAATCAACTTCGTTTTCGACTTTCCTCTGAGCAAGCTGTATTCAAATGCACTGCTCTCGACGCTGAACCATCGCGCGCGACTGGGTGCACAGGCTATGTCCGACTCGCAAGATACACAGTCCGTTCGAGACGGTGTGCGGGGCTGTGGATGCGACCATGACGAGGGCCGTCGAGAACCCGGCACATCGCATGCCCTGGTCTTCGAGGACATGGCCCTCGTTTCCGGCGGCGTGGGGTTGGCCACGACCGGCTTCGGGGAGCTGAAATTGGATGAAGAGGATGCGATCGACGAGGAAGGCGACATAGATGGAGAGAAAGAAGGGCTTGAAGAACTAGACATCGTCGAGACTCCTCGAGATCGGCGAGATATCCATCCTGGTTGCCGTCCGCCATAAGGGACCACCCACTTGCTTTCGTCTGTTTTTTTTTTGGATCCGCATGTAAGTGATTCAGCCCACCACTCCTCTCTGATTCGCTCCTGATGGCTGTTCCAGTGTATTATCTCCTGCATTTATCGCACTGTTTATCGATATACTATCATCAGCTTGCTCGCTATAACGCTCATTATTTCAGTTCAGTCGTGTGTGTAATGTTATCCGAATGCTCCCGTGGTCAAACAACGAATAGCAAAGCGTAAGCGCTCATAAGCCATCGGCTTGCTGAACAACCATGCGAACAGCCTATGGTCAGTTGCTGGCACCTTGTTGGCGTCTGGTATGCTTGAAGCAGTATGTATATCTAAAACGACAGATCTTGCACAAGACACTATTGCCATGTGTAAAACTGGAGATTTAGTCATGTCTGGGCACGTTCCTCGGAAGAGGGGGCCATCACTGGCACGTGGGCGCGTTCCGCCCCATGATGAGGTCACGCAAACATTATATCCCCAACGCTCGTCTCACCACCAAGCTCCACATCTTGTCTACAATTGTACCAACTCGTGGCGGCTATGAATGGGATCGCATTCCCCGTTCAGGTCGCCCTCTTGTTCCGCAGGCTCGTGAATGTCGTATCGACACTCGCTGTTTCGAAACAGTACTCACTCTGGGACCAACGCACGGTCGAAGAACATGAGAAGCAAGGGACGACCGACTGGAACTTGACGGAAAACAAGCTTGGATCGTCGTGTGCACAATCGTCGTCAGACTCCCGCTCTAGCACTCTACTTGGTATGTGGTAGATGTCTCTCGTGCTCTCTGCATGTCGCTCATGGCCTCCGCAGCACCATCCCCCATCGTGTCTCAAACCTCGTGGACCAATCTATCGTTCGCAGCCGAGCCGCTTGGTGGATACCAATCATCTTTACCATCGACCACGGATCGAACATTACCGCCGTCACGGAGTCCGGTGCCAATTCCGTGGCCTCAACCCCGCAAGCCTTCACATGAGCCTTCCCCCAATCCGCCTCGTTCTCAGAACACGGATCAGCCCTCCCGAGATCCTGCGGAGCTTGACATCATCCACACACTGCTCGCCAATCCTGCGCTTGCCGATCCAATACGGGTGCCGCGATACCCCATAGTTCTGTGTCATGGACTGTACGGATTCGACTCACGCGGGCCGAGCTCTTTTCCCAGCATGCAAATACACTACTGGTCGAACGTTCTCAACATCCTGCGCCGTAAGGTTGGAGCTGAGGTCATCGTCACGGCCGTCCCTGGGTGTGTACTTGTCCCTCAAGTCTCGTGAATTCGATCATGCTCATGTTCCACAAGTACCGGCTCGATCGAGTCCCGAGCTGAAGCTCTAGATCAGCAACTACAGAGGAAAGCTCGGGGTCGGGGTGTGAACTTTCTCGCCCATTCCATGGGTGGTTTGGACTGCAGACATCTCATTTCGCACATCAAGCCGACAGAATACATCCCTCTGTCGCTCACCAGTGTCAGCACGCCGCATCGGGGAAGCCCTTTCATGGATTGGTGCTCGGTACGTGCATGTGACCTGTTTGTCCCCCGAGCGTCTTCTCATTACGGGTCACAAGGACAATATAGGGCTCGGCAAACTTAAGCGCGAAGAGCTGGTATCTCGGTCCGTAGGGGAAGGCAATGGGTTCTCTCTTGCACAGCTTCCCTCCTCCTTTGTCTCGCTTCTCCTCAACGTCGTTGACTCGCCTGCCTACGCCAATCTCACTACTTCATTCTTGAACGATGTGTTCAACCCTCAGACACCTGACGACCCGCGCGTCAAGTACTTCAGTGTGGCTGCGCGATCGTCCGGCGCCAGTATTTGGCATCCCCTATGGTTGCCCAAGCTGGTCCTCGATGGATCTGAAGACAAAGAACGCGAGCGACTGCGCGCAGCTGGATTAGGCAGAGAACAGCGCAAAGAGTGGGGTAATGACGGACTGGTGACAATCGACAGCGCACGATGGGGCGAATTTCTTGGAACCATGGAGTGTGATCGTGCGTCTCAGATCTGCTTGTATCATGCCTTCTGCTGACTCTCTTCCAGACTGGGAAATCCGTGGCGCGCGAGGATTAGAACTGAATGTCGAGATCCCTGCCTTCGAAGGGCTCGGTTTTATCGATTGGGGCCGGTTTGCGAGTGCTTGGAAGAAGGAGGAGAAAGCCCAAGCGGCTGCTGCGACGCCTGAAGAAGTCAAGGACAGGGCGGATAATGCTCTGATCAGGAAATCGACCGAGACTCTATCAAGCGTGGTGGACTGGCTTGTGGACCAAGTTCCTGTTCCGCTGGCGTCGAAGGGCAAGACCATGGACGAGTCTGAGGACCGAGTTGCTGCCGACGTCGCAAAGCTGCACGGAGAAGTGAAGACTGGGAAAGAGAAGAAGGAGCGCAAGGCGGAACTGGTAACTAAGACTGATCTTGAGAGATTTTACATTGCGTTATCTAGGAAGATGTACGATGAGGGACTGTGAAGAGGTATCTCGTTATTACTGTATTATAGCCAATGTAAAGATAATGTTGTCTTATACTTACGCATTATTATTCTTGAGGTCAAGTCTCATCTACTGACTTGAAAAAGATCAAGTTTTGCACTTAACGGATCTGTCCCGTGATTGCGATCTACTCTTGCTTGTTTCCTCATACGAACATGTCCACCTCCGTCAAAGTTGAATTCAGCGGCGGACTTGAGCTCTTGTTCTCGAACCAGCGCTCGCACAGCCTGATCGTGCCTTCCCATGTTTCCAAGACATACGGCGAAGAATCTGGAGAGACCAAACCCGTCGACATCTCTTTCTTGATCTTCCATCTGCGAGACACCCTCCTTAAAGAACGCGTAGAGCTCTTCGTTGAGAATGACACAGTGTGCGTATGCTCTCGCCCTGACTCCTTGAAAACCCGAAAACGAGATCCGGAACAGACGGCCAGGAATTCTGGTATTGGTGAACGATACAGATTGGGAGTTAGAGGGAGAGGGCGATTATGCGCTCAAAGATGGCGATGAGATCGTTTTCATCTCGACGTTACATGGAGGTTGATGAGGAACTTGGACGACTACTCAAAACATGTCTTTTTTGGAGAGCCCTCAGACTGGCTGTGGGGTCTGCCTACGCTACATTTGGATCTATAGAGCCCTGCTCTTTGTTATCGCCAGCTACGTCTGTCTACCCACTTCAAATATACGTGGATCCAAGGGCGTTGACGTTGCCTCCTCCGTCCAAAAGGCCTCAAGAATCGTCAGGATGTTGTCTACGAGACGGGACGTCAACTACACTCACTTGTTTGGAGTCCGCTTATGGGACGCTGCACCAATTTTTTTCAGCTTACTCTCACAGGACAGAAACAGCACGCACCCCGAATGCGAACCAGTTGTACCGCTCGATCCAAGGTTGGGCATCCAAATATGTAAGGGCGGCCGCCAAGAAGACGGACACATCTTAAGAAAGAGCTGCTCAGATAGGCGATCGGATTGAACCGAGGACGAATCTACCTGCGGGATTGCCGGAGGTACACGCGAATTCGGTGACCCAGACCGCCTTATTCGGGATCTGGGCATGGACGCTCGCCAGATAATTGATGAAGTTCGTCGCTCCTTCGCCGTACCTGCCGAGACGAGATTAACACGGGGAATCAAAGAATGTAGACGGGCGTACCAGTGGACGACAACGAAGTCTATGCTGCATCCGGAACATGAAGCGACGAAGTTGACGAGCCACGGAAGGCCACTGGGTCCACTCGACACGGCGGGACTTCCAAGACGAACACCCGAGTTTTTCAACGGCTGAATGTATGCTTTCCACATCTGGACTGCTTCTGGCACACCGATGTTGGACTGGCCGTATTCGTTGGGTTCATTGAAGCCCTAACGTTGATGTCAACCGTGAGGCGACTGACCACAAGCATGCGCTTACAAGTACCGTCGACGCACCCAACTGCCGGACGGTTTGAATAAAAATGCCGCTGTCTTGGTGACCCCAGAGCATAGGGACGAATTCGAGAAATCGAGGATATCCTGCCGGTGGGCTCGCTGCCCAATTGTAGAACCAGCTGCATCGGCCACCGCTCCCTTTCGGAAGATCGGCATCGCTGGACTGGACGAGTGCGATTCCGCGCTTCGGGTTACTTGCCTGGATGCAGAGAACAAAGCATGAGAGGGCAAGCACCAACTTTGAAGGACCCATCGCGGCTGGAGAATCCTTATCTGTAGACGCCTTTTATGGGGCTGCTGTATGGCCCTGGGTTCCGAGCATGGCGGTCATTGAAGCCAACAGCCAAGGTAGCCGCACAAGAGAGCAGCATTCTAGCCTCGTTGCTAGGCGTACGTATTCGCGCGGAGGAGGCAGAATCGGACGAGACTACGTCGCAGACGGAATGTTTGAAAACTTAGTCACATCCGTCTGGGCCGTCTTACAAGCAATCGCATAGTCCCGATAAGACAAGATGAACGTATATCGACCATGGAAGCACAATTTCAAAAAGTCCGTGACAACAGCTAGCATGTTACATACAGAGGGGATTGGACTGGACGTGAGTAAGACTGACGCACCAGAGCAGACTATTCCAGCCCAAGAGCCCACGCACTCCCCTGCCTGTGCTCAAGCTCCCGGATTTCTGCTCTTAGCCTCTGTCTTTCCTGTTGCTCATTTCCCCCAGTCCCGTACCCCTGGGTCCGCTCCAGAGCCGTCTGCGCGCTGCGAAGCTCAGACGCAAGCCAGGCCTGACGCTCGGTAGGACTCGACCCTGGCCCAGGCTCTTGTCGGCCGCTGCCTGACAGCGGCGGGTGCGGGAAGGATGTATGCCACGAATCCGATGGGGCCATCCTGGGATTTGATGCCGATGACAGAGGATATGCGCCAAGCTCTAGGGCACCAGGTCCGCCAGGCAGACGCGCTGGCGTTCGCATAGGGTTTGGGTCGGAGAATGCAGCTGGTGCATCGAGAGAAGATTTGCTCGTGGAGGTCCGGCCGGTGCGAGCGGCGGGTGCGCCAACCGTGAATGGGAGGATGGGAGTGGGCGCGGGCTGACGTGCGCGGGCGCGGCGAACGAAAAGCCAGCGAATGAGGAAGAGGCCGATGATAGCTCCGATGATAGCAATGGCGACGCCGACGATGAGACCCACAGGTGCCTTGTGTTGCCTGTGACGATCACGAAATGAGATGCATTCATGCTTTAGTCGTCGATAATAGAGAAGAATACCTTTGACTCTCCAACGTCGGGGTAATCGAAGGGCGGTGGGAGTGGCTCGCCGTTATAACGTTCGAGACAGAGACACCCTGCGTCTGGGTTGGCGCAATCGTTACTGCGCGAGCGAGTGCCATTTGGGGTCGATCGCGTATATGCCACAAGGTTCGGAAGGTCAAGGAGGGTAAGAGAGCGGATGAAGACCGATTGAAGCCGTCCTTAGACCGTGAAGGGCAGTCGTGAGGGGTGAGAGAGTAGCTTGGGTGTACAATGTGTCAGCCTGCACCCCTCTCCACTTAGTTTCCCCTTGGGGCCAGTCTTGGACCCTTGGCTTCTTCCGACATGATTGACAGGCTGATCGTCATGCGGAATGATCCGTGTTCTTCTCTCAGAATGCTTGAGTGTGAGTTGTTTCATAATATCCGTTTTGAGTTTTGTTTTTTCAGGAAGAACAGCAAGCACTGTCGATAAAAACCAAGTGCGGAGAGAAGATACTGAATTGCTCGTTTCGTGAGTTCGTGCAGATGAATGGCGATCATGTGATCGCGTCACGCCTCCTCCATGACGTCAATCCTCTTTCAGAGATTCTTTGCCAACCACGGTTTCCGCAGGCTTCATTCATTCATGGCCTCTCCAGATATAGCCAGGACCGATTCCAGCTTGTGCAGTTTTCTCATCAAAGCTAAAGCCCAGTATCTCCAAGCACAGTCTAACACTCATGAATGGACGATTGTGATGGGCAATGAAGCTGGAGGTACTTTGCTCGTTTCGATCTAGTCCCCCAACCCCCTTCCCTTCTTGACAGATCTGGACTCTATTGCCAGTGCGATAGCCTTTGCATGGATAGAGTCTGCAAAGAGCTCATGCATCCCTCTCATCCAGATGGCACGCGAAGATCTCATCCTGCGGCCCGAAAACATGCATGCACTCGCGTTAGCGGGGATCCACAATCCCGCGGAGGAGCTTCTTACTCTTTCCGATATCTCTCCCTCCTCATTCCCTCCGTCGATCAAGTTCGCGCTTGTCGACCATAACCGGCTTGGAGCCGCATTCCCCTCTCAGGCCCCGGTTGTCGCCGTCATTGACCACCACGACGACGAGGGCCTTTACACGGAGACTGCACATCCGCGGAAGGTAGCACCGGCTGGGAGCTGTGCCTCGCATGTGGCACAGATGCTGCTGCTGCCGGCGGCGGGGGATGATGCGATGCTGCCAGTGCGGGATGTTTCGACGCTCTTGCTTTCTGCCATCCTCATCGACACGAATTGCCTCAAACCCGGAGGCAAAGCCCTGGACGTCGACCGTGAGGCGGTTCGCAACCTCATCCCACGCTCTGCAATGGACTCGCCATCGCTGCTTACAGACGAGTTACCCGCTGCGGTGAGGCGATTATCGGACGAGCTTGCGTCAAAGAAACTGGACGTCTCCCATCTCAGTACTTGGGACCTGCTTCGACGAGATTACAAGGAGTACACCTTCAGCCTAAACTGGATCCAGCCCGTTCCTTCCTCTATTCACGCCGGGCTGGCGTCTGTGTCCGTAGGGCTGAAGGACCTGGCCGACCTGGAGAGTGCAGCGGACAAATGGATGGCAACGCGGAATCTCACGGTATTCGGAGTGCTCACGTCGTTCCGGGATGCCGAAAAGCTCGGGAAAACGAGCGGGAAACCGAAGCATCGGAGAGAGATGGCGTGGTTTATCCGGTCTAGCGATAAAGCTCCGGCCGACGAACTAGCCTCCAGACTGCAGAAAGGTCTGGAGCAAAGCGAGGAGATACGCGCGCGGAGGCATGAGCAGGTGGCGCTGGAGGGTAAGCCCTCGGGAATGCGAGCCATGGCTTACGAACAAGGCAATGCACAAGCCACACGTAAAGCCTCAGCGCCGCTGCTTAGAAGTATCATGGAAAGCAAGCAGTGATTTCTTCCGTCGTACAATGATATCGTATGTACCAAATCCCATCGTCGCTGGATCGATCACGCGTCATGATTCGCACACGAGGACATGCTGCGCGAGTCGGGCCGAAGCCAGTCTGGCCAGGAGTCGTCCTTTTCGTCGACAAGAGAGGAGATGGAGAGATGGATGCTGCGCGGTTTCGTCCGCAGCGATCCGATGGAGCTCGTGCGTCGCCGGTGCCGCTGGCTGGGTGTTTTCTTGCCTGTGAACGCAGGGAGAGATTGCCAGCTCCACGGGTCCTCCTGGATGGACCCGAACGACGTTTCAGAGCTCCCCGTAGACTCGTCGCTGCCCCTTGACGTGAAAGACATGGCTGGGAGGGAGGGAAGTGAATGGTGCCCGTGGAGGCGCCGGACGACCGCTACGCACCAACAGAAGTGTTCAGGATCTGCTGCTCCAGACTCCTGCCCTGGTAAAACCGTCTGTAGCCCCCGAACATCACGCGCGGAAAGGGCTCGAAGAGATTGCAGTCGGGGGCGGGGGGCTCCACGACTGCCGCCACCCGATGCTCCCGACGCTCCGATGCGTCCAAAGAGAGCCGCCCTTGGTCGTCGTCGCCACTGCCGCCGCCCCCAACTCGCCACTTGAAGCAGAGGAAAGGCATCGGAAGAGACGTGGAGGAGTTAAGAAGCTAACGCATAGTTGATACTTGTAGTCCGGTGTTCCCGAGGCTCGTGAGTTGCAGTAGGTTCAGGTCACAAGATTCGGTTTCGCCGACTTTGGTGGCACGAGACGCGCCTGATTGATGGAAGGGAAGGACTGATGATTTTGGGAACATTGCGGGCGAACAGGGAAGGCGGGCCCGAAGAGCACCCTGGGGGAGGATGACAGCTCCTGCTAAGCTGCGATAGCGTATGAGAGAAGCACTGGTCCACGCGCACGCAGCTGGGCTCGGAGCGATGAATGGAGGTCGTCGGCGCCTGTGGTCGCTTGGTGATGTGCTTGCGCAGGGTCACTTCCACAGTTGGGAGTACACAAGGTCGATAAAGGCCTGGTGCCTCGTGATGCAGCGATATTGCCGCCATGCGAGGTCGCGACCATGCAAAGTTGCTCTAAGTTGCCTGATGCCGGCATGCCAAGGGAGCCCGCCTGAATGGATGTTTTTCGAATCCTGACGACAGAAGACCCTAGGATTAAGCGGTGATCCTTGTGATCCGTGTATGGGTCTTCTCCGTCAGTTCCCACGACTCCCGACCGGACGGGGTTTCGGAAGGTAGGCCATGACATAGGGAGTCTCAGGAGAAGTCAGCGAGCTCCCTCGTCACGTTGCCAACATGCAGTCTATTCCCCTAAGGGTGATCTCAGTGAAGAGTGTAGAGCCGCTGGAGTTATCCCTTTACTTCCGCCAACCCCACACACCCTGTCCGCGGTACCTTACCCAGCCGACTGGTCTGCATCGTCTTGACGATCTTCGGCAAGGCGCTCTTTTTTCTGACGGTCGGCTCTGTGCTAAAATGATGCTTCTCTGCCTTCTTATCATAGGGCCATCAATTGCGTGCCTCCTGGACGCGGTTTAGGGGTAATAAGACCGAGCTATAAAGTTCACCATATTGGAAATCGGCGGTGGTGCGCGAGAAAACATGTCCGATTCCCCGGCTGAGCTCCAGCGGCAGGCGTATTTCCTTCTTGGTCCCTGGGTGTGTGCTCTTCTCCGCTGAGCGCTGCGACACTCGAATTCGAACTCATCTCTCCAGGTCATTGGCTGTTGTCTCGACATTTTTCTAGAGGGTGTCGTTATTTGCCAGGTGCGTCGCGTGCCTTTCTTCTATCTACTCTTGTGCAGCCCTCTGATTGACTGGGTTTGGTTTTCCAGATCGTCAATTATTTCGGATGGTACAAAGAAGACAGCTTATATCTTAAAGCCTACGTTGCTCTTCTTGCCCTGTTTTCTGTCTTGAAGAGCGTCCAAGCCTTGTGCGTTATCATTTTCACGGCGCGAGGCGTTGCTCAGTGCTCTTCCCGCAGCGCCATCATCTGGATCCAGAACATTGTGTTCATGAACAATGTTCCCGGTGCTGTGCTGCTGAACTACACGTTCTGGCTGCAAGCAGGCAATCCGCTCATCGTCAGTACGCTCCCATTAGATGTGTTTCCGGAACTGACATCCAGACAGGTTGCTACATTCAACGTGTATGTGCAGGCCTACTTCTGCTATCGGCTGTATGTCGTGTCCAAGAAGTGGTTTGTGGTGGTGCCCGTCGCAACTCTCTTCGCCTTTGCATACTTCTCGATGATCCTGGCCACCTACTACATCACCCAGGGTGTGGGGGCGTCCAAGCAGATCGCTGATTGGTGTAAGTCTTTCTCGTGCTACGCATTGCTCTTTTTTGACCGACCGTCTTCCAGTCGCGGCGCATCTCAGCTCGGTGTTCGGTGAGGATCTTCACCGCCTCATCCAGTTTTGTCTCTGAGACATCTACAGCTGCCGATGTCTCTATGTCCCTGACGACGGCCTACTTCCTGCTCAAAACGAAGAAGAACGTGCTTCCGCAGACCGTCGGTCTCATCTCAGCGCTCGTTCGACTCACTCTCCAAACCGCTGCTCCGGTCGCGCTCTGGTATGCCACATGCACGAGCAATATTTGATATAAACCATTCTAATTTGGCCACTCCAGCGCTATGTTCAATCTCATCTTCTCCCAAGTCTACACCGGCTCGCAGAGTCTCGCGAGCACAGCCTTCAACATGATGCTCCCGAAGCTGTACGCGTTGTCGACGATGTGGACTTTGAACGCCCGTCGCACCATCCAAGCCTCGCGCAGCACGAGGGGCGTGTCATCCAGCAACGAGATCTCCGGTGGGCGGACGAGAAGGACACGGCGGGAGGATGTCGAGCTCGGCAACTTTGGTGGAATCCAGGTGCACACGGTCCAGGAGACCGTCCAGCACATCGACGTACGTCTTGTCCGCCCGCTGTTGCTCTGACCGTACCCAGCTCACAGCTTCAGCAGGTCAGGGATATGTTCTCTGGCGACACCAAATCCGGCGGTGTCACGAGCAGCACCCCCGGGACCGAAAACGAGATGGAGTATAAGGGCTAGGTGTATTCTCTCGAACAGTGGTTGTTATTATATGATATTTGTCACTCTTTTCGATGTCGTTCTTTCCTGTGTATCAATACCCTGTGCTTCTTTTGGGGGTCCTTGCCAAGTCTTTTGTATCCACCTCAGATCGGTCTTCTGAGTCAAACATTGATGTTGAAAATGTGCTCTTCAGGTACTGCAATATTCCGGATATTTCAAAATCCATGCCCTGTACCTGCACACGTTTCGTCGCTTGGGCTTCGTTCTATCCTATTGGTCGACCTTGGTTGCTTCTCGTAACTGATGTTTCTCGGTGGGTCTTTCCTCTGCCGATCAGAGGCGTCCAAATCCGAGTATGTACCGGATTTCTGATGCTCCACGCGATCAGTTTCAGCTGTTCGTTTTACGATCATCGGGCTCGAAGATCATCGAGTCGAGACTGTACGAGTATCACGTGATCGCGTTTTTCGATCTTTCGGGATCATCAAATCTGATACAGTTCCATGATCCATCTAGCTATCAACGGCTCATCGGGTGCTGACGCTGTATTGATGATGCGCCCCGGCTTCGACTTCAACTCAGGCACTTAAGCTTTGCGAGTGCAAGATGCCATCTCCTCAGGCGCCGTCTCCCATGGCCGCTCCGACGATCATAAGCCGATCCCCCACGACCTCCATTTTCGGTTTCAAGAAGCGCGCGGGGACAGCGCCCAGGACAGCAGCGTCGTACCTCTCTGCGCTTTCTGAAGCCGATGCGCGCAGGCAGCGGCAGCACCAGCGCAGCTCCTCCTCCTCAGCAGTCAGCGTCAGCGGTAGCTCTGTCTCCATGTTTGCCGCATCGTCCCAGGCCACCACGCTCGACTCGTTAGAGGGGGACGACGACGTCACGGTGACAAACAACGGCCTGGAGACACCGCTGCGGCCGCCCACCTCGGAGCAGGTGTTCACCACGGTGCACAGTGAATTTGGGCACTGCGACAACGAGGACTTCCGCTTCGTCTCCGAACACGTCCCCGGGTCGCCGCTGTCGCACGACCCCTTAGAGCCTCCGTACTACGTCGTGTTTTCGACGTACATCAGGTGCGTTTCGGTTTTCATTCGCCGCCCGTTCCGTAGCTCAAGCCAGCACGTAGTTACCTGATCCTGATTTGCTTAGGCCACATTCGCGACTTCTTCGGAAAACGTCTTAAAAACCGGTCTTACAGCCATCTCAAGCCCAGCGATGTGCGCTATGTTAATCATCATCATTGGAGAGCGCACTCACAGTATCTAGGGATACGCACCCCTGAACTCGGACTTTGACTCGTTCTACACCCGGCGTCTGAAACTGCGCATGGATGAATGCTTCGGCCAGCCCATCACCGGAGTGGCCGGACGGACCGCACTTCTGTTGGACCGGTACTCCACCGACTACAACGAGACCCAGTTTTTCACGGGCACGCGCACGCGGGCGCTCAACATCTCGTCATACAACTATCTCGGTTTCGCACAGGCCCAGGGCGGGTGCGCTGACGCGGTGGAGGAGAGCATCAAGCGGTACGGGGTCTCGAGTGCCGGGGCACGACTCGAGGGCGGCTCGACCGACCTGCACGTCCTGGCCGAGGCGCTCGTGGCGCGTTTCGTCGGACACGAGGACGCGCTGATCTCGTCGATGGGCTTCGCGACCAACTCCGCGATCATCCCCGCCGTCGTGGGCAAGGGGTGTCTCGTGATCTCGGACGAACTGAACCACGCGAGCATCCGCTTCGGGGTGCGGCTGAGCGGCGCCAGTGTGCGCATGTTCAAGCACAACAATATGGCGGAGCTCGAGAACCTGCTCCGGGAAGCCATCAGCCAGGGCCAGCCCAAGACACACCGGCCGTGGAAGAAGATCCTGCTCATCGTCGAGGGCCTGTATAGCATGGAGGGCACTTTCGTCAACCTTCCTGTTGTGATGGAACTGAAGAAAAAGTACAAGGTACTTGAGCTAGTGCCTGGTTTATATTTCTGTTTTACTCATTTTGCGTCAGTTCTACCTCTGGATCGACGAGGCGCATTCCGTCGGCGCTGTCGGACCGCACGGCCGAGGCGTGTGCGACTTTTTCAACATCGATCCCCGGTCGGTAGACATCCTCATGGGGACGTTCACCAAGTCGTTTGGAGCGGCCGGCGGCTATGTCGCTGGCAACAAGATGTTGATCGACCGACTTCGCCTCCGCCACCACCTAGGTCCCTATGCCGAGTCGATGACACCGCCCGTCCTGATGCAGATTGTGGCCAGCATGAGCAGCATCATGGGCGTCGTCGACGGCGAGAGCGAGCAGACGACGATGCACCCTGGGCCGGTGTCCCGTGCGCTCGTTCCTTCGTGGCTGTCGCTGGATCCATCACTCGCTTCGGGCATCGAGGGCAAAGACCGGCTGCGCCGTCTCACCTTCAACTCGCGGTACCTGCACGAGGGGCTCAACAAGCTCGGGTTCATCACGTACGGGCACGGAATGTCGCCTGTGATCCCGCTGCTGCTGTACCAGCCCGGCAAGATGATACTCTTCCACCGCATGATGAAAGAGTACAAGACGCCGATCATCACCGTCGTCGTCACATATCCGGCATGCGACCTGATGACCGCCCGCGTGCGTTTCTGTGTCAGCGCGGCACACACGAAGGAAGATATCGACACCATTCTGCGCGCTTGTAACGAGATTGGAGACGTCCTGGACCTGAAGCACGGCTTGCCGCCTAGCGAGCGATGGGATCTGGACACAGTCTGCGCTCGGGCAGTTGAACTGGCTCGTGCTGAGTAGTGGTCATCACGACATCTTTCCGGATAGTATATACTGTAGACGCTGGGGGTGATATAATGTTGCGCAGCTGCGCGTGAAAGATGAAGATGCCAAATCGCAAGTTACCCTGTTTCAAGGCCCATAGCCCGACCGAGGGTAATCTGCTCGCAGGTGGTTGACCTCTCAACGAAGTACATGATCTATGAGCTCACCGGTCATCCCTCATTCGGTCTTTGCTATTATATCTCTTCTCGCTTCACTGTTTCTTCATTCTTCCAGATTGTAGACAGATTGGTGGTACATCTACCTCGGCCAGTGCAAGAGCACAACCCAGCTTCAGAACAGTCTCATCTTCCCTTCCCAGATACATCTGGAAACCTGGTAAACGTTTGCTATATCTCTGCAGTGCCTATCTCTCAAGTTCGCGTTGTCACCTTGAAATGGTTACCCCTTCTTGAAGATCGAGGGAAACCCCATTTCATTTGTAGGGTGTGAAAATAAGGTCGAGGTGACAGATATCCTGTGATGAGACCATGCACGACAGATGTGGGGGTTGATATCAAGTTATGAAGCAGTGTGGACATCGTAGGTATCTGCAAAGACTGGAAGGAATGGAGGGCGACAAAGGTTCTAGTGAATTTGCAAAAAAAACTCGCTCGACAAAGTACATCAGATACGTACAAAGCCTGTCTGCGAGTGCTTATGCTTTTAGGATTGGGAGACAACAGGATGGACATGAGGATCCGAGATCCACTTCCAGAGTGTTCACTCTGCAAAGATTAACCGAAAAACAGGACATCGACGGATTCGATGTTCAGTGTCGCTTGATTTCTCTGTTCGCTCATCTTTCAGTGGATCGATTGACCGAGCCGAAAAGGGTCCCTACCTTCATGGCAATGATATGCGAGTCGGAAAGACTCATCCCTTCAAAACCAGAAGATAACCGTTCGCTGAATTGGACGGAACAGGGTAGTCGCGAGGCCACGGGTTCCGTCCAAAGGCCGCGTACGGGTTCGGAAAACGTATCTTCTGGAGGCAGGACGGTCGCCAAAGGACGCTCTCTTTCTGGGTCAGCATTGAAGTCCAGCAGGATGAAATCGTTCCGGATCTGCCGTGATAGCACGCATCGCTGGCCAGAAGCGATAGTAATCCACGACGGCACCAGTGCTCCCATGTTAATCCAGCGGCAGATGTCGGGTCCCCATACAGGATAATGCATTTCGGAAACATCGGGTGAGCTCAACAGAGCGAGAAGCGCATGTCGGTGGATGAAGAGAAGTAAGCGGCACGATGGACCTGGGCCACGAAACATGATCCTGAAGACGATGATGGCTTCCTCCGCAACAGAGCTGAAGGGAACCGCACGGTCTTGAAACGCACGGCTGCGGGCTGGGCTGGGTTCGCCGCGGACGCCCAACTCCCAGATGCGATGCTCGAGCGAGAGCCGCGGCAGATGTAGCACGAGTGCTGGTTCGCTAGGTGGTTGCTCTTCGGAGATTTGCCAGAGTTCGAAACAAGCCGTATGGGCGTTCGCGAGCAGGAACACATCCGTGCTGAGAAACACAGCACCAGAGTATGTGTGGTTCACTGCTTGCAAGTCCTGAGATACATGATCAGGCCGCAAAGGTCAGAAGCGCACACAATTATGCTGGCTTACGAATTTCACGGTTCCGGTTTTCCAATTATACAACCACACGCAGTCGGGTCGATGGGCGAGAGGATAGCTCGCAATGACAATAATGTGATCCCCTGCGACTTCCAAAATAAGGCTGCAGCGTTCATCCTGCGTGTTGGTTACATCGATTGCATCCTTAGCAGCTGGGTGCCGGTTTCCTGTTAACACACTAACGAACTCCAGACGCAATGTGAATTCAGTGTCTCTGTGATCAGTCAGGAATCGCACCGCCTAAATCACGGCACTCCACGCACAAGGTTGCCAGTACCAACAGATCGTTCTCCTCGACAGAAAGACCAAAATCTACGATGTGTCGGTCTGGGGAAGATACCGCGATGCGCTGCCAGACGGGTGTAGCTGATTCGACCCTCGGAAGCCGCAAATACCACACTGCCCGTCTCCCCGCTTCCCCCAGCCAAAAGGTCTCTCCAGAAAGCTCATAGATGCTCGAAGACTGGAACGGAACGGGGACGCTGCATACCCATGCTGGCCGCGCTTGCTGATACGCTGCCTCTCGCGCATTCAATCGTTGCAGCCGTTCAATTGCACCGAGGGGCGACAAGGGATTCCCTTCGACGCCGGCTATCTCGGCTGAGCGGAGGAATTGGAGGTTGGCCGAGGAGGATATGAGATCGTGGAGAGTGGTGCATACGTTCGAACACGAATCGAGATCGCATCTGGAAAGAAAGCCGAAGGCATATACAATGAGCTCTGTAGGCAATTGAAAAAGACCCATGGTTGTGTCCTTTGGCCTGGTGTCACCCAGCGGATGGCCGATGTCCACACTTGGAAGCTTGTGGTGATCCAGTCAGAGGCACTGCCACAGCTGTCCATTTCATCGCACCACTAAGCATTTGCACTCTGCGACGGTCTGATCGCTACTCCAGCGAAAAATTCTTAGGAACTGGAAGATTATAGTCACAGACGGCGCAAAACGGAATGAATTGTAAGGTCAGAATTGTCCGGATCTGACTCGCAACCTGGCAATCTTGCGTCTGCTTCCTATTCACCGCGAAGGTCTATTCTTCTCGATCGCGTGAAAACAGCCATCTCTGCGCGTGTACGCTAAAGTCTTCAAGTGGCCTTGCACTTTGACGGCTGCATAGTGCTTTCTGAGCCTGCTTGTTCTTGTGACCGTGAAGACAGCCACCCCGCCAAATTCCTGCTGATCCCACTTCGAGGGATGGCGGGGGATCCAAGACATGTATATCCGCAGTGCTGCCCCTTTATCGACGCGCTCAAAACGGCGAGACGGGTTTCACTCTCCTTCACCTACTCTGTCTCTCACACCCCCATCACACGTTCTATTATCCATGACTTCTACTGTCGGAATCCTCCCGGATCTGGTCGGTCAGACAATCAATGACGGGTTCATTGATCTACACCTCTCTCGCGAACTCGGGACTGGAACATACGGTGCGGTGTACCACGCTACAGACACTGACTCAGGGGCTAGTTATGCGGTCAAGTGCTTGGGTCCCCTTGTTGAAGGCACAGAGCATGGCCTCCCCGTCGACGAAGCCGAGCTGGCTTTTCACGCACGGTGCTCTGCACATTCGAACGTCACGACGCTTCACCGACGGTTCACTCACTCTGGCTTTCTTTTCGCGCTCCTTGAGCTTTCCGCGGGCGGGACGCTCTACGATGCTATGCAAGCCGGGGTGTTTTCGGGTGCCGACAAGGAGGCCAAAGTGCGGGCCCTCATGCTTGATCTGATTGACGCTGTTCGTTGGTGCCATGAGAGAGGAGTGGTCCATCGAGATCTCAAACCCACAAACATTCTGTGTGATGCAGCTGGTTCGAACGTGCGCATCGCCGATTTCGGTGTTGCCGTAGATGCGACTGGTCTGGTGCAATCCACGGGTGGGACTGTGGCCTACATGACTCCTGGTGCGTAACTTTTCCTCAGGGAGCACTCCATCCGCAGCGCTGAATCCGCATCGCAGAGTCACTACTCTCCCAACCTCACGATGCCAGCATGTCCGACCTGTGGGCCCTCTCACTTGTTTTTCTGTTCGTCATAGGCAATGGCCTCAGCCCTTGGAGTCGCGCCCATCAATCGGACAAGGGATTCCACATGTTCCTCAACAACGGAATGTATCTCCGCTCGCTGTTCCCCATCTCTGATTCGCTCAACAACCTGCTCGAGAGATGCTTCCAACCCTCACTGCCGATGATCCGCCCCACTTTGCTCCAGATGCGGACGGAAGTTGCTGGCATGAAGCGCTTATTCAGGAACGACGATGGCGATGACGAAGACGACGGGTTCATTGTAGTAGCTAGGCCCCGCCAGAGGGTCTTCAGCACACCGCTGCACTCGTTACTGCATGCTCCGTCCCAGCACTCCGCCGCACTCTCTGCTACGTTCGATTCAAGCAGCTTCCGAGTATCCCATCAACGAACTCTCGACGTGCTCGCCACGCTCAACGCCTTGATGCCACAAGTTCGAGCGCTGAGTGTCGATCCCGCTCCGTCCTCATCCGCGTCCGGCTCATCGACCGCGACTGCATATCTCTCCGCGCACTCATCGTCCTCTGCGACCGGATCAGCTTCGACGTCGGCTTCATCTGCGATGTTCAACCCCAAGTGGCACTCGGCCTTCAAGCTGAGCTTCAAGGGCGCTCGGCCCAGTGACTTAGGACGCGGTCAAACAACGGTCAAAGTGACCATCGAAACGAACGTTCCTCAGCCGGATCGACTGCGTGATCGGATGAAACGCGCGCTGCGAAAACTGATTCCTCGGTTCGTTGTTCTCAGTTTTCCGTCCGGATTTCACTCAGCTAGATCAACAGCATCCGTCCGTTTCCTCGTCAGCGAGTTTGATTGGTGGTTTGCGTCCTGAAAAATACAAACAGAAAGCTTTTCTTATCCCTTTTCCCTTGTCTCGTTCTGTCTATTCCTTCGTCAAGCTGACTTTTGTCTAGGACGTCGTTGCTCGCCTTCTTCGCTTCAACTGAAGGATTGTGCTTTGCCTGGATTCATAACACTTCAGTTAAGTCTTCGCTCTGTCCCTCACCTCCCGCTCGAAGAGTTTCTTGGGCCCGGCCAGCTCGATGATAAACTCGATAACGAGCGCTCCTTTGATGCTTCTTTGTATTCCGAGGAGACCGTTTGCTGATTATCCCAGCAGAAGATACCAAATCCAACGTCTAACGTGGTTGCCGACAAAGATGAGTCACAAATATCTCTGTTCCTCGGCCTCGAACCTCTGAGAGTCTGGCCCACTCAATGAGCGAACGGGTCGAAACGGACTATGCCTCGAATTTCCCTGGCCTATTGCTAACAGCTGCATAGATATATCCTTTCCCCCTCGACCTTGGCCGAACTCTTCTCGAAGCTCTCATTTCGACCCCACGATCGTCAATCCAACTTCAGCAAGCGGGGACGTGGGTGTGTCGAACATATTGGATTCAACTATTTCGTTGTAGCTCGGGGTCGCGAGAAATGAGGACAATCAATATACAATAACATGTACACTTGGAAGTTGTCCGATGCAGTTATTGTGATTGTGGCCATCTAAACGCGATCACGTGTCAGTTCGATTCGACCGAAACGCGAGCCAACCTAGCTATCCATGATTGAAATTGGATCATTATTCTCGTCCTCGGAAGGGGTTTCAATTTGCTTAACAATCAATGTCGCTTGTGTATATATCCGATGAAATTATATTCAAGCATCAGAATTAGTGAAAGAGAGAGTAGGTTTGTCTGGAATCGAAGCGCACTGTCGCCCATACAACCGAACGAGCCCGCTCACATCTCGCAAAGGAAGAAGAACAGGAGGCTCATGAGAGGTCTGCCAGAATTAATTGTCCAACAGTCCATGTCGCAGACACGGCGAGGCCTATTTTCTCAGATCAGCGATGTCCTGCCGAGGAAGCGGTTCAGTAACGCACCCAAGATAGTGGGATAGTGGAGGGTGCTCAGAAAGTTCATGCGCTGCTTTCACGTCAGAGAGTGCGGCGCTTAAGAAAGAGGTGGCCCACTTTCTGGGGGTTTCCACTAGAATAGCCCGCGGCGTAGGCGACGCGAGAGAGCGACCAGATGGTGAGCATGGCCGACGAGAACACGGGATATTTGATGCTGGTGATCAGCGTCCTGTGGGAACCTCAGACCAGCTGCGAAGGCTCGTAAATTGAAGAATCATACGAGGTGTAGATCATAGGAATGTTTTCCAAAGTCTGTCAGGAATTTCAGGACAACGAAATATACACTCTATCTCAAAGCACGAACATTTTGATGGGCACCTGGAGCTCGTTAGAACCGGATAAAAAAAAGAAAGCCTGCTCTGAAAGACTTACGCTGAGCACAGTTGAATGCCATGGCCTCTGGGCTGGCCTCGATCTCCGCCTTCTCGGCATATGCTGCACATACGTGTTTAACACATCTCGAACAGGTCGGGACTGAGGCGTACCACGGGGATATTGTATGTTGGATTTACGGCGCGCTTTCACCACAAGGTTGATCTGGTAGATCAGCATGTACACGGTCGAAAGGAAGGCTCCGGCAACATATGAAGAACTGTTTTCAGGACTCAGTGAAGGACGGTTTGAGTCTGTAAGGAAATGTGTTTTACCCCTTGGGAAGAACAAAAGTTGACATTTTGAGAAGGACGAATATACGTCTGAGTCTTGCGACGAACGGTATTTGTAGGCGGCGAACCTTCCGCGTTTCCGTCCAGGGTTGCGCAACCCTGCCGGGATGACCTAAGCACGATGACGGCCTGATTAGATTATTTGGACTATCGATTTGGAATCTGATGTCAATCACCGCTCTCCTCGCTTGTTCCATGTGTAATGTACCGCCCGCAAAGCCACCATAGTCAATCCATCCCTCACATCGCTCTTTCTCCTTCTGCTGTGAAGTTGCGCATATGTTCGCACACAGCAGGGAAGTCGAGGTCATTGGGTACCGATACATATTTCTCCTTGCAACTGGACGCACATTGGCGTACATCATCAGAATGGTTACTGTTCGAGAGCAAGCACAGAAAGGTCGCACTGGCTTTCGAGATTGAACCTCAGTAAGATGAGAAGACTGTAATTATCTCACGACCAACATGTATCTATATAATCTGTCCTAAATCCACGGACCAGTCCTCTGCCTCTGAATCACATTGGGATGCAACTTAAACTAGATTCCCGCAGCTACCAGGGTATATGCGCTGTAGATCGATCCGCCGAGTAACGCTGAGTGGATTGAGCCTTCAGGTGCAAAGCTGTCCGATTTCGCGAGGTGTACTTACTGAGCAGGCCGGGGAGGTACGTTCCCATGTTGAAGATGTTGTTCCGCTGCGGGTTCCAGTAAGTCTGATGCCGACGCGAACACTACTACACGCACGTTCTCCGGCTTCCCAGACGCGTATCCCACGGTGTATGCGACCCGACTGACAATCCAGAGACCGAGCCCAGTCGCGGCAGCACGGGGGGACGTCAGTGAGAGGACCAGCGTCCTGCGCACCGGATAAGTGGGTGCCTGATTCGATGAGAATGGATACCTTACATCATGTACACTTGGGCGATGTTTTCGATAGTCTTCAGGCGGTGATGCGGTCAGTGTTTATGCTACAGGAAAGCCGCCGGAAGCAACCCACGTTTTGATGTGCACGTTGCACGCAGTTGAATTTGTGCGCCAGAGGATTCTTGCTGGCCTCCTCTTTGTCGGCATACACTGGCCACGTCAGAGAGCTTGAAAACGCGTCAGATCGGCTGGACGTACATTGAGGATAGGCAATCCCAGCCGCCGCACGGTGTTTCGAGACCGTAATGCTCTGGCCCATCAACAGGATCGTTGTGGAGGCGAGTGCGGCCGCGACCCAAGAGAAGCTTCACCGATATCGTCATTCTCATGGCATTCTCGACTGGGACGACAAGCATACCCGGTAGGAACAGTGATTGTTGAGGTCATCGAGGTCTTGATTGAGGAAGAAAGGATGAGTTTATCGAGGTATATAGCCAAGTAGAGCAGCAGTGAGCAAACTTCAAAACAAAGCCAGGTATTTAGGCCTGATCGAAGTTTTCCGGACAACCGGGAAACCGTGGCCCGATTGTCAGCATGACTCAGCATCGTTGTGTAGGGCCATCAATGAATCAGTTGGGTACAGGTCAGTCTGAGCCTGGTCCAAGGCAACCGAGGACTGGCATCTACAAGGGTGCCGATGAACACCAACTGTGAGTAAGCCGAGTCGGACACGAGGAGTTCGTAGTACGTGGCAGCTTATGAAGCACCACAGGGCCAATGGTAAGTAATCATTTGTTCGGTCGACGATGACTTGGCACGGCACGGGCGAGACTATAGTGTTTATAGTGTTCCACAGGATCGAAAAAGATGGAGCATAACAAGGGGCGGTCAAATCAGGGCGCACTCAAGCGAACCGACTTATATAGCGTTTGGTGGCGGATTCGCGATATATCATGACAATTGCGTGCAAAGGCGCATTTCCCCGGCACAGGTAAGCAAGTGTGGTAATACGAAACCATTGGCCTTATCTGACTCTCCACAATATATATCCAAATAAACATTGCTCTATTGACCGGCCACCCAATTGACCATGATGCTTCTCGTCCCACTCTTTTCACTCGGATATGCGGCCAAGACTCTCTCTGTGGCCAACTCTTCAATGAGGTTCAGGGTCTTGGGGACGGCGGTGCTGGACGCAGAAGGACTGGAATTGTCCATCAAATGCCGAGCGCACTTTCGATGGATCAGCGGTTTGGTCAATTTCATCAAGACAGGTAAGTGCGCACTAGTTTGACGCCAAGCCAAGCTCGGACGGCGATCCCACTGGGAGGGAACGCCTCTGGAGAGTCTAGCTCCCGTTCGAGCATGTCGACAGCAACGAGGAAGTATTTCAGCGCAAGGGGGATGTCACCAGCGGTGTATGCTGTCTCGGCGTATTGTAAGACATAGAATGGGTTCTGCGGAGCGAGAAGGAGGGCTTGAGATAGCGATTGCAAAGAGTTTGAGTATCTGAACAAGGATTGATGAGACAGAGGCATAGAAAAGAGTGCATTCGTACTGATGGCAGGAAGTGTAGATGTCCGTCAGCTCCAACCATCCGTCTACGTCGTTGTAGAATATATCGAGTAACTCCGATAGCTCTGTCACTGCTTGTTCAAGCCTCCCTAATCTTCTGAGAACTGAGATCTTGCGCTTCCAAGCGGCCTGAATGGTGTGACACGACGCAGGGGTGCAGCAAGGAGGCGCGCACCATGTTGGCCTCATCTGCGTCCAAAAGTTGTGTGTAGTACTGAAGCACCGTCTCGGCAGGCTCTGACGCCTCCATTCGTATTCCAGTAAGGACCTCAACGCGCGGAGAGTCCCGGAATTGATCGCTCAATTGTTGCAGACATTTCTGTGACGAGAATGAGCTATACGTGGGCAGACAGGTGAAGCACGGGCGAACATCCGCAATGTCAAGGCGACCCATATCCATAGCCGCAAGGAAAAGTTGTTCGAGCACCGTCCAACCTGCAAGAAATAAGGTCATTGAACCGCATACTGCGTGTCCTATGGACCACGCACCATCATCCCCCAATGATTTGACCGAGTTCAAAATGAGTTCGGCATTCTTGAACACTTCCTGCGATTCGCGCGCATTGCTATTGCGAAAGGTGGCGAGTTTCTCGAGGACGGAGGAGAGTGACATTGGGAGGGGACCGGGTCACCTGAGAAGCGCGTGCCGGCTGGAAGACAAACACGCGATGACAAAGACCTTCTCTTCCTCCAGCGTTGTGGGTCCCTCGTCCAAGCGGCTCCATGCCGTACCTTGGATGACAAAAGGGCACATTGATCTTGCCTCTTTCCATACTCACTGCGGGCGATCGCGACCTGCGCTTGAGATCCCCACAAGAAGCGTTGTAATCGTCGATGCACCCTTCTCCCGACGATGCTCTAACACTTGCCGATATAATGCACGACTCCCCTCCGCGTCCGAGTTCGCCAACCGTTGAAGCACTCCAGGACCATGAGATCGCGGAAATACGCGCCCGCGCTCTGCAACTCGAGAACGAGGCAGTCGGTGCGGCGCGTGAACAAGAGCTGCTCGATATGGTTCGTGCTTCTGACGCCTCATCAAGCAATACTCACGCCTCACCTAGATTCTCAGGCTGACGGATGCCTCGCGACTTCGTCCCGATCCGGCACAACTCGTGAGACAGGCTGAAACTATCGCTACGCTGGTCCATGAACGAGAGTATCTGATACAGTGGATTGGGGAGGAGAAGATGCGATGGCAGAGCGAACGCGAGGGATGGGAACGATCCTCAGAGGCCTTGATTATGTTACGAAATCGTCGTGTCAGTGCAGTGGGACAAGAATCGGTCGGTGCTTTAGTTGTGCACTCATCGTAGGTGTTCATCTACAACCCACAGGAATTGCAAAGGATGTGTGAGACTCTGCAGATGGAAAAGCAAACGTTGGTAACCAAGGTTCAGTCTCTTCAACTGTCATATTGTCAAAAAGGACTGAAAGAAATTGATAGCTGGACCATCTCCAATCGAGAATCAATGCGCTGGAGAGCGAGGTGCTCAAACTAAAGCCCAATCTTCTGATGCAGCCATTCGTTCCAACTTCTGCGGTTGGGTCTGACGGCATATCACAACCGCCATCTTTGCATGCCCTAGCTCAATCCTCGTCTTACCTTGCCGCTCTTCCGTACCCTTCGATGGGCGACACAGTTGCTTCTCGAAAGAAGAGGATGATTATGCGATTGAAGAGAGCGATGAACCCGAATCGCATAGCGTCGTCGTCCAGTCTCCCTTTGCCCCCGTCGGATTCGCGTACAATCAATGACATCCCTCGGAGGGCAACCAATGGTTTTCGAAACAAAACACGACGCAATCAACCCCCTCTCATGCTTGCTTCCGACGCCAGAGCGGAACATCTCCTGCTTGCTGCAAAGCGGATGGGACGGGAGCGGGCTGGGCTTGCAGTGGGAGTGCTGAGTGCTGAGCGGAATCGAGCGGAGCGAGAGAAGGCGGCGAGAGATCACGAGGCAGCTGAGAGAGAGCAAGAGAGATTAGAGAGAGAGCAGCGGAACCAGGAAGCTGGTGCAGGCTATTATCGAGAACGTCCGGTGTCCGGCTCTGGTAGCAAGGGAAAGGAAAAGTCCAAGCAGCTTGAACCCGCGATCAGCTCGTCGACGATGATCACTCGCCGACGCGGTCCCGTGTCCGAGGTTGCCGATCTTCCCGAACTTAAGCGACGGAAAAGCAAGAACAAGTCATCCGAAGTCACAGGGCTGACCACTCGCGCGGATGCGGACTCGGTTTCCGGTAAACGCACTCGTGGCAAGCCGGAAATCGGAGTCACTCCCGAGCCTCCACTTCCGGACATTTCATCTCAGGAGATTTGGCAGACTGGTCGGGAAATGGGTGAAGATGCCGCGCTGGGAGATGTCGAGGTGGAAGCTGCGGAGGAGATGACTGTCGGGGCGAACGAGACATTGCGAGATATGGCCCCCGCTACAACTTCGCCCGAGGAACATGCAGGTGATGGTCCTCTTGTTTTGATATTGGATCCATTACGGCCGACGTCTCAAGGCAGAGAATTGGCTCTTTTGCCTCTCGCGGACGACGAGTATCTTGACCACGACGCCGATGGCGAGAGCGATCCTGATATTGAAATGGTCGTTCCTCAATCCACCTTGGATCGCAATGCATAATCTGCTGCCAGTACCCATTTGTATCCATCTAGTCTGTATCTTGTAATGGCACCATATCACGCTTGTGCTTTTTCCTGTCCTCTATCTCAATTGCCGAAGCCATACAGATTGGTCAAGCAGAAGCATGGTCGGATGCACATGTGACGGACGTGACGTTGATAGCCGGACGGATGTGCGAGGATGTTGTTTCGCGCGCTCACCTCGCTAGCCCTCCTCTGCGGAGCGTTAGCGCAACAGACGAAGTTTCACCTATCTTCTGTTGGACATGAAGAGTTCAAGACACTCTCGAGTGCACGGTTCCCGAATCATCGGGTGCGCGTCAAGCAGAGCGCGTTCTGCGATCCCACCGTCAAGTAATCCCTCGCGCGGGTCCCAAATCTAGTTCGATCTCAATTGACTCCCGTCTCAAGTGTGTACACCGGATACCTCGACGTAGACGAGGGCGCGAAGCATCTGTTCTTCTACTTCTTCGAAAGCAGACGCGATCCAGCCAAGGGTGAATACATTCTAATCTGATACCAGGAAGACTCAATTACTAAACGCCTAACGCTCGGCAGATGATGTCCTGATGTGGAGTGCGCCGCGCCTCTTGTAATCATCGCTGTTGCTCAAGCTCTCTAGTCAATGGAGGCCCGGGGTGCAGCTCGTCGATGGGGTTGCTTATGGAGCTGGGTAGGCTCATATTGTCTCACTGTCACAGCAGGCTAACGATACACACTGCGTAGGGCCGTGCAGCATCGACATGTCATCGAATGGGACGGTCTGGAATCCGCACTCCTGGAATTCATTCGCCAATATCTTCTTCCTCGATCAACCGTATGTCCCCGCCATCCATTCTAGCGCATAACATTGACTTCAAAACAGTGTAGGAGTTGGTTTCTCGTATGCCGAGCACGGCGAAACGATCGAAACGACTGAGGACGCAGCCAAGAACGTGCACGCGTTTATCTCGCTCTTCTTCGAGGCCTTTCCGCAGTTTGAAGGTCGGGCGCTGCATCTGTCAGGAGAATCCTATGCTGTACGAAGCTATGCAAAGATCACGAGCTTCGTGTGCTGATTTTTGTACAGGGCCGCTATCTTCCTGTATTTGCGAGCGAGATATACGATCAGAACCGACAAGGGCACTCCAATATCAACCTGCAGAGTGTAATCATTGGGAATGGGATCACCGATATCTCAACGTCTGGATCTTCTTATCGTCTATCTCTAAATCTCTGATTGCCCCCAACAGTTTGTACCCGGGGCGTTATGAAATCGAATGTGGAACTGCAGCATTGGAAGTACCGTTTCAATCCATTGGGACTTGCGTTCGCATGAAGGCCGCTGTCAGTCTCATCTCAAACCTGACCCCTGCACCATCGTCTCTTACAACTTATCAGCTTCCACGATGCCAGCAAAGGATGAAAGAAAGTTGTATCGACCGTTTCGACGCAATCGATTGCCAAGCTGCGGTCAGCTTTTGTGACAGCCAGCTCTCCTCTGGGATGTGGGCAAGTGGGCGGAATGTGTACGACATCTCGAAGGTTTGCTGTCAGCCCCCGTCAAGATGATCCACGTTTATCGAACCCCAGATGTGTGTCGGCGACGGACTGTGCTACGAAGAAAACCAGATCATCACCAAGTACTTGTCCGACCCCGCGATTCTATCCTTGCTGGGTGTCTCGCCGGATGCTGCCAACTTTTCCTCGTGCTCGAATGCCGTCGGACGTCAATTCAGCTCCCATCTCGATAAATGGAACTTCCCTACGCAACACTACGTGTCTGGTCTGCTCGACCGGGGAATCCGTGTGCTGATCTACGCCGGCACGTACGACTGGCAGTGTAATTGGGTCGCAAACAAACTCTGGGTCGACAAGCTGGAGTGGAGCGGCCAAGCGCAATACGCAGCCCTCGAGTGGACCAGCTGGGGAACCAACGGCAAAGCAGGCGAAGTGAAGCAGAGCCCAGATCTCCCCTTGGCGTTCGTAACTGTTCGGGGTGCGGGCCATATGATGAGTCCCGCTTCTATCTGCTGCTGCATGTCCACTGATATTCCTTTACGTGCCTTATGACAAGCCAGGAGAATCTCTCGCAATGTTGTCCGCTTGGCTGCATGGGACGATGTTGTAGTGTTTCTTCCGCGAAAGACGAATTGTTCTCGAGCTTCTGTCATGTAACATGCAACGACTGTAGTGTCGCATCTTCTACAGTCAAGGCGTATTTTCTGATCCAGCGTGCACACTGCTTTGAACGCTACACCGTGACTGGCGCAATACCGCTGGGGACGCGCTTCCTCAAGAGTTACAAAACCCACCTCCGATGAACCTATCCTACAATCAGCGCGACCTTCAGAGTGTACGAATGCGACACACGGATGCAACTTCGCGACCTCATTCAACACGTTCATCAGTACCGGCATTCCCTCCATGAAGGTAGTCAGCCCCTTCTCGATCACCTGCATCGCACCCACGGCATCCAGTCCCGTCTCGAAACCCCGCGAAAATGCGACGGGCTGTGCGCTATCGTTGGCCCGCCCTGTTGGCCTTAAGTTCGGCGGATGCGAGTGCTTATGAATTGTGCAAGTCCTTCGAGAGGGCATCCTGTAGTTCTTGAGGAGCTGCTACGGATGCCGCTGGGGTAGACGGCAGAGGAGGGACGCTTGCCGTGCTTGACGTCGAGGAGGATTGCTTGTGCAAGCTATTAGAGCTTGACTTCTCGAGAGGCCGAGTTTGCACTCAAATTGCGCAGAAGCATCTTCGTTGGAATTGACAGTTCCTGACCAGGGTGGTTGTTCGCAATTCAATATATTGTATGCGTCTTGTCAAACTCTTATGCCTCAAAGCAATTGCGGGTTCAGATGGCCACTTTGGATTGTAGACATAGCTCAATGGCAGATTCGATCGAGTTTGTATGTACTTCGACGCCTTGAAATGCCTGTGTCTTGCCGGGCATGGATTTCAATGGATGTCAAATTTTACAAGTACCAGAATCTGGGTTTGGAACGTAGCTACGCGATCCTATTCATCAATGCATAACGGATGAACCTGATTCGATCCTACCAACTGCCAACAACAACTCCTGCAGCCGTTTCTCAACGCTGACAAGCCTCTCCTCCATGGTCAGTTTCTTCCTACTCGCAACCTTTTCCACCACGCGAACAAGATCGTGCTGGTAATAAGCATGGCCTTGCAATGTGTTTGTGCCCTTGTCGTCACAGGCGCAACAGATGAGACCTTCGCACTGCACACAGAACCAACATGGCGGCTCGGTGATAGGGGATTGACAGATCTGACAGACATGCTGCTCACCCTGCTCTGACAACCGCTTTCGAGCGGATGACATCGCTAGTTTGGCCTCGCGGAAGGTCTTGCCAATTTGACGATAATGCAAATGACGCCGGACTTTGAGCAAATCATGCTCCGGAAGGTGGGGCTCCTGCATGTCGTCCCGCAAAACCCGCTCTGCCATACAATCCACAGAATCGTGAAAGTCGACCGTGTTCCAGGTGTCCTTCATCTGGCACTCCAAGCAAATAACTCGCGCCCAAATAATGTCGCCTCCGCAGCCATCGCAGGAGTAGTTGTACTGCTCCATACTGCAGTTGATCCGTCCAGCCAGCGAGTGATAGAATATCGAGTCGGCCAATGTCATCATCTTCAATTGAGCGAATTCTGCACGGTGCGCATCGCTCAGCGAACGTTCCGACTTCCAAGGTCTCCTTCTGCTGCGGATGTACAGCTCGATAAATCGTAATCGGCGATCTCTTCGCCTTCTGAAGTGCGACCAGGCCCATCGGCCCCTTCGAATGTCATCGTGCACGGCATTGATCGCAAACTTCCATAATGCACGCGGGCGACTCTCTTCGAGCTCTCCGGGTGAGGGCATGAAGCAGGTGTGTTCAAGCGAAAATCGTCGGAACACAAACAACGCAGAGTGGGTGCTTGCATCTTCCTCAGGGCCTTGAGTGCCGGACAACATCTCCGCTGCTGGATCCCAGGTTCCGCTGAAGTGCTTGTTTTCCATCTCATTCGACTCATTCGACGATGAGTACTTGAACGTGAGAGAGAATGTCGACGGGTGACATTTTCCGGACACAATGAAGCTGCCCCATAAAGCGCGACCGGATGCTTTGAATCCCTGGATCTTGTCTTCAGAGATAGCTGGTTCCAGAGCCAATGAGATCATTTCAGAGGAAGGACTTTGACTCGCGCGACTGTCGTACAGAAAACCGTGCCATGCTGAGGAGAACAGATTCTCGAATCCGGGCATCATCGCCTCTTCTGGTCCTGAAACAGATGGAAGGGGCAACTCGTACGCCCCACGGTCGAGATCTTCCTTATTCTTGATGTCCTTGAGAATGCCCTTCGAAACAACCATGCCGCCATGATGGGGTACATCATATTCTTCTTCGAACTCACTAAGAAGCAGTCAAGCTATACAAATACAACGGATAGAGAATGAAACGACCCACGTCTCCAGCACGTTCTTGGAATTCCAGTAGAGACTCTCGTCATTGAAGTACTGATAGCTTCCGAATGCGAACGTCTTAAGATACAAATTTGGTTCTGCTCTTTGTTGGCTGCAGGTACCTGTATAACAACTGTGAGAACGATTCAAGTCTTGGTAAAGCCACTTACTTCGAAGTTGTTCAAGCCTCTGATATAGTGCATAAAACGGCCATCGGAGAGCCTGCGCGGCTGCAGAAAGCTCTTCCTCATTGATGATCATGGTTTGGCAGAGCCGCAAGATCTCCAGGTGTCGCTCGATCAAGAGATACACCAAAGGAAAAATGAACTAAAACTCAGGTCAATACCATGATAAGAAGCCACGAGCTTGTGGATACTTTTTCGATTCGACCCGGTCCTGTAATAAGATTCAAAGTTCTCAGTGCGTCGATTCTTCAATGGAGATTCAGCATAGTCGTCATGAAGTACCGAACGAACGAACTGATAGTCGACCCCCTCCAAGTTAGCTGGGCATGTCATTTGTGAGCTGAACCGTTGTCTGAGGGAACCCGCTCACTTCTGAGTCTCTCCTGTTCCGTCTCCCTATGAGATTCAAACTGGGTCGGCTGGTGTTATCAAACTGCGCCCGGTGAATCAGTTTTGACGAACCTGGGATGTGTTGCGGAAGCCACATTTGTTCAGAGAAGAAACTAATGTCCAGACAAGACGATAAATTGCATGCAAGTAGTTATCCATACGATGTTTGTTCGCAAACAGGATGCTAGGCACAAGCCTAAACATATCCGCCACTAAATGACGAATACGTTCTGCGTAGAATTGCATCGTCAGGTGTTGGCCAATGGCCCAGTAGGCGATCCAACAGGGAAGACTGATAGAGTTGGCAAATCAGACAGGGCCGTTTGCGTCTTGATCCCTGCAGGGCTTACCTCCAGTGCAGAGGCCGTGAATTCGTGAATGCGTTCGCTTCAGCGACGGTGATGAACCCAGACGAATCGTCATCGATTTCCTCTGAGATCGCCTGGACTCGGGAGATGCTGAAATTATGAGAGCCGTAAACAACACGCCATCGGAAGAACACCCACTTGAGACATTCCAAGGCCCAAGTGTCTTCTTGGTTGATTTGCATGTCGTGCGTGTCTTTTTGCTCGGTTGTTGTGTGGTCTGTTCGGTTTTGGAAGTGATCGAGGAGAGCCGCAACAAAGTGGCGAGTTTTCACACTCCTCCGCCAACCCATCTCCTTCCATATCATATACACGTTCTGGTTTATTGTCAGCCCCGAAGAATCGGAAAGAAGAGTGGAAGGCACACGGGATCGATGATTTTGTCATGGGGACCAGCGGTGACAGCGGTGATGACTCTGTCACCTTCGCGTTCGACGACTCCCTTGAGCTCGTCACTGTTATGCGGCATCTTCAATATCTCGAGTATAGTCAAGAGCTTGGCTAACTCACATGATCTGTCTCTTCTGCATTTCAAACTTCATTGTAAAGACCGTGATGTTTTGGTCCATCGCCTTCTGTGGATCGGTGTGTAATTCTTGCTTTAGCTCGTTCAGATCCAGGGTTTGCACCGCTTTCCCGCCATGGCTAGGGCTTCCACCCTGGGCTGCGAGCATCTTTGTCTCGAGTTTGCCCAATTCTTTGAGCGCGTTATCATCGGTCATGACACTTCGCCCTCCCTTTTTCTCGATCATCTGCGTCATCTCCTTTTGCTCAGGTGAAATCAACCGCCCCAGAATCTTGCTCATCTTCTCGTCGATGTCCCTCATCAAGACACTCTCTTTGGTACGGTATTCGATCATAGCGTCGAGGCTGAGTGTGTTGTGTATCAAGAACGCCATTTTGAAATCAGCTCGGCGCTGGGCGAAGATGCCGACGAAGGCGGCGAGGCGGCCTTCCCAGACTGGACCTTGGAGGACCTTGACTAAATGAAGTCAGCGGTCAAAATCTATCCATGGAAGGCCAAAATTGGGCCAACCTATCAGCTTTTTCTTGCAGTACGTGTCACATGCTATGTATAGTCTTTGAGTTGTCTGCTCAGAAAAAGTGTGATGTTTTACCATTGGCGCAAGCTTTGATGTCGTCTGCAGTGGCCTTGATGATGGACTGTATCTTGCTTCTTATCGTCGTCGATCCGTCTTGAGCAACTTTATCCACATCTTTGACACTTTTGAGCCTGACAGTTTGTAAGTCCCATGCCTTGACCGGCGAGCGCCCAACATACTGAGTGAGCACACTCATCATGTCTTTCATCTCCATGTGCAGCTGTACAAGATTCAATGACGTGAAAACAAGAAGTATGGGCTGCTGACAAGAGAAATCTTCCTGTCGTTGTCTGTACGCTTTTGCTCCAGTGCCCAAACAGCTTTGAATGCCACAACTGCGACTAAGATAAAGATTAGACACGAAATGCGTAAAGCGGAATACACACTTTCAATGAATCTGAGGCGAGTCGCATCAACAGCTCATGCACGCAGCGTGGAAGAAAATGACTTACGGATGCAGTTTTGCCACTTCATCCAAAACCCTCATGAGCGCCGGGATTCCGTCGGCGAAAGTGTTCAATCGTTTCTCGATCTCTCCCAACTCGGAAACGCTCCCCAAGACAGCCCCATAGGGCTCAATCAGAGAGGACGATGCTCGATTTGACGAGTTACAAATGCGTTTTGCAAGTAACTGTGATTTGGTCCCAAACTTCTTGAGCAACATAGCACGGACAGCAAGCAATGTCTGTCGAGAGAGAGGGAGAGAGAGAGAGAGAGCGGCGTGGGAATCCGAGAAGAGATTCCATATAAACACGCTCAAGCTATGAATAGTAACGGTGCCGCATGCAATCCTAAGCGCCCATGAGCCTGGAAAGACCGACACAGATTAGTGTTACAAGGTCATTTGGGTCTGTGTAAGAGACTCGCCGCAGATCGCATCCGATACATCGAGCCAACTGTGCATTGTCGACGAAGCGTCATTGGGCTCATAGCCTTACTTTGCTCGTAGCTTCCCATAGATGGCCCGATAAGAGAGAAGCAATACTCTCCAAGCGCTGGAATGTAATCCGGTCGAGCGCTAACGCTGATTTATCTATAGTCTATCAGAGTGCATGAGGAGTAAGCCAGGCAGCTGCCAAGTTCACAGCAGGGCAGATGACCGAGATTGGTGTTGCATGTGACCGCTGCTCACTGAGCAATCCTCGCCTAGCTATCCCTTGAAATACGGCAGGTTGACCGCCACACAGTTCGCAAGTGAACACGAATGGCACGTGCCAATCCACGGAATCAGTACCAGACGTTTTTTGAGCGCCCAGTCTAACTGATGGATGGATGGATGGATGGGCTTGTCACAGAATCATTGAACCGGATCTTCACAAGGTCATTCGGGGGGTAGAAGATGGTCTGTGAGAAGAAAGATGGTGGACGTAGAGAAGCGCTGAATGCGTCGACTAGACAGACACGCGTGTGACCTTCCAAAAACGCATAGAAACTTCGATACATCGCCGGGATCTAGTAGTGACTCGTTACTTGAATGCGATAGTAGGATTCCACCGGGAATGAAGTGCATGGGTATGAGGAAAGGCAGAGTGCATGTCGGCAGCCGACCCGTCGCAATGTCCTGAGAGCAGGAATGATCACCGACAAAGAGTAAATGAAAGCAAGCCTGCTCACTTGCCAACAATCGGCGATCAACAGCTCCCAAAAGAGACCACACCATTTCTGGACCCCGCGTGCTTTGGAACCCCATCGGAGACAGTGGCGGCCTGGAAAGAGGATTGTCGGATTAGCCACGACCAAACACGATGCGTTCCACTGACGCTGGCCAGTCTAATGCCCCAGAATCAGACCCCGAAACTGAATTAGGATGAATCGACTTGGGCTTTGCGCCAGTTTTGCAGGAATCCCAAAGAGAGTCCAGGTGCTCTCGAAGGTGTGCTGGAGAGCACATATGCACCCGTATATCACCATCGACGCTTGCGTCTGCACTTCTGCAACGCTTGGGGGGGGGGGGGGGGGGGGCTCCGAGACTGGCTAGAGTGCCAATGATGCTCTGGTTAGCGCCTAATAGTACTTCTAATTTCTCATAGCGACTGCGTGTAACACTGTTTCCGCTGCATTCAGATTGTGCGCCGCAGAGAATGGCGGTCGCACGGCGCCCAGTCCACCAAAACTAGGATAAAGTAGATCAGAGTAAAGCCTTATGCGGTACCAGTGAACGGTGGACTGCCCCACCTCGTGTCGATTGCGCTGGTGCACAGAATACCAAAACGGCTGCATCTCGTCCTGCAGTTGACTTGACGTGAGAGCGTCGAGGAATCACAGCGCTTGCGCCAAGTACAGCCCGCGCAGATGCGCTGTCTTCGTATGGTGTGAGAAGGCCGGTCAAAAAGTCTGAGTCGATTCCCGATGCGTCGCCAGAGAGCGAGTTTGCAGAATGTCATCGACGCTGCTGCAGTGCTACCACATTCAAGGCTCGTGACTAGCTTGATGTGGTGTGACAGCACGTGTTCCTTCCGATCCACTCGAACAAAAGATTGTTTCGGTTTGATGGGGACCACATTCTCTGAGGATGTGCGTCTATTGCATTCATGGTGAAGAATGACTGTCTATCCAATGTCGCTGTAGAGCATGCGAGCACTATGAACCACGGGGAGAGCCATCTTGGCTGCAGTCAGGAAGATTTGGATTCTCAATCAGCTAGCATTTAGCTGTTGTGCTAACCACAAGATGATCAAGCACGCTGATACTTACTTCATCTATTGCTCATCACCATATATAAAATGGAATCGCGCACGAGCGCAGAGTGCTTGCTTCAAAGACATCATTCTGTACAAATCCAGGCATATCTGTGGCAAAATCATGCAATTTGTAGGGCAAATTCTTTCCTCCCAGATTCTTGACACGTTTGTGGTCAAATAGTCCGACAGGCGCCCAGCTAAGGTATGCCGCATTAAGAACCAGCACCCCTTAGTAAGCAGCGCGTGACGGTCACGTGACGGTCAAATCCACGGTCCGAAAAATGCAGCCCTTCTTTTTTGGTATAACGATGGACTTGTATGCACCAAAAGTGATCCAAAATGGGTGTCCCAAGGATAATTGAGCTTTTGTATGGCTACTATGACTATAGAAGGGGTTCTCGACGCTAGTAGCACTGCCACTTCCCAATTAGGAAGTCACGTGAATGGTCAAATCTTCCGACCCAAAATTAAAAAATGCTCAGTTGAGTGGGAAATCACTTTCTACAATAAAAGGAAACTTTTGATGCAAAATGCTTGAGCCTCATATCATGCTCTCCAGGAGGCATAATAAAAGATTCGGTTCAGATAGCAGGTGCTCTAAAGGCCTCTAAAAACACCTCATGTGAGTGCTTTGGCTATATTCCCTCTGTGGGCGCCGTCATTTTCCGTCGCTGTTTGTCACGGTGTGACGCTTAGTCATGGGTGCTGGTTTCTAATGCGGCATACCTTACTCCCTATGATATCAGTCCGGTGACAAGCATGGATGCACCCTGGCGCAATCAATTGATCTGATGTCACATCAGTATGACGTAGCAAGCTGCTTGGTCTGACAGCATAGCCACAACTCACTGGCACGTGATGATGAGCATGGATGCACCTGGCCCCGCAATCAATTGATCTGATATATAGAGTATATGCTGGGGTAACCGCCCACGCTGGTTATGTTGCAGTTACACTCCCGTAAGCTAGCCGGCGTAACCAGCCCAAATACACATTATACCCTCGAGTGATTGTGGGTTGATTGCAGGTGCCAGTCAGACAAACAGGAGACTCCCAGGTGGCCTGAGCCAAGAGATCAGCGCCACATGAGCAAGACAAGCATCAACGCGTTGCGTTGTGTCAGTGCCGCACCTCAGACTCAACTCAATGCAAGTAATTGAGCTAATTACTATGTGGACAGGCAGAGAAGTAGAGGGTGTGGTTTTGGAAGCATTTTACAGGGCAACGGTAAGTTGTTCATTTCTCAATTAAGATCAAACATCTTGATGTTTTTGAGACGTTTGATTGAACATTGAAATAAATTTGATTGAGCACTGCACAACACCTTGAATTAAAATGCTCAATCGGTCTGTTCCCCCATGTTCAAACAAGCATTAAAAAATTGGAAAGAGGTCACAGTCTGGTAACACTGCCACCGTGCTCTCCTGCTTATTGCACAGAGCTTCCAGCATTGCAGCAGAGTCACTGGTGCTTGCTCATTACCGGATCTTCAAATTGTACCTCACGACAAGTTGTCTAGCATGATTCATCGCGCTTGCTCATTGCCGACCCTGCCGGATATAGAATCTGTTTTAAATCAGTTTCGAGAGCAAGATCAAGAGACATCTTCTAGTTGTTCTGTGTGTCAGGCATCTGGTAAAATGCTAAGGGCGTGCTCACAAGTGAATTTACTGTGAAGGTAAACTCAAATGTAAACACGTTCACACTCCTCATAATCAGCTTCTCAGTGTGTGAAAGATGTGAGGGCTTTGGGTGAACAGAACACCAGTATCACAACTCTCAATAGATGCGGGATCCAATAGTTGCAGAAGATGGAGTCAACAACAAGGATATATATATAGCAAAACAATGGTGTCTCAACCAATATCTTCTATACAGCCAAAACCAACACTAATCCAATCACAACCAACAATATCACAAGTCAGAACTTTAATATGGAGTATTAAGATCCCTTGTAGCAACAGCGTCTGGATCGTGACGCAAAGCCCAAAATATCAAGTCAACGCACTGCCAACCAATACAACCAAGATACTGAGTTGATGCACTGCCAACTAGTAGAACCAAAATGTCAAGTCAATGCACTGCCAACTGACACAACCAAAGTACTGAGTCGACACACTGCCAACCGATACAACCAAGATACTGAGTTGACGCACTGCCAACTAGTAAAGCCAAAATGCTGCGTCAATGCACTGCCAACTAACAGCCAAAATCCAAAGTCCAAAACCCAAGCACAACTTGTTGACGCACTGCCAAGCAAGAAGTGTGGAACCAAAGTCCTCAAGTTGACGCACTGCCAACTGACCAAAACTACCCAAGCACAACTAGTCAACGCACTGCCAAACTAGAGGTGTGGAAACAATCTCAACAAAGTGTCAGGGGAACCCCCGCTTTGGACCGATCAGCCTGGGATCTGGCATGTGATCGTGCTTGTGTGACCTGTCAGCTGTCACGCGCAGTGGCCCGGACCGCCACACCAAGTGCTTCTCTCTGATGGCAGGTGGTGCCATTGTTCCTATTGTCTCCGTTTCCTATTGTTCTGTCATGGCTATTGTACTTATTGTTCCTATTGTTCTTGTTTGCCGCTGCGTGGTCTATTGTTCCTGTATCATATAAATAGTGACGCCTGGCAAGGAGAATCCCCAACACAGTTTCTCTTTGGATTCTCCCTTGCCAGGTATGCCGGTCTTGTACATAGCTACCACTATTATTCACCTTTGGATTCTCCCTTGCCAGAACTCTGAGATTGGGTCTCGAGGTTGCCCTTACAGCAGAAACCGTGTTCCTAGGGATAACCGGACAAGATTGCAAGGTTTGACACTGATGCCAGTGGAGAAGAGTCGACAAGCGACCAAGACCACCAATCCCTCACCTCCTATCTTGCCCCCTCCTCCCCTCCACGAGCAGACCCGATGAGCATGGAGGACAACAAACAGCAGCAGCTGTCTGCTCTGGAGACCAGCATACAGAACATTGAGGCCATACTCACCCACCTCATCTCTCAACAACAACAACCCCTGCCCCTGCCCCTGCTCCAGCTCTGGCAGCGGGTCCAGGTGTTTCTACTGGCGCCAGCCCTGCACGCCCCCTTATCTGCCCAAATCCTCCTTTCTCCTTTGATGGGGATCGCACCCTGGGCAAGAGCTTCTTGCACTCAGTGAAGCAGTACTGGCGCCTGCTTCCTGAGGCGTTCTTTGTGAATGGGGCAGTCTCGGAAGAAAAGGTAGTCCGCTTTGCCCTGTCCTACATGTCCAAGGACTCCGCGACCTCCTGGTCAAAGCGCATGTCCGAGCGCACCCCATTCCCGTTCCCTACTTGGGCTCTCTTTGTCACTGAGTTCAAGCTTTGATTTGTCGAGGAGAACAAGCAAGACCACGCCCTGGTGCGACTGGAGACCCATCTGTATTATATGGGCTCCCGTGACATGTTCAAGTACACGGACAAAAACAACGACCTCCTTGACCTTGCCGGCTATACTGACAATCTGGTCAAGGTGACCAAATATAGGACGGGCCTGGACCCAAAGATCAACCAGGCTATCACCACCTCTGGCAACCCTCCCAGGCTTAACAACTACACCAAGTGGCGTGTCCATGCATTCCGGCAGTACAATGCGGAACAGGCTGCCAAGGCGTCTTGAGTCCACATCCCTCCTCCCCAAGCGCCTCCTATCATCCCTTGTCCTTGTGCCCTGGTGCTCCCTGCTGTAGCACCGGCAATTGCTGCCCGCCCGGCGCCGGCTCCTGTTGCCCACCCCATCCCCATGGAGTTGGATTGGACCCGGCTCCGTGGTGACGTTTGCCACACCTGCTTCCACTGCAGCAGTCCGGGCCATCTTGCCCGTGACTGCCCCACCCCAGCTGATATCCATCACGCTGATGTCCTTGATGAGGTCATCAACCAGCTGGGAAGTGAGTTGCTCTCTGAGTTGGTTGCTTGGGTCGCGACCACTGCAGCCGTTGCGGACCACGCATCCAACGTCACAGCTGAGGAGGAGCAGGGTTTTCTCCCCAGCGACAAGTGAGTAGTACGCCCTCGTTTGCTTCACGTAATTGTTTCTCCTGTTTGTATGATGAATCCAATTCCCTCCACTCTGCAACAGTTGAAGCGATAGACGTACACCCTGCTCCCCCTCTAATCCCATGAGTCCGTAAGGAGAAGTGGGAACGCAAGCTCCCTTCCTGCTATGTCGCTGCTACCTCTCCCAGGGCCAATTCTCTCCACCTTCCCCTCAAGATTGAGTCCACTGACAATGCAGTGAAGTTATCTCCCAAAGGCCTGGTCAATTGTGGTGCCACATCTGACTTCATCGACTCAGACTATGTCCTCAAAAATGACCTCCCCGTTTGATGCCTCACCCAGCCGATCCCCGTTTACAACATGGACAGCACGCCGAACGAAGCCAGTTCCATTCGCTAAGTTGCCAACATGGTTCTCCGTTATCAGGGCCACAGTGAACGCGTGCAGCTTGCTGTCAGTTGTTTAGGCAAGCAGCAGCTCATCCTAGGGTACTCCTGGCTCCGGAAGCACAACCCAGAGATCAACTGGGATACCCAGGAGGTAAAGATGAGCCGTTGCCCTTCCGGCTGCTCCACTTGCCAGGAGGAACTTTGTGAAGAACGTTGATCTGCCAAGACCGTGGCCCGGTGAAATGCTGAGGGCGCGCTCACAAGTAAATCTACTATGAAGTAAACCCAAAAATAAACATGTTCACACTCCTCGTAATCAGCTTCTCAGTGTGTGAAAGATGCGAGGGCTTTGGGGTGAACAGAACACCAGTATCACAACTCTTGATAGACGCAGATCCAATAGTCGCGGAAGACGAAGTCGACGACAAGAATTTATATATAGCAAACAGTGGTGTCTCAACCAATATCTTCTATACGTACAAAACCAACACTAATCCAACCACAACCAACAATATCACAAGTCAGAGCTTAATACAAAGTATTAAGATCCCTTGTAGCAACAGCATCCAGATGGCAATGCAAAGCCCAAATATCAAGTCAACGCACTGCCAACCAATACAACCAATATACTGAGTTGATGCACTGCCAACTAGTAAACCAAAATGCCGCGTCGATGCACTGCCAACTAACAGCCAATATCCAATATCCAAAAACCCGAGCACAACTTGTTGACGCACTGCCAAGCAAGAAGTAGTTTGGGTGAGATGAGAATGTAACAGATAGGTATTCTCACAGCTAGCTATGTTCTGCTATTTCTATCTCTGCATGCGAGTTTGATTGCAGTAGAATGTTGAAAGTAGAGGATAGAGGATATTGGAGGCGCTGGAGGCGCACACAAGATCCTATCAATATCATCAATATCATCAATATCATCAGTGGTATCAATAACATCACCAATCATTGGTAGATTGATCAGCCAATCAAATGATGAATAAAGGTCCGACATTGAGTATATTCATTCTTGAGAGACACAGACTACATGTATGCTCATAATGAAAGTGGACTAGTAGTCCCAGGATATGCCCCAATGACATATTACATCCTTGTCTCAGGGGCATATGATTAAAATTCGGAGTTGGCAAATGAGCTGAAATTGATACCATTGATGATATTGATGATATTGATGATATTGATAGGATCTTGTGTGCGCCTCCAGCGCCTCCAATATCCTCTATTCTCTACTTTCAACATTCTACTGCAATCAAACTCGCATGCAGAGATAGAAATAGCAGAACATAGCTAGCTGTGAGAATACCTATCTGTTACATTCTCATCTCACCCAAACTCTTCAAGTAATAACCTGCAGAGGCAGTGGAGGCCAGTTTAGCTATTGGTGCTAGCATCCAATCTACATGCTGAGCTATCATTAAAGCTGATCTTCAGAGTCCAATGTAGATACGAGAGTCACTCTAAAGGGTCTGTGGGTGTCCTGTCATCTTTTTTCATGCTCTGGGAGGTTGTGGAGGCAGTAGACCATTTATGCGGTAACATCTGATTTTTGTGTGTAGGCACCGGTTTCTCATGCTCAATCCTACATCAATATATATATACCTTCTTCCCATGCACTCGAGGAGTGCTAATCCGCTCAAATCCCAAATTCTGGGTGCCCAGTGGTCCACCATTTGCAAGCAGAAAATACGCAGTTTTGTGAACTAGGACATGGTCTGGGGTATGGACTTGACTACTGCAGCACCAAAAAAACATCTAGGCCAATGCCTAGTCCACCATGCAGGCCGTGGATGAATGGCTGGGCATAGTACCAATGAGTAGTGCTCTCAGGGTTCAGTTCGGAAATCGGTTCAAACCCAAACTGAACCGAACTGAACTCCGGTTCGGGGTTCAGGTTCGGCCAAATGCCTGAACCTGAACCGTGGCTCGGTTCGGAGTTCGGGGGAGACCAAAAGAGCCGAACTTGGTTCGAACTGGTTCGAACCATCAAAATTATTTAAGGCATTTTTGTAGCTGAACAGGCTTGTGGAACCTATTTCCATCCTTCAAAAGTTCAAATTCTATACAACTGAACTTGTTTGAGGTGTGTCTCAATAAATTTACGGATGGATCAAGGATTCTGTCAGATGTAAGGCCAAGTGTTGCTGATGTAATCATCTCAATGTCAAAGTTTTTGGACAACTATGCCCTGACAAATTGTCCAAAAAGATTTCAAAACCTGTCAAGATCTGCCTGTTTACATCTGTAGACTTATTACACATGATTTCCTTGCATTTAAGTCCTACTGGACTGAAAAATGCCATATTCTCATGAAAAGTTGGTTCAGCGGTTCGAACCGGTTCGAACCGCTGAACCGAACCATCTGAACCTGAACCGCGGTTCAGGTTCGGGGTTCGGAAAATTGGCCGAACCGAACCGTGGTTCAGGTTCGGGTTCAGCAAAAAATTGTCCGAACCCGAACCGAACCGAACCGTGAGACCACTACCAATGAGGAAGGTGCCTCCAGGATGGCCTCCGATCAGGGGGGGTAGGGGGTGGTTTGATGGCCTCCGGAGGGGGGCCTGGAAGCCATTTTACGTCATAATTGGAGGTCGCTGGGGTGCGTCAAGTAATCCCTCGCGCAGGTCCCAAATCTAGTTCGATCTCAATTGACTCCCGTCTCAAGTGTGTACACCGGATACCTCGACGTAGACGAGGGCGCGAAGCATCTGTTCTTCTACTTCTTCGAAAGCAGACGCGATCCAGCCAAGGGTGAATACATTCTAATCTGATACCAGGAAGACTCAATTACTAAACGCCTAACGCTCGGCAGATGATGTCCTGATGTGGAGTGCGCCGCGCCTCTTGTAATCATCGCTGTTGCTCAAGCTCTCTAGTCAATGGAGGCCCGGGGTGCAGCTCGTCGATGGGGTTGCTTATGGAGCTGGGTAGGCTCATATTGTCTCACTGTCACAGCAGGCTAACGATACACACTGCGTAGGGCCGTGCAGCATCGACATGTCATCGAATGGGACGGTCTGGAATCCGCACTCCTGGAATTCATTCGCCAATATCTTCTTCCTCGATCAACCGTATGTCCCCGCCATCCATTCTAGCGCATAACATTGACTTCAAAACAGTGTAGGAGTTGGTTTCTCGTATGCCGAGCACGGCGAAACGATCGAAACGACTGAGGACGCAGCCAAGAACGTGCACGCGTTTATCTCGCTCTTCTTCGAGGCCTTTCCGCAGTTTGAAGGTCGGGCGCTGCATCTGTCAGGAGAATCCTATGCTGTACGAAGCTATGCAAAGATCACGAGCTTCGTGTGCTGATTTTTGTACAGGGCCGCTATCTTCCTGTATTTGCGAGCGAGATATACGATCAGAACCGACAAGGGCACTCCAATATCAACCTGCAGAGTGTAATCATTGGGAATGGGATCACCGATATCTCAACGTCTGGATCTTCTTATCGTCTATCTCTAAATCTCTGATTGCCCCCAACAGTTTGTACCCGGGGCGTTATGAAATCGAATGTGGAACTGCAGCATTGGAAGTACCGTTTCAATCCATTGGGACTTGCGTTCGCATGAAGGCCGCTGTCAGTCTCATCTCAAACCTGACCCCTGCACCATCGTCTCTTACAACTTATCAGCTTCCACGATGCCAGCAAAGGATGAAAGAAAGTTGTATCGACCGTTTCGACGCAATCGATTGCCAAGCTGCGGTCAGCTTTTGTGACAACCAGCTCTCCTCTGGGATGTGGGCAAGTGGGCGGAATGTGTACGACATCTCGAAGGTTTGCTGTCAGCCCCCGTCAAGATGATTCACGTTTATCGGTCCCCAGATGTGTGTCGGCGACGGACTGTGCTACGAAGAAAACCAGATCATCACCAAGTACTTGTCCGACCCCGCGATTCTATCCTTGCTGGGTGTCTCGCCGGATGCTGCCAACTTTTCCTCGTGCTCGAATGCCGTCGGACGTCAATTCAGCTCCCATCTCGATAAATGGAACTTCCCTACGCAACACTACGTGTCTGGTCTGCTCGACCGGGGAATCCGTGTGCTGATCTACGCCGGCACGTACGACTGGCAGTGTAATTGGGTCGCAAACAAACTCTGGGTCGACAAGCTGGAGTGGAGCGGCCAAGCGCAATACGCAGCCCTCGAGTGGACCAGCTGGGGAACCAACGGCAAAGCAGGCGAAGTGAAGCAGAGCCCAGATCTCCCCTTGGCGTTCGTAACTGTTCGGGGTGCGGGCCATATGATGAGTCCCGCTTCTATCTGCTGCTGCATGTCCAATACTGATATTCCTTTACGTGCCTCATGACAAGCCAGGAGAATCTCTCGCAATGTTGTCCGCCTGGCTGCATGGGACGATGTTGTAGTGTTTCTTACGCGACAGACGAATTGTTCTCGAGCTTCTGTCATGTAACATGCAACGACTGTAGTGTCGCATCTTCTACAGTCAAGACATGTTTCCTCATCCAGCGCCATGAGATGGCAAAGCAATGCTCGATGATCTGAAGTCCAGATTCCCCTTCGCCGAGTAAGTCATGGTTTTCCTGACACGAATTTGACTTCTCTTCTAGTCGAGGTAAGAGCATGTCGTATGAAATGGGGACGCTCCCTTCTCGATGAGGGATGGAGAGAAAGCATTGACGAGCGGTGATGAAGCTTACGCCTGCGCCGACCACGGACAACGGAAGGCAGCCTCTAGATGGTCTGCGGTGGCATTTCCCCTGAGATTCAAATTCAGTGGAGAATGTTGGACCAAAACATATTCCTATCTTGTAGCACCAGAACTCAGAGGGAAGGCGGACTCTGAAAGTGTTACACAATAAGTAACAGTGTGACTGGTGTAGTGAATCACTGAATATGCTTTTCGAGGTCCTATCCAGATACCCACGCATCGGGTTTCCAATATGAGTGAGGCCAACGGCTTGTTCGTCGTTTCGTGCCATCTTGCATTGCCCCTTGCTACCTCCAATTCGCCTTATATCCCTCGTGTCCTTAGCCGTGTCTCAATCAGCTAACATTTAGCCGTTGCGCTGACCACAAGATGATCATGCTGATATCTGCTTAGCACATCGCTCGTCACCATACGTGTCATCGAAAACATGTCAATCTCGGGTCAGGGTCCTCCTAGTACCTTCTTCAACAAGGTCGTGACCTCCGCCATGTTAGCCTCGATACGTCGCAATCGTTCCTTCACGTCAACCATGTCGCCCTCTACTTGCTGGAATCGATCCTCATACGCGGAGAATTTGGACTGGAGCGCGCATATGCGTTGTTCAACCGTGAGAGTACGTTCTTGGACCTTCTCCTGGACTCTGACCAGATCGTGATCGTCAAACGAATGGCCCTCGAAGGTCGTGCTGCCTTTCGCATCGCAACCCCAGCAGATGAACTGATAGCATTGGACACAGAACCAGCACGGCTGGACGATGGCTGTTGCGCACACACGACAAGGCAGGGATCCTTCGCTGGCTAATGCCGCTCGAGCTTGCGCCAACGCCGTTTTGGAATCCCTATACATCTTTCCAAACTGCCGATAATGCATGAACCGTCGGAACTTGACCACGTCGTGGTGTGGCAGGTGCGGTTTCTCCATGTCGTCCCGCTTGACCCGCCTATCCATGCAGCCCGCCAGGTCGTGGAAGTCGACCGTGTTCCAGTTTCCCGACTTTTTCACCTCGCATTCGAGGCAGATGATCCGGGCGCCGCCAATCCTGCCTCCACAGACGTCGCACTGATTAAGATCGTGTCCGATTATCCTGCGCAGCTGCCGATCGCCCAGCGAGTGATAGAATCGCGAATCCGCCGTCGTCAGCCGGTGCTTCAGCTGCGAGAATTCGCCGTCCTCTGCCTCGGTGAACGGAGGGCCGTACGTTTTCTTGCCCGATCCACTGCGAGTGAACAGCTCCAAAAACCGCAACCGCCGATTGCGCCGCTCTTTGAAGTACGACCAGGACCAGCGCTCCCGGCGGATGTCTTCCAGCACGGCCTCGATCGCAAACCTCCACAGCGCTCGCGGGCGATTGGCCTGCAGCTCAGCTGGAGTTGGGGCCATCGCCATGTACCGTGGACTGAGCCGCCGGAAGACAAAGGTGACGACATCGTCCTCCGGATCGTCAGTGAAGCCTGCTGAGCCAGATAAAATCTCAGCCTCTGGATCCCATGTGCCATGGTAGTATTGAGCCTGCAGTCGGGCACGAAAGGAACGCTTGAAGTTGATACGCAATGTCGACAAATCACATTGACCTTCGATCGTGAAGTCGGCGTTGTTGGCGCGATCGGACGCAGTGAAGTGTTGGATGGTACCCTCAGACGGATTTGGTAGCAGCGTAAATGACAGCATCCCAGCGAGAGAGCACCGAGGGTCGGAAGCAAAATAGTAGTAGCCATGCCACGCAGCGGAAAAGAGCCTCTCAAAACCCGGTAGTGGTGCTATCACCAGGGCAATCTCGGCAGGAATCGCGTACGCTGCCTCGTCGAGTTCCTCTTGGTCAAGAGGATAGTTGAGGATCTGAGACACATTGTTCAACTTGGCTTCTTCAGCCTCATTGTACGGATACTCTTGAAACTCCCTGTTGGGCGCCTGTGAGTCATGATCTAGCTGTAGCATAGCACTGACGCATCCTGAACAATTTTCTCCGCCCACACAAGATTGGGTTCATTCATGTATTCGAAGACGGCAAACGAGAAAGACTTGAACTGCTGTCGTAGATCGAGCTTTTGCTGCTTGAATATCGCTGCGCCAGAATGCATCAGACGTGGTCTGGTTTGATGAGAGAAGGTGTACTCTGTAGTTCAACTAAACGGGTTTTGGCGGCATCAAAAACCCGAAGTATGGTGTCTGCAGCATCCGAGAGTTCATCTTGATGCACAGGCGTCTTTTGGCACACGCGTAATACCTCAAAGTGTCGTTCGAGTAGCAAGTATAGCAGAGGGAAAAAGAACTGGAACATGCAGTCTCTGCCGAAGTTGATTACGGCTTGGCACACCTTTTCGATTCGACCTCTTCCTGGTAGAGTGTAAGAAAGAAAGCAACTCTTTCGTGATGACTAACCTGTGATCAGATCCAGCGTGTCCCTAGCATCGATGCTAGATAGCTGGTGATTAGATGCGATGGCAAGCTTTCTAAATAGCTCAACTCGTATCGCACAGCCTCCAAATTCGCTGCGGGGGGATGAGCAGGCATAGGTGACAAGGGAGTCAGCAAACAAACCTCGCAGTCTGGCTTCCTCAGCAGTAACATAAGATTTGAAATTCTTCTGTTGAGCAGGTCAGATCGCTACTCATCAACACTCCCAACAACAACCTCCAGCGTCAGGTTACTAGGGCCCCCATCCAGTGATCCGACGATAGTCCATATGCCCCAATCCATAGCCCTCATATACTCGTCGACGGTGGACTTATTTGCGGGCAAGATATGGGGAATGATTCCAAACATCTTGCAGACAAGCAGGTTGATCTTGACCGCGTACATTTGCATTGTGAGGTGGTGACCCACAGCCCAATACGCCATCCATCGTAGAAGGCTTTGCCGACTCATAAGCTCATAGCCAATGCGTGGCCATGTGATGGCGCTCACCTCCATCCCAAAGGACGTGATGTGGTAAATTCATTCGCTTCCGCGACGGTGACGAAACCGGACGCGTCGTCATCAAATGCTTCAGAAATCGGCTGCAGATACAGTACACTGGAGAGGGTGAGCATCGGGCCTGTGGGAAGAAAGATGAAAGTATGCACTTGAAGTATTCGAGCGCCCATGCATCTGCTTTGTCGGCTTCGCTGCGATTGCCTTGAATGGCTTGCTCTTGAAAATGATCGCGGAGCGCCATCACGAAATGGCGTGTCTTCACACTACCCCGCCATCCCATGTCTTTCCAGACCGCATAGACATTCTTGTGACCCGCCCATCAGCTTCAACCCGAAAAGCCAGTGGTGTGTAGACAAACCGGATCCATTATTCTATCGTGTGGACCGGTATTGATGGCACTGATAACTCGATCGCCTTCGCGCTCAATGACTTTGGAGAGATCATCACTGGTGTTGTCAGCGGCGAGCTTCTGGCCGAGAACGAGAACTCACATGATTTGACGAGTCTGCACATCGAGCTTGCGAGAGAATGCGGCCTTGTTCGCGTCGATGGCAAGCTGTGGATCTGACTCCAACTCGTCTTTGAGGTCGTCTAGGCCATAAACCCTGCGGACGTGAGTTGGCTCGCTGCTCGTGATTTTCTCCTCGAGAACACTGAGCTCCTGAAGAGCTCTGTCACTGCGCACAACCGAATCGTGTCCGCCGCTCCTGTCGATCATACGAGCCATTTCCTCCTGCTCAGGCGTCATTAGACTCTTGAACAGCTGCAACATCATGTCCATCTTCGCGTTCATCGCCGTCGTCGTGTGATCGACCGCACCGATGAGTTTAGTTGCCACATCCACACCCACTGCAGTGTGGATAGACAGCGCGAATTCGAACTCGGACCGGCGTTTGGTGAATGTGCCTGCGAATGCCACCAGTTTCCCGTCCCAGATTGGACCTTTCAGAATTTTGACTGTAGGTTCCAATGAGAGATGAACTCATGAGATGAGAGAGCACAGACCGATCAGCTTCTTCTTGATGTATGTGTCGCATGCTATGGAGTGGTGTCAGAGCTAATCCCAGAGCTGCGGGGTATAGAGAAGCGGATAAGATGCAGTGTGCACTGCCACCCGTCGATCATTTGCGTAGATGTCGCCCTCTCTCATTCGGCGCATGCGCATCTGCAAGCCATTGAACGTCAAGCATTGGACATACCATTGGCACAGGCCTTGATGTCGTCCGCGGTCTCTTTGGCGATAACTTGCACTCTACCTTTGATAGTCGACCCGTCGGGTGCCACTTGATCAGCGTCCTTCACATTTCTCATCCTGTGCAAACAATCAGTAGGCAGTTGGTTCCGTGACTGCAGCAGAGGTTACTGCAGAAGAGCCCCCATCATATCTTTCATCTCCATATGCAACTGTGGGTGGAGCGTAGCATCAGTTTCTGGACCGCTCAAAGAGGGTGGGCCCGGCCACGCACCGCGACAATCTTCCTGTCGTTGTCCCTCCGCTTCTGTTCCAACGCCCAAACCGCCTTGAACGCCATCACCGCGACTGGTGCAATACCGCTCAGGATATGCTTCGTCACGAAACGCAAAACCCACCTCCGATGAACCTATACCACAATCAGCGCGACGACCAGAGTGCACGAACGCAACACACGGATGTAGCTTCGCGACCTCATCCAACGCGCTCATCAGCACCGGCATCCCCTCCATGAACGTGCTCAGCCCCTTCTCGATCACTTGCATCGCGCCCACGGCATCCAGCCCTGTCTCGACGCCCTGCACGAATGCGACGGGCTGTGCGCTGTCATCCATCGCGCCAGTCACAGAATCCTCGACCTTTTTGAGCATCTGGTCTGCCTTGTTGGCCTTTGGGTCGGCAGATGCGGATGCCCATGCGTCGTTCAATTTCTTCGAGAGGGCGTCCTGCGGTTCTGGGGGAGCTGCTACAGATGCCGCGGGGATGGACGGCAGAGGAGGGACGCTTGCCGCGCTCGACGTCGAGGAGGATTGCTTGTGCAGGCTCTTAGAGCTCAGCTTCTTGAGAAGTCGGGGCATGGGCATGTTGGAAGAGAGTTTTGCTTGCTGGTCTACTACCCCACAGCACTTAAGTTGGCGTTCAGATTGCGCTGAAGCATCTTTGTTGGGACTAGCAGTTCCTGGCCATGGACACTCGGTTGCAGTTCAGTCTGTGGTATGGATCTTTCGAAACCCCGGAGCCTGGGGATGTTCGAGTGCTCAGATGACCGCTTGCAATCTTAAATGTGATCAACTATCAGACGCGAAAAGTTCGTTGAACATGAAGACTGAAATGTATTCTGATCGTTCCGATTCGGTTGAATCTGAAAGGAATTGGCTTCCAGATAGCATGTGTTACATCGATAATTCTGTGGCCTCCTCACGGACCAATGTCAAGAGAATGTCATCATTGACAGATTTCGGACTGAGAGGCTTGAGAATCTAAACACGGTGTCGTGACCAGCCCATGAGGGCGGCTGATCTCCATTATTAGTCCGTGAGAATAAAATAAGGGTCGCAGAAGCGTGTGCGCGCGCGAAATTTTCAGTACGCTAGGAACACTACAAAGGAGTGCATAATCAGGCGCGAAGCCTCGCGATTCCAGAAAACAGCTGCACTAATGCCCGGCATTATCTCCTGGCACGTTGTTTGACGCGTCTCTTGCAAATGGAGATCGACTCTTCGCACCACCCGACAAGACTTCATCAGGGGGTTCATAAATCTGACCAACTGGCTGCTCGCCGCCCTCATTCGACAATAGAACTCAAGAATGTAACAATCCGGTCTGGACCTCTTCAATCGCTCGCCGCACTGCAGTATATTGACACACGCTGGGCTTTAAATCAATTAGACTGCGGGAGAGAGACAGAGCTCCCTGGTCTTATCGCGCAGGGCCCGCTCTGTCACCAAGCCGTAGACCGCTTAAGGTCGACTGGGCCCAGCTATCATTCATCTAGCACTCGAGCACAGATCCTTCGTTGAGCTGGGTTGTCTCGAAACCTGGGATCGGCATTCGTCATCTCTTCAATTCGGCGGTCGTCCTGGCTGCGATTCTACTGCACCACTGGAGTCGCAACTCGACGGATCATGATCTGAGATGTGTGTTCACGCTTTGAACGACGGTGAAGACCCCGTGGGATGTCGGCGCATATACATTAGCTGACCCCAAACTTAGCGCGAGGGGGACGTGCTATTAGTATGAGGCGATTTGTCCGAACTCGAGAGGGGCCAATCGGATAGGCGTTGTGATCGCGATCACGATTCCAGCATCCTCCATGCTAAGGAGAAAGTGCTGGGTGTGTATACGAGTGAGCGAGCACCGGAGCCCGAATGACTCCGGCAAGCGGTAGAGGGCCTCCCATGCATGACCCCATGCTTTCACTCATGTTTTTGCGATCTGACGCTTGTCGCCTAGAGATGGCTGGAAGTTTGCACAGGCGAAGACGAGTCGTCGGTCAAGCCAGGTATGACTCAGGCATTGCATCAATGCATCGACTGCTTCTAATGCGCATCTCGGCGTCTTTTCCGCAGTCAAGCACTCGTGCAGCATGCTCGATTTCGGTTTGTCAGACCAGCAGCGTCGATACGTCGCGATCGCCACGAAGCGAAACATATGGACGCGACCCAATGGTAGGCAACCGATTCCTGAAGTTGTTAATCCGGCCGCCTTCAAAGGCTACTTTCGATGATTCAGCCCATTCGTTATCTTTGGACCAGAGGATCCGCCACGTCATGTCGAGAATCAAATGCCAGTGCGCGACCCAACCTCGCCCTCGACCAAAATAACCGTGTGCCTTCTCCGAAGTTCTTCATTATCTGACCACGCGGGGAAACCCCCGGCGTTGCTACCCGCAACTTCTGCGCATCCATTTGATCCTTCAAGGCTCTGTAGCCTGTGAATGTACGCGTGATGGAGTTCCTGTGGAGCCGTGCCGTCTGAGAGGAGGATCGCGGGCGCCGAGGGGTGTGGGGTTGGTCAGCGATGCACTGGCTCAGGGTGCGCTGGTTGCACCGTAGGACACAAGTGTTCGGCGAAGGATGGTGTGCTTTGCACAGTGAATCGCGCCCAGCGTCTGTCCCGAGAGAGGCAGAGAAGTTCCACAGAAGTGATCGTACTAAGAGCAGGCGGGCGATTATCGCGGGTACGGCGGTAGCTGGGGAAGGCGTTCCGATCCGATCAATTGATCACTAACTGGATTGATGAGATTGTGCCAAAGGTAGACTCAAAACCATTGACCAGTGGTTATGCCCATTCCATGCTGTGTCTCGCTCAGGCTTACTTTTCCCGCAGATCGGAGACGATTCGGCCGGATGACATACACACATATGAGTATTATGATTGTCTAGAGAGTCGTAACGTTCCCGGCGCCGGATATTTTCGCAACTCAGCTTCGCACAAGAAGGGTGAAGTTGCGTGACGTGCCTTGCGAAGAAGGGACAGCCGCGCTCCACAGCGTCGCGACCGTCGCCTGTGATTGACTTGCAGGACACGCGGTCGTTGGCCAGTCATGACGGACGTAGCAGGACGTGATGGGCTCCCTATTGGACCTGAACCACAGGCCTGCCATCGGCGCCGAAATCTATCGGAACCACGCAAGCGTTGTGTATCGCCCTGCGGCGGCACCTGCCCAGTCGCGGTCATGTGGCTCGGGAAGGGCTCAGATGCCATTCCACATGGGGTCGTGATCAAGCGTATGTCGTCGTATAAGAACCTCAAAAAAACGATATCCAGGGTCTGAGTCTTGAGGTATCAGTTCTCTCGTTGCTGCATGGCTCGCCATCTCGCTGCTCTCGTCGTGCTTGGACTCTCGCTTTCCGGGATCGCCACTCCAGTGGCGGAGCGGCAGGCGACTGCAGGCATCACAGCATTGACCCAGGCCCAGATCGATTTCTTCACCCCGTACTCGTACTACGCCGCCGCCGCATACTGCCCGCCCCAGGACACGCTCGCCTGGAACTGCACAGGTGCGCCATGTCATCCGGCTTCCGCTTGGGACCGCTCATTTTCCCGTCCAAGTCGACTGCGCGGCGAACCCGGGATTCAAGCCCATTGCATCTGGCGGTGATGGAAGCGCAGTTCAGTATTGGTATGTCGGATACGACCCGGCGCTCGAGACGGTCATTGTGGGACATCAGGGGACGGAGACGAACATGCAAGGGAGCCCTCGCGTCGCGCAGTGCATGTTGACCTGACACCCGACCTAGTCTCGCGATTCTGACCGACGCGACATTCCTCATGGAGTCTCTCAATGCGACACTCTTCCCGGGCATTCCCGCTGGCATCGAGGCTCACTCCGGATTCGCGAATGAGCATGCAAAGTACGTGCTAATGGGTCGTGTGCGGGGTGTATTGGGTACTGACTGGCTGCAGAACAGCCGAGACGGTCTTGGCTAACGTGAAACAAGCGCTGTCGATCACTGGATTCAACAAGGTGACTATGGTCGGGCACAGTCTGGGTAGGATCCCCTCTATCAATACATCGATTACGCGCTGATGTTGGTCTTAGGTGCTGCAATCAGTCTGCTTGATGCCGTATATCTACCCCTGCACCTGACCGGGGTCAAATTCCAATCGATCCTCTATGGGATGCCACGGGTAGATAACATCGATCTGGAATCAGCCTACCCGATATTAATAGCTCTGCCAGGTCGGAAATCAGGCGTTCGCGGAGTATGTCAGCGTAGGCAACACGATAACACATGTGAACAACCAGGAGGACGTGGTTCCCATCCTGCCAGGTGCTATTTCCGACCGGTAATCGTTTTTCGAACCCACCACTGATACCTTCGTTCTCGCAGGAATGTGGCTTGGATACCGGCATCCCACCGGTGAGATCCACATCCAGGTAAGCTTCTTGTCTGTCGGTCAAACTCTTCGATGGACACATCTAAGGACTCGGGGGCATGGCTCTCGTGCCCGGGGATGGACAACAACAGCACCTTATGCACAACCGGAGATGTCCCCACCCTTCTCCAGGGAAATGCTTTTAACCATAAAGGTGACTCACTCCCTCCTTGCTCAACCCTATGATATCAGATTCACAATGGCATAGGTCCGTACAACGGCGTCGAGATCCAATGTGTCATCCCTTGAACGTTGTTGTATACTTGGGGTAGGAAAGAGGAGACGAAATATCTGCCCAAATAGCTGGAATTCTGTCTCGATCGTTATAAGTATTTATTGGCATGTTCGGACTGGGGTCGACTCAACTCTTATCAAAGAGGGCGCTGTTCCAGAGACACAGGGAGACAGGAGACGACTGCTCGCACTGGCACACGACAGGAATCCCTGGTGAGACTAGCACCAAAGATTGGAAATTGGCAAGTTTTGTCCGGCACAATTTTGTCTCAAAATGACCAAATTTGTCCGGCCCCCTCTATTACTTTATGTATTTTTGCTAAGTTTCATGATTTCTTTTGGTTCAAAACCCAAAAATGAAGAAAAAATTACGGTAGCTGGGAGCGTATTGATTTTGTTCATCGCAGCAGTTCTCGGGCCTCAGGTATTGGTTTTGGTTGGTCAAATGGCTGTAGCGAGTCAAATAATCTCATTGACTGGCAGCATCAGATGGAAACAAATGCTGTCTCGTTCCCTCCCCAGCTGCTCAACCACTGGCCTGCTGCTCTTGATACCGAGCTGCTGTCATCCCACCGCCTCACTGTAGAGCAAGGGTGGTTGGCGAGAACTGGTCTGATTTGCAGACCAATTCGCGCCCAGCTTTGTACCGAGGAGTCAGAGAAGTTTCATGGAAGTGTTGTTGAGAGCGGGAGGGCAATTATCGAGGCTGGGGAAGGCGCTCGATTCTATCAATCCATCACTGCATAGATTGATGAACCGCAGCAGCTGTGCCAATGGTAGACTCGAACCAGTCGCTGTTCCCATTCCACGCTGTAACTCGCTCAGGCCTGCTCTTTCCGCGGATCGGAGGGCGATTTGACCGGATGACATACCTACATATGAGTATTGCCGCTTGCCCGAGAGTCGTACCGGATATTTTCACAACCCAGCTTCGCACGAGAAGGTTGAAACTGCGTGATGTGGCTGACGAAGGAGAAACAGCCGCACTCCACAGCGTCGCGACCGTCGCTTGTGATTCAGGATTCAGGACACGCGGTCAGTGGCCAGTGGTGGACGTAGCAGCACGTGATGGGCTCCCTATTGGACCTTGACCACGGGCCAGCCATTGGCGCCGAAATCTATCGGAAACATGCAAGCGTTGTGTATCTCCCTGCGGCGCTTGCCCAGTCGCGGTCATGTGGCTCGAGAGGGCTCAGATGCCGTTCCACATGGGGGTTGTGATCTGCCGTCGTATGTCGTATAAGAACCACGGAAAACGACATCCCTGGTCTGAGTCCTGGAGTGCCAGTCCTCTCTGTCTGCTGCATGGCTCACCGTCTCACCGTCCTCGCTGTCCTCGGTCTCTCGCTGTCCGCGGCCGCCACCCCCTTGGCGGAGCGGCAGGCGACGAGCATCACAGCACTGAGCCAGGCCCAGATCGACTTCTTCACGCCGTACTCGTACTACGCCGCCGCCGCATACTGCCCGCCTCAGGACACGCTCGCGTGGAACTGCACAGGTCCGTCTGTCGGCCTTGCCGCTCCCGACTGCCCCGCTCACCGCCGCAGTCGACTGCCTGGCAAACCCTGGCTTCAAGCCGCTCGCGTCTGGCGGGGACGGGAACGGCGTCCAGTACTGGTACGTCGGATACGATCCGGCGCTCAAGACCGTGATCGTTGGGCATCAAGGGACGGGACCTGACATGCAAGCGAACCCTCGTGTCGCGCACCGTGCACTCCACTGACCGCCGGACCAGTCTCGCGATCCTGACCGACGCGAACTTCTTCATGGAGTCCCTCAACGCGACGCTCTTCCCGGGCATCCCGGCCGGGATCCAAGCGCACTCGGGCTTCGCCAATGAGCATGCAAAGTGCGTATACATCTCAGCGCCGTGGGGTCGCGTGCGGGGTAGATGCGGTTCTCATTGGCTGCAGGACAGCCGAGACGGTCTTGGCCAACGTGAAGCGAGCGCTGTCGATCACTGGATTTAACAAGGTGACTATGGTCGGGCACAGCTTGGGTAGGTCCTCCATTCATGCATCGGTCACGCGCTGATGCTGGGCCCAGGTGCTGCCATCAGTCTTCTTGATGCTGCCTACCTGCCGCTGCACCTGACCGGGGTCAAATTCCAATCGATCCTCTATGGGATGCCACGGGTAGATAACATCGATCTCGAATCAGCCTCTTCCGATATTAACAGCTGCTTATGCAGGTCGGAAATCAGGCGTTTGCGGAGTTTGTCAGCGTAGGCAACACAATAACACATGTGAACAACCGGGAGGACCTGGTGCCCATTCTACCCGGTACTGTTTTTCCGCGATGGGCCATCTTTTCGCGAGTACATGCACTGACACCTTGGTTCTTGCAGGAAGGTTCCTTGGATACCGGCATCCCACTGGTGAGATCCACATCCAGGTAAGCTTCTTTCTTGTCTGTCGGAGAAACCCTGTGATGGACCCATCTCAGGACTCGGGGGCCTGGCTCGCGTGCCCGGGGATGGACAACAACAGCACCTTGTGCACGACCGGAGATGTCCCCACTCTTCTCCAGGGAAATACCTCTGATCATACAGGTGATTCACTCCCTCCTTTCTCATCTCTGGGACACCAGATTCACATTTGCGTAGGCCCATACAACGGGATCCTGATCCATTGTGTCCTCTCTTGAAAGGTTTCGTTTTGTATACCCCGGGTAGGGTAGAAGGAATAAAACGTCAGCCCAATTGGCAGATTTCATCTTATTTGATATTCCTGTCGTCTGCCTCGTCAGCGCGCGCGCTGCTCTAGATTCTGAGGTACGAAGCGACAGCAGGCGCTGGTCTCAGCGTCACACGACCCGTCGCGCGCGCACGTCATAGCGCGCATCGGAATAGAAGCACCGTCTGCAGTCCTCGAGATCCTTGCTCAATGTCCACAAGGGTCACCTGTGTGTGGCAAGCATGCGTCGTCCGATTCGCAATCACTGATCAGTGGTCAGTGAGTGATGTGGATCAGATTTCAGATGACATCACGTGAGTCTCGTCTGCCTGTTCGAAACCAAGTCCTCGAGGCCTGTGATTGGAAGTGAATCGTGAGCCGTTTGTGAGAATGCACCGGAAAAATAGAACTTTTCTGGCCGCCGACTCTGTTGGTCCCGATCACGCGGCGATTGCGTGGCGCAGTTCTTCACTCGAGTAGTATGTCATAACGTGAATTCGAACACGGCATGTTTTTGTGCAGCTTCCAGCACTAGAACTTTCCCAAGCGCGGTGTTGGTCCTGATTCTCGCTTAGTCATACTACGGCTGTTACTCGAGTCTCGTGATCGCAGTTCAAGAATCCAAACATTGCACGGCCCTAGATATGTAAGTATTGTTATGGAACCAGCCGTCGCCTCCGATCGCTCAGATGTCACATGATCGATCGCGCTACTACACGATCACGCTGGAACCTTACAGAAGGATCGAGGAAGGAAGCAAGTAGAAACACCTAGAAGGAATACTAGATAGTATAAATAATTGTAAGTAGACTAGCAAAAGACAATCTTTTTCCCATCCAAATCACTGCGTGAGCCTAAGTCATTTATAAGCTTTGATCAAGCTTGTTTCATTGATCTTCACGGTGGTAAAGTATTTCTTACCACTGCGAGATCAACAGTCTTAAGGTACTTGAGTCATAAACCAAGTGTCGCGTCCGTGGAGTAATAAACCCACTGACGGCTGTTCGGAATAAGCATTCGAAGAATATATTTGTGTAGAGTCTCTAGTAGTCGAATCCGCTACTCTGGAACTACGCCACATTCGACAACTGATCAATATCGTCAACGGACGACACCAAAATCACTCAACAACTCGCCACTCGATCTTCTCACGTGAGGCGGCACCCACAATTGAAAACGCGTAGCTCTAGTCTCTTTAACAAGTATAATGCCAACAGCCACAATGTTCCTTACGTGCCGCCTGACGTTCCATAGGTAATAGCTTTGCGCTGCAGAGCGGTAATCTACGAGCCAATGCTCCCCCCGCTGTAATACTGGGTGCAATACACAATGAGTACATACAAGTGCAATAAAGATAATAGATAAGTACTAGATAGGATGTACTACCAGGAGCCTATACAAGATTAGACGTCACCAGATTTTCACGTAAGACCCGGTCTCGGACTGGAGGGAGCGGATGAGTCACCCGTGGGGCCGCCCGCAGGCATGACGGGAAGCGTATTGTACGTACTCGAGTGAAGCGTCTTGGCCGTGGCAGTCGTGTCCTGTGTGTGTCGTGTGAGTCATGAAAAAAAAGCAGGGCTCGGCGATGTCGGCAACATACAGTGACGGTCGTGGTGTAGATGTAGGATACCCGTGGTTCCGGAGAATGCTGCTTCTGGATCTCCTTGTACTTCTCGCGCAGGTCTGGGACGCACGATAGGTATCAGCGATCGATAAGTCCTGACAGTGGTCCGGCCCACATTTCACCACGGGCATGACCTCATTTGGGCGATCTCCGTAGCTCGGTAAATATGTCTTGACTTTGATCCCGCGTTTCAGCTTGCGTTTCAGCAGATCGCATTTGTTCTGCGGGCCGATAAGCACATCTGCGGGCCGCACATAACAGCACAGGCTGACCAGAAACAGAATCAGCTGCGTCTTCCCGAGCAGCTTCGATGTGCAGATGGCGCGCCACAGCAGCGTCGAGTCCTCGAGGCGATTCACACGTGAATCCTCGTCGAGTCGTTCGTCGAAACAGGACACTGATCCGATGAGAATGAGTCCCGGGGCAACACTCGGATGACACACCGGGACAAAGGAAGATGATCACATCCGTGTTCTCGAAGAATGGCAGCCAGGCTGCACGCTACGGGGGCTCGACGCGGTCCAGCCAGAGATGGGTAGAAATCACACGTACCATGGTCCGGCATCCCCCGACGTCATACAGTTTCCATGTCCATGCGTTATCGCCGCCTAGAGGGATGATGAGCACGGCCCCGCGCGGCGAGAAAGTAAAAACTGGGCACTCACGGAGCGAGAACCCATCTCCAATTCTGAGCAGATACTCCTGTATGCCAACTGTCCTAAGCCGTGCGCGCACGATATCATCATCAGTAGCCATATACGACCTCGTCACAATCCGCTCGAGATCATTCAAGAAGAACCCGGCACCGTCCGCCAGCCGGACCTTGCGCCGCTCCAGCAGTGCCTGAACCGCCGAGTCGCCCCACAGCGTCTGCATGTCCTCGTTACACGACATCATCGCAATCGTGCACGACTCGACGTCCGCCGTGCCGTCCTGGATAGCGTCCGTCCAGCTGCGCACGGAGAACTCGAAGCGCCGCTTGGGCGACGGCAGCGGGCCCGGCTCGTCGAAGGGCGTGGCGTACATCGGCGACATGGACGGCGCAAGGTCTGCCCCGGCACCCAGCCGGCGCTTGAGGTCGGCTTCGACCCCGCGGAGGGGTGCGAGCCGGATCATCAGCAGCCGGTGCTTGTCTGTGAAGGACTCCGCCACGGAGTACGAGGACCGGCGCGACTCGCTGTCGTCGTCGTCGTCCACGGCCTGGGCCCCGGAGGCGGCACCGCCGCTCGTTTCTGATTCTATGAGGTCGAGAATGTGCACGATGGACCGGATGATGTTCAGCTGTACGACGGCCCGCCAGCCTGCCCGCTCGCTCTCCCAGTCTTCCCGGGCGTACTGCATGCGAAAGTCTGCGCAGCGTGAGTTCCAAAAGTCATGTGCAAGGGAGAAGAGGACACACTCTTGAGCGTCGTGGACTTGCCTGCGATGCGAGCAATAAGCAAGGATACCCAGGAAGTACCAGCGACGCACCACTCTCGCCTTGGCCCAGTAGGAGGATCCTCAGCTCCTTGCGCGCCTTGCGCTGTGCGTTCCTATCGCGTTTGATGTCCTCGTCGATATTGTCGCTGATTCGTTGTGCGTCCGCCTCCCGTTTTATTCGTGCTGTCATCTGGGCTGGGGTCTCGTCGGGAGGCGGACGCATGAGTTCGTAAAATGGGTCATCGGGAGAAGTGAAAGCCATATAAGATCATCAAAGTCTGAAGGTGAAGGGATGGGATGAGGATTAGTCATGAAACGCGGTCCCGTGATAAAGTGACAGCATCAACGGTGCCTGGGATCATCACCTGGGCGTCTATAGTCGGAAGAATGTCCGGCGACGATGCCCAGAATCACAGGTTCATTCCTCTCTATTTAAAACTGGGGAATGCGTTCACTGGTTGTTGCCTTTGAAAGTTCGCGAATTTCGGATTTGGATACGCCATTCAGCCCTAGATTTTTGTGCATTGAGAGATTGTCTTGATGCCTCTGCAATCCGCTTCTACAGATAATATAACTCCGAGCGGCTAGCAACGAGGAAGAATAGACCCAAAAGAATCATCGTCGGATGACCATCACAATCAATACCAAGACACGGACTGTAACCAGTGTGTACCCGCGGGTTGATTACCAGTCAAACAATGATGATGGTCCCCGAGATGCTCTCTGTTCATTATGTATAGAGATAAATAACAGTTTTTACATATATATCACTCAAGGAAGCGCAAGCCTAGAGCCTGAGTTCATTGGCGATGCTGCGCCACCAAGCGCAGCGGACGGGGTAGTTCGCGTCGACGTACTGCATGGCACTGGAGGCTGAGCTGGCGCTCGCATTGGGGACCATAAATCCACCGTTCAGCGACGCCGGCTCCCAGGTCGGCGCGCCCGCCGCGGCGTGCGAGTTCGGGTCGAGGGTCATCGCGAAGCTCGACCACCAGGCCACCGCCTGCTGGGCAAGGGACGACTGCGCGGCGCTGAAGGCGGTGAAGACGGGCTGGGCGACGGAGGCGCTGGGGCCCGAGTTGGTGCCGTCGTAGAGGTAGAAGAGCTCCGCCGTGTGCGCGGCGCCGACGTAGGCTCCCCGGGCAGCGATCAGATTCGGGTCCGGGGCGTCCCAGCGGTAGTTGAATGCGGGCTTGCCGGAGATGTTGCCGATGTACCACGGGTAGCACGAAAGCTGCGGCGAATGAGCACGAGATCGCTCGGCCAAGCAGCAGGACAGCGACGCACCTCGCTCTCCATGTAGGCCCACATCGCCCGCTCCCACTGGGTGGTCCACGGCGTGGTGCTCGACGCAGGTGGATATGTCACGAGCATCGAGTTAGTGGTCTGAGCTGAAAGCAACGGGTAACGCTTGACGATGGCGGCAACAATGTCGGCGTCGGTGTTGATCTGGGCCGGCTTACCAACGAAGATCGATCCATCCTGGGCAGTGTGGCCACCGAGAATGGGCACTTTGCTGAATCGGCCTGCGGTGAACAGCTGGGAGGTGATGCCTGGGATGTAGTTGCCATCGATCACGGGCTCGTACTTGCAAGTGGACAGCTTGTTGTTCACTGCAGCAACGATGGCTCCAACTAGAGCGAGGTCGGCGTTTGCCACGGGAGACAGACAGACAGAGCTCACCCGAAGCTTTGCGCAGGCAGGAAACGACACCGGAGCCGCTGCTAGGGCAGCCGATGTGCGAGACCGCATCGGCGAAGCACTGCTCGCTGTGGTCGTCCGTCGCAAAGGGATCGTTTCCGGGACTCTCGAGAACCGCCGCGCGGAACGGCTGGATGAAAGTTCAGCTGACCATCTTATACCACGAGTGAGGCTATCACATACGGGGTGAGCCTCCCCTCCGTAAGCAGCCATGTGCAAGGCAACCGATCCACCGCCCTGGAAAGTCGCTCAGTCCGAGAAACGCACGAAGAATAACAAACGCCGCACCGCACTCTGGCCTGAGAAGAACTGTCAGTATCCGGCAGTGTCTGCGCCCAAACAAGACTCACCTCCGATGGTAACCTTGCTGGGATCCCCACCGAAAGCTCCAATGTGACGCTGGATCCATTCGAGGGCAGCGCGTTGATCGAAGAGGCCGTTGTTGGCACTGGCCGAGTAGTCCGCACGGATCGCGGCTCCGTTCAAGAACCCGAGCATTCCAAGCTACGTCTCGTCAGATGGACCGCCAGTGCACCCAGAGAGACTCGGATCTACCCGATACTGGATCGCCACCGCGATCAGACCGCCATTAGACCGCGCGACCCAATCATTCCCGGGGAAACCTGTCAGGAATGTGAGCACGGATCAGCGGCTGCGAGATTCTTCGTCGCTGCTGACCTTGGGCGCTGGAATCACTGTTGGATCAGGAAGCGAGAAGATGACGGGCAGCACGCACGAGTTGTAATAGTAGCCTCCACCGTGCTGGCGAGGAGTCGGTGAGTCGTGCTGGATCTACAGCAGGGGGACGCACGATGTAGACATAAACAGGTAGCTTGCTGTTCGGGTTGGTGCCGGAGGGCGTCCAGACGTTGAGTGTGACGCAATCTAACGGGGGATGAGAACGTCCTCCCATGCCATGCTGGGGAAGAAAAAAAAGGTCCTGCTGACCTTCACTGCCGATGCCGACAACAGCCGGCTGTTGGATGCAGATGGGACCCCAGTTGCGGGCGTCCACGACGTCCGCGTTCGAGAGGTGTCGATTGTAGCTCTCGTCGAGATTGTGCGGCGGTGCGAAACGAAGGTTGCCGACGGGGGGCTGGATGTATGGGATTCCACCAAAGAATGTCAGGCCAGGGAGCGACGTGTTGCCGGCGTAAGCGGCATAGCTGGGACTGCGCTCAGTAGCCGTCCGTCCGGGCCGCCCGCGGATCGAGGACTCACCCCAGGTCGACGACAGGGCCCAAGGGCGAGGACAGCGACCTGACGCTGGCCGCAGCAGGAGCAGCAGCAGTCTGTGCCTGCACAAGGGCCGACGAGAGCAACACCGCTGCTGCCGCCGCGAGGTGGAGTGCCGATTGGGGGGCCATGGGACTGTGCTCAGGGAGGGGACAAGAGCGTGGAAGATCTCGTCGCGTACGGCGCCTTTTGAAGCAGGACCGCTTCGCCCGTGTTCGAAATAGATCATGTCAACCGCGCACACAACGAAGCGCGCGACGATTGGCTGGAGACCACATCAGAACGGAAATAGGGTGCCCGATCGCCAGGCACCGTGCTCCGTGGGCGCATCGTCCGAATGGTGGTCGCTGGCCCGAAGGCAAACTCGGCGTTCGATTTCCCCATCGAGGGTTTGCGACTACCTCCACTTGATAAGCATGGTGCTTGGTGGCGGCATATATGTAGCCTGTAGGTGGATACGCGAGGCCGGTAGGTGCCGAGACGAGGAATGTTTAGGCCTGCTTGGGCCTGTCCGCTGATCCGACTTATCTCCACACTTTCGAGAGGGAAGACTGGAGATTTTACACGCCATCTAGTTCGGGGGAAAAGTATTATTTCGACCTCACCAGTATTCTCGACCGCTGTTCTCAATCGTCCCGGGAACAATTCTGAACCGAGTTGTTGCTCCAAGTCCCTGCCTCGTTGATAACGAGTGTGATGACTGATTGGAGCAACGGTTGCTTTGCCTCCTTCCTCTGCCCGCAAGCTCCTGAATTTTGGCCCACAATTGACTCCGACCGCTCACTTCGATGACTGATGCGCCCTGAATTCGGCGGTTTTGAGATAATTTTGAGATCCTCAACAATCTGCTCTCAAAACTCGCGCTGCCTCGCGGCAGTTGATATAATCGATGCCGGCAGCTCGACCTCATGCACGGTGAACACTGCATGAATTGCTCCAGGCTACAAGCTCCCAAGGGTCTGTTGCCAAACACATCGCCGGAATTCGAATTTGTCCCCCCTTCCCGTTGTTCTTGCCCTTGTCCTCATATTTAATCTGAATCGATACCGAGGTGAGGCGGCATCTCCTGGCCCGGCGCACCCGATGGCTTAGGCACATTCATTGATCTGCTTTGCTGAATATTCTTCCGCTAGTCCATAAATTCAAGTCGGGAGATAATCGCAAGGCACAGGCTGGCACGGGCAGAGGCAATGAACGCTGGAACGTTCCTTGGACTTGGCCCAACGGACTTGTCCCCGTCAGGTCCGGAGAGACGGAGATGGTTTCCGCGGATTACGCCCTTGGAAGTCAACGGTTTTATGTAAGCGTCATGGGTTGAGATTTCAGTTCCAAGATGCCTGAACGGCAGACTTATCACGGATAGAGCACCCCCGACCTTGCGCCAAACAAAAGCAAGAAAAGTCTGCCTCTCGCCTGCACTACATGGCACTTGCGAATTTTACTACCCGCACCGACATTCGTCTCTCTCAGTAGTCTGATGAGCTATAGCTTTGCTTGTCTGCTCCATTGCATTCAGCGGCACAGCGCTTTCAGGGGTGGCTTATGGACAGTGGCAAAGATCTCCATTGATCATTCGCTCCGCAGTCGACTGATGCTCTGTATTGCTCCACTCGTTGATAAATTCGGGAGAAAATCGCAAGGCACGCGCAATGGACGTTCGCTGAGCTAGGGTTCAACAGGCCCAACGGACTTATCTTTGTCAATTCTCATACGAGGACGTTCTCAGAGACTTTTACTCGCGTATCACATCCGACGGATTCGTGAACATGGACGTCACGGGATCAAACTTCGGTTTACTCTAATGAATAACTTCCACTTCACATTCCATCGAAAAGCCAACTGATAAAATGCCTTGGCTCCATTAAACAGTATCCTTCTGGATGTCAGCCGCAACTGTTGGGAGCCTTTCCATCCCACATTCACATTGAGTGTGTCGTGCTTTTTAGTGATCGTTGCCCAGAGCTATGTTACACTCTAGGCCGTAGTGTGTGTTTATATGTACGTTATGGCAGGATCGAGTTATCGCTCCACCCAGTCAACTCACTCACATGGCTTGTCACCATGATATTCGCTATGACCAGCTGCTGGCTTGCTTCACGTTTGCGCCGATGGCCTCAAGTAGCCAGCTATACCTTTTCTGCTGCAGGCGATCTCGATTATTAAACCCCCGACTTATGTGATAGTTCACCGCGTGTATGGTGAGAAGTAGAAGATGTCTCCTTCCAACCGGACGTTGAGAAATATTATCGTTCTTCGGTCATCCACAGCACGCAAGCAGATTCCTCCAGAGAAGAAAACTTGAGCATGCAGTAGATTTTTTTTTTTCAGTTATACCTGCACTCTTCATCATCCTCAACGAGGTGTCACTAGCATGAGTCATATGCCCATCACTGGAAAGACCACTGGCGGCCACCGTTGGCCACCGATGGTTACTGGTGGCCATCGGATTGCGACGCAATCCAATACCCGGTGATGGCCGCCAGTGATGACCTGTCAATTACCACCGGTTCCCGCTGGCTTGACTCTCCTTCCGCCCACTACGAGCCACCGTCAACCACTGGTTGCTACTGGCTTTTGCCGCAATGCATCGGACCTCTATTTAATTCCAATCTCCTCATCTCCACGGACTATCTGCCAATCACCACTGGCGGCCAGCGTCGTGCGCTGCCTGGCACAGCCAACAAGGGCCACTGGGAATGACCGGTCAGCGCTGGCACTGGCTGTGGTTCGCCGCGCCCAGCTCTTATCTGCACGTGCTACGCTATCGCGACTTTATCCACCAATCACCGTCGGGTACCAACGGTCAGCGCTGTTTTTGGCACGCCACAGCTAGGATTTTGGGCAACAGGGGATGGATAGATAGGGGGATAATAGGAGTAGAACAAGGTGAGTTATCATATAAACCTCACCCTCTTATTCTGATTCTCTTGTGACCATGGAGCCCGCTCTGGCACCCTGCGGCAACACTCATCTCCCTCTCTCACTCACCGACCTCACATGGCCCAACAAGCTTGTGGCCGAGCTTCATCACATCGCCAATGTGATGGAGATTCCTTCGAATGTCAAACGCAAGCAGGATCTCCGGAACGCCATCCACAAGACCCTTCCCCGCTTCGCTGATGATGCTTGCTTCGAGAGCCTTCTTGCGTACCGCATTAACCCCGTCCCAGAGAAGACGAGTGCGGACAAGGAAGATGAAGTTCTCGCAGAGGAGCAGGGACCCGTGGTGCCAGAAAAGGGGTGCGTTGTTGTGTTTCGGGCGAGCGAGTATCCTACCTTCCTTTCAGCGCTCACAAGAAGTTGCTCGACGCCAGTACAACAGTTGATCCCCCTCCACGGAGTCTTCGTCTTCATCCAGCTCGTCTCATTGCTCACGACAAGAAGATGGTCAGCAAGAAGCAGGATGCTGACGAGCGTACGTGTTCTGTTGCTCGTGCTGGGCAATGTCTGACCGCTTCCTACAGAAAACGAGGGTGAAGAAACTGAATCCGAATCCTTGGCCCCTACGCCTGCACCAAGCGTGACTGAATCGGATACAGAGGGCTTTGAGCGCAGAAACGAGAACATCATGGAACAGGTCCCCAGTGCGTCTACTCATCTTTTTGCTTAGAATCTCTTCTGACTTATTTTCAGTTCTTGTTCGAGTTAATCTGTTTGACTCCCTCAAGCAGCCCATTGACCAAGTGTATGTGGACCAGCATAAGGTGTCCGTGACCCGCTGCAGCACGGGGACCGCTCATATTGCCAACCTCACAAGTCTGCTTCCCGAGGCTCTCAAGAACGATTCTCCTCTCAAAGGTATGTGGTGATATCGATTGCTTTTGCTCAACTGTAGATTCTCACAAGCTATAGCTCGTGGGGGGCGCTTCTTTCGGCCGGCTCCGGACCACGGACCCCTGCCCATCCATCTTGGTTCTGTAGACGCCATCTCGCGCGGTGCGGCACCAGGAATCAAAGTTCAGATTGTCGATCAGTACCAGCTGAGACAAGAGGGGGATCTGTTCAATTGCGACATCTTTTGGAGCCCTGCGGTGTGTTTTTTGTTTGTTTCATGCACGGTCTATGTACTGACACAAGTGCGGATTTCAGTCCGGAGAACCTTTGCTCGCTGCAGCGTCACGTGTTGTAGATGCAGAGACGGATCATATGGGTGGCAATGGTGACCCTGGCTGCCCGCCTGCTCTGCTGAACATCCCAGCAGGCGATCTGCCTCCCAATGCGGTACATCTGCATGCCTGATGCATTACATTCATATACTGATGTGCTGGCGTTAGCCTGTGTTTACAGGGACTCTTTCCGACGGTCCCAAGCACATTGCGGATACCCACACATCTGTGGATCCGTTTGTGGCAAATGCTGACCCTCGTCTGCGCCCCGAGTTTGAGGCTTGGCTCTACGCGCTGGTCAAGTTGACCGTCCCCAATATTCCCGATCGCGGAGATGAGTGGAAGAAGTGCAAGACTGCTGCGGATCTTCTCGAGCGTTACAAAGTCCAGAGCGCTATCTTCGCAGCCCTCAGTGGGATGCAAGCGGGAACCACAGCCTACCGGGTGCCCATCAGTGCGTTCCTGAATTGTATGCTTATGGATACTGATGCACCAGCAGAGTCTGCCCTCTGGCCCGGTGTCCGTTTCAAGAAATCCTTTGCCTTGCTGGTTTTTGGGTTAAAGACCTCAAATACTGATGACATTGCACGCTACTTTAATCCGGATGTTACCTGTTCCGATGCGGAGATTGAAGAGTGGGTTGTGAGCGATGGCAAGGAGAATGAGCACATTGGACGGCTCAAGACTAAGATGTTCAAGGATCGTCTTGCACCTGCGCTCAAGAGCACAAGGACTGCATGTGAGATCTCTCTGTCTCCCAGCTGCAGCCACACCCGTTCTCCCAGTCCGGCTCGCAAGCACACTCGGAAACGCACGCGCCGTTAGATATTCATAGTTTCTTACATCGTCTCCTGTAATGTTACCATGCGTGCCAAGCTTTTGCAAAGAATTGAGATAACGAACAAATCCCTATCCATCTTTGGCCTTTTATAAGGGTTGTTGCGTGAAATCGAGCAACACTCATTATGGCACCCACTGTCCGAGACCTAATCTTCATCCTACAGGTCTTCCTGCCTGCAGACCTCTTACTTGACAAAGCTTTCTCAACTCTCATTCTGCTGATCTCTGTTTACCCCTTGCTGAGGCTTCACTTAAATCAACAAAGACAGCCTCGCCAACCTAATCGCACCGCTTGGATTAAAAGCATTCAATCGATCTTTCGTGGGGCTCTCAAACCCGCCGATGATGACATAGCATCTCTGGTCCCTGAACTCGATCGCAGTGCCCGTTATTCCGCGCAACTCACCAGTGATCTGACCGGGATTCTGGGCATGCTCGGATTTTATCCAGCTGACTTCTCAGAAGGCATGCAAGATCCGCGATCGTTGTTTCCTGCTCTTCCTGTCATATTGGTCACCAAGCATCTCTTTTGCGTCTTCTGTCCCGTAGGGGACCTCAACTTGGCACCAACTCTTCGCCGCCGGGAGAAACCGCATACTATCTGGCTTTTAACTTCACAGCTTGCATGGGTCCAGGCTGACGTGTTTGTGGCCCATTGCGCATCATGTCAAGCCGATTATCACCCAGACTGTGTCACATTTCGTGTGACTCCCGAGAACCGATCTCGGCGTCTCCAGAAGTTGGATTTCGATGCGGATTATATCCGTGTCTCCAAGCACGGTGTATGGGTATTGCGACGCGTTGCAGAAATGCAAGAGAGTGCTTTGAAACGATTTCATGGAGGATGGTCAAACTTTGCCGACTGGATAAACGATGTCACTCAATCAGAGCGGACCTTCACCTATCGCCAAGCTCAACGCTTGTTCATTGAGCATTCGGCTCGAAGATTGCTAGTTTTTCATGATCTTGGATGGGACTTCACTTGCCGCCCGCATTCGAGTGCTTCGAGCCTGTCAAAGGCTGTGCGAGAAGCTGTTGGTGAAAATGGTGGCAGCAGCAAACGAGCGATGATGCATAGTTGCACCGAATGCACCCATCTTAAACGGTATCGCTCGGATCTTGTCAAAGAGGGTGTGATCTTAGAAGATGCAAGCGCGCAAGCTTCACGGGGAGTCGCTGGTCTTGAGGATGAGGAAGAGGAGGTGTGTATTATATTCATATTGCTGCGGCATTGTGCTTACTATCAATTTGTCTACAGCTCGCATTGGGATTGGATGGTGTTCAATCCTCAGACGATCCAGCCCTAGATCAACTGGCCAGTCCTATCCAACAGGGCTCTCCACCTGAGGGTTCGCCGCGAGGCTATGTCCGCCTCGCTGTCATGGATGGCAAGACAATTACACATCGAGTGCATCAATATCTTGTCAGATTTCTTTTCTTGAAATCTCCGAATTCTAATATACGTCCCCCAGAAATGTGCCTTGGCTGACTGTGAATCGCCCTTGGTTAATTACAAGAGCGGGCAGTTCTGTTCCGAACACTTGCATCTTCGCGATGTCTGTGGAATTGTAACGTGTGGGCGAAACGTTCGATCTCCGGGTGCAGTAACCTGTGATCTGCCTGCGCATATCGAATGGCACAAGCGGTACAAGAATCGGTTTTCGCGGATGTCCTTTCCTGGTGTTCAACGTGTCATGCGCCGGAGAAACAACGCTGAGAATGCAGACTCAGAAACTGGCACTTCGGACCCTTCCTCTTCGGCTGCAAGGGACCGCCGCGTCGAATTGGCCTCTCTCGGAAACTTGGAGGGCAACAAGGTTGTCCATACATTCTGCGCAAAGCAGACTTATTGTCTTGAGACGGTTCAATGGTCCTGTGGATATCCTATTGGATGGGGAAAATGTTTTCGGGGCGAAGGTTCTTCACAAGTCTTGGCCATCATCGAACGGATTTGGTGTGATTATCCCGATGCCAAACCCTCATTCATCGCATATGATGACGCCTGCTCTTTATTGCGCCACATAGTGACGCAGGATTCTCGTTCCCATTGGCTTGCCTCGACAAAGTTCATCGTTGATGCTTGGCATTATATTGGACACCGCGCAACTGATGTTCTCTGCCGTGTTTGGTGCAGCCGGATCTCATACGTGTTGAGGTGGATTCAGCCGGACGGAAACATCAAACACGGGCATTCAATACGGAGACAGCTGAGCAGCTGAATTCTTGGCTCTCCGGATTTGAATCACAACTGCGACAGATGACGGATTTCAACTATGACTTTTTTGTTCATGTTTTATTCATGATTTATTCAGAGCGGGTGGAGAGCCAGGTTAGGGATAAGGAGCAGAATCTGGACGACGATTTCTGGGAGGCAGCGCTGGGTACTAACAACTGATCATTACTTCTACTTCTTGACAAAGATGATTCTAGCGGCCGCATTTGAGATATGAACCATTGTGTGCCACTAGATTCCATTGGTTACCGCTGGATTTGAAACCAACAGAAATCGATGATTAACAGTGAGCGCGGCTGGTTTTCAATGGTTCAAGGGGCTGTAGTACCACCCAAAGCCATTGGGAGGCATTGAGTTCTACTGGGATCCGTTGGGTCGTCACTTGGATCCCACTGGCAGTCAATGTGGCTTGGCATCAACCAGTGCCGACCAGTGCCGAGAAGCCGGCTTCCAGGCCCGCGCATATTACTGACTAGCATCGGGTTGAAATGTGTTCAGAAATGGATCATAGCAAATGATCGCCGATCACGCCGAAAAAATGTCGCTCCCCACCACCATCTCGGGATTCACTGTCCTCCCGATATCGTACTCAAGCGACACAAAGCACTACATCTACGCTCGAGCCCACGTCGGATCCAAGAAACATGCGTCCACATCAAAACCAGTGCTTCCCGAAGGACGCACACTCTTCCTGGTCAACGTTCCGCCTGATGCAACACAGCGCGACCTAGTCAAGCTCTTCTCCTCCAGCGGAATCGTCGAAAAAGTCGTATTCGACCTGGATGATGCATCGGCAGCGGCGGAGAGCCTCGATCCCGATACCGACTCTGAGGGGGAGGACGTAGATGCTGGGGATACAGAGGGACCGCAAACCGACGAGAACGTCGACACCTCCGCCCCACGGAAACGACGAAAGCTCTCTAAAACCGAACGCCCGCCTCCAGTCACCCCGCTGCCGACGCGACCCCTCCGGCAGCTGCGGTCTACCGGGCGCTCCGCGCACCTGGTGTTTCTCGACGCGTCGTCGCTCGCGCGCGCGCTGGATCCGGCCGCCCCAAAAGGGAAACCCTCCCGCATCTGGATCTGGCCTACGGCGGGAGGCGGCGCAGATGCAGATGCCGAGCCCTCCGGGCTGGCGCATTACACTGCGCTGTACGACTCCCGTCGCCCGCCGCTCGACGCCGTGCGCGCGCACGCGGACAGCTACATGGCGCTGTTCGAGTTCGAGCAGCGCCAGGCGCAGCGGCAGAGCAAGTACCACAAGGGCGAGGCGATCGTGGATGAGGACGGATTCACCCTTGTGACGCGCGGGGGTGCTTACGGCCAAACTCTCGGCGGTGGGGTCGCTGTCGCGAGCAAAAAGTTCCAGGAGACGGGCGAGACAACAACGAATAGGAAGAAGAAGGAGAAAAAGGAGAAGGTCAACTTCTATGCTTTCCAGAAGGCGGAAAAACAGCGTAATGGTGCGCGCGATCCTCCTTGCTGTTGCTTTCACACTCATCTTCGCCGTAGAACTGCTGGAACTGAAAAAGAACTGGGAGGCGGACAAGGCGAAGGTCGAGAAACTCAAAGCATCGAGGAGGTTCAAGCCGTATTAAACTATGTACTGCACTGTGACCTGCGCACTGTGTGCTCGTTCTCATGCTCGTGGTGGGAAAAATCTATCCCAAACATGGTCGGTAGCGCTGCCCGTCGGGCGCTTTGGACTGCTCTCGCCGATTTGACTCGCAACGGTGCGAACAATGTTCTTCATTGCAAAGTTCTGGATGGGGCGCGATCGCACTGCTGTGCGGCATTTGGGGCACACGTACTTGGTGTTCCTGAGTGAGAAAGCGCCGACGTAGAAAGGAGAGAGTGAAACTAACCTGCGGAGACGGTTGTTGGTATGCACCACCGCGCATCCCATACGGGTAGCCCATCTGCATCTGGTAGTGCGGGTACTTTTGTAGGTGATGATTCAGGGCGGTGGCAAACCAGGCCTCCAGATCCCGCTGACAGAAAGTGTGGCCGCAATCGGGGAGGCTTGCAGATATGCATGCGTCAGTAGGATACCTGCCTGACAGAAGTAGCAACATACATGAACGGCGACCACATTTTCGAGGCGCAGACTTCGCATGTCACTTGCTCTTCCAGCTCTGCGGTAGTTTGCAGCTGTGATGTCATTCAGACTCAACGCGGTGCGAGACGAGTCGGACGAGCACACATTGGCCTTCTTGAGGGCTGTCTCTTGGTCTTTCTTAACTTGCTCATTCTCTCTTCTGATTCGAGCGTTCTCCTGTGGATGGTTCATGAGTGAATTGTCAGATAGTGTGTATGTACAACTGAGTTCCAGACGCACCCGTTCAAGCTCGTGCACTCTTTTCCGCAACCTTGCGCTCTCTGATGTGGCTGCCGCCTTCCGGGCTCGCGGTGCAACAGGTTCTTCGTCTTCATCCGACGAGATTTCGATGATGTCGTGATGCGGCCCTGGCGTGTCCTTGGATGGCGGAGATTTCTTTTTGGGAGAGCGCTTCCTGCCACTGTCAACAAAAATGATATCGGCAGACGAGGACGACGAGTTCGGGGAGCGTGTGATAGGCATGGGCATGGATGGTAGGATGAGGTAGGGATGTGGTGGTTGATGGAGGCCAAGAGTGAACGATCGTGCACGCGGTCACGTGTGACACTCTGGACAGTCACGGTTATTATTCGTGGTTGATATTTCCGGGTCCGAATTATAGGATAAACGCGTTTTCATTTACCCAAGAGCCAAAATTGTCGAACACTTGACTCACAGGGCTGAAACGCGCGAGCTTCCTGGCATCGGCATTGGGAGCCTGATGATCTTATCACACAGCCACGGGTGACACACATCCTTTGACACATATGTATGCCTGTTCGCCGACAAGAATGCACCGGAATGTACCATGCTTCAATCCGAACGAAATGGGGATCCATTATAACGGAAAGAACGTAATTGCTAGGCTAATTCATATCCTCGCATCAATTCCATGACTTCTCTGCGAACCCCGTCGGATTCGGATGACCGGTCCCAAGACATCTGTGCTTGACTGCCCAGTGCCGAGGACTGCTTGCAATTCTTAATGGGGCGCATGGCTCAAGCGAACAAGCGACAGAATCGGACGAGCAACAATCAACTGCGCATCGGCATTCATCGGCATTCGAGGCTTCTCAAACGAGCCCTGGTTAACATTGCCCGTCGGTTGTGATTACAACACATGTTTTCATTTTTGGGTGGGTATATGTGTGCTTGGACTCTACTACATATCGGCAGAGAACATGGCGATGGACGTTCGCGTGTTGCCGGATCCGTCGACCAGTAGATTGTCCTGTGATTTCGGGTGAGACACGGAAGAACTCTAGCCAAGCACAGGCCACACGTACCGCACAAGAGGACCCAAGAGCTTAGACACGAGGGATGAGAAGGGTTCCGATGTTCTGCGGATGAATCGCTTACCAGCGTTGCCAATCTATGAGAGGGACGGTGAGCACGAAAGCGAGGCGAGCGGCAAGCAAAGCGACGAACCCAGCCAGGCTCCCAGTAGACGATGCCGATGCCGTGACCGCCGGAGAGACCAGACAAAACGTTGCGGATATCCTTTACCCATGTTTCTTGACCAGAGGTGGAGATCGCGACCGACGGCTCGCTGAGCGAGACACCAGAGCACGTCACGGGCCAGTTCGTCTCAACAACCATCACATCCTGGAAGCGTTCAATCAGTTCTCTGTCCGCGTGATCAAGATACCGCTCACTTTGCCGAACTTTGAGACTACTGCCGATAGCGAAGACTGGAGATGAGCAAGCGTGGCACCAGTACCATAGAACGGGTAGAAAGAGAATCCAAAGGCGTTGACATCGCTGAGCGAGAGCTGGCCTGCGATGAAGATGTTGTTGAAGAAGGAGCTGACGCCAGAGGCATCCCACCCGTTGGCGATGTGGACGACGGTCTTGACAGACGAGAGGGCATCATGGGCCCCATTAGCAGCCGAGTGCAACAGCTGAGATGCCGGAGAATATCCATTCACCGAAATACGTCCGACAGGCCAGAGCAGGCCGTCGTTGATCTCGTTTCCTAACTGCAGGTATTGGATGGGGGTGCCCTGGGCGGAAAAGGCGGCTACAACACTCTTCGTGTAGGTGTATATCTGGGTGTTTAGTCCAGAAAGGGTGGTCGGCCTGAGTTTATAGTGTTATTCCAGTCGTTGAAAGCGCTGCAGAGCACCAACCAGCCAGAAGGGATGGCTTGATGTCCCGGGTCGGCCCCTTGGAATTATCAGACACGCACATGGATGTAGAAGGCACCGCTCACATATGTCGCTGTAATGCAAATCAATCAGGAGCGTCATCTTGGCTGCGACCGCTCTCTTCGCCAACGCCAAACCGTAGTTGAGGCTGTAGTCCGCGTCGTTGGTGCTCGTCCAAATGCGGATACGCGCAAGATTGGCGCCATGAGCAGCGAGGATGGTCTCTAGCTTGGTCGAAGATGTAGCAGAGTCATGGTAAGTCGTCCCACTCTTCTCAAGATTGATCAGTGACGAGATGTCAGCACCGTGATAGGTCAGCGCGCGAGCGACTGGTGCAAGGAGAACAGCGATGAAAGGAAGACAGAGATACATTGCCCACATTCCACAGCCCGGGTGGAATTTATATCCAGTGCACTTGACCCGTCACGACCTACGAAGGCGGGCCGGCTCACACAAGAAAAGAGCCCCATAATACTTCCGAATGGTCACGATACTATGCACGAGAACAGATCCTGAAAGTTTTCCGTTGGGTGGGAAGAAGACTTCAGTGCGTGCGTCGCAGATTCCAAGTTGGTCATGAGAGCTCGGAAGATCTCCTGCTAACCGAGATGCAAGTGGCAGTGCGATTCGACACCTACTGGGACCGATTACTGATGTCATCAACATCATGATTGGGTCACCTGACGACTGGACAGTTTTATCGCTGTGACGGTGACGACTTGTAACTCTCTCTCTTCAAGCAACATGGGAAAAGGTACATAGCCGCCTGCCTCGCATCGTCTCACCCTGCTCATGCTCGTACTCTTCGCCAGTCCACGGATCCCTCGCCCGTGCTGGAAAGGTCAAGCAGCAAACACCAAAGGTCGAGAAGCAGGAGAAGAAAAAGACGCCCAAAGGCCGTGCAAAGAAGCGGATCCTGTATAACCGCCGGTGCGTCCTCTGAAGCGATCTGTGCAACCTCAGTGTCCTCACCCCCCGTTCAGCTTCGTTAACGTCACCACTCTCCCTGGCGGCAAGCGCAGAATGTGAGTAATGTCTTTCTAAGTCATCATCTTCTCTTTGGCTCCGCTCCGCACCCCGGGTTGCTGCTCTCCTCGCCGCTACTTCTGCTTTGCGCCTCTCCTTGCTGCTATGCATGGGTGCCTTCTGTCAATGATGATACAAATCCAAGCATAGTTCACACTGAAACGATCGTGTTGATAAAAATGCATCTAATGTCTTTCGCTCCTATCTGACTCTTCTCTCTTCTCCCGTCATACACGCATCGCATGTGATGCTGACCTGTGCTTTTCAGGAACCCCAACCCGGAGAAGTAAACGCTTTACCCCTCCCGAGGTCGGTCGGACCGATTGTCGTCTCCGAGGCGCATGTAGCTCAGCACGAAAACAGATGTGGAAGGGATGGCTGTTGTGCTTGGGCTCTTTCTTTATCTCGCTTTGCTTACTCACTATATGTGCTTCTATTATGCATGCCCAAACATCGACCTATGCATCACCACTTGTCTTGTCGCATTCTGTACTACTATACATATCGCAGGAGAGCATGCGCGCTTGCTGTAAGACGTTGGAAAAATGTGCATGACACAGCGCAATCCTCCCTTAGTGCCGGTCTTGATCGGTCAGAAACTCAAGATCGGGGGCTTGTGTACTACACGTCCTCGAAGTTCCAGCACCACAATTGCCGCCGTCCGACGGTAACGTGAGCATTGCAACGATGCGACAATTCTCACCAAGCATGCCAGTGCGTGACTGATGACCAGAAGCAGTTGAGTTCTTGCGGTGATCGGCCACTGAAAGCAGTCGAGTGCAGGGAGACCAAAATATAGACTGACATCTGACATGTGAGAGCAGCGCAGGCCGGCGCTGGATACCGCTTTTGGGCTGTGGAGCAGTGAGGTGCTGCGCAGAAGTCCGGAGGACATCATCATGTCGGTTGTCTCGCGTCGCAGACGACCATTGCCAAGTGGCGAGACCTGGACGGGACGGGACTGCACTGAATGAATTGTCGATGATGAGATATCAGACGATGGTGGTTGCAGACGACGTATGAACGAAGGCCGATCGACACCCGTGTTGGATGCCAGGGAGAGTGTCGCGATGAGAACTCGAAAGCACGCGCAGATGGAATTAGACAGGTGGACCCTAGATGTACTTTTCCGCCGAGTCACTAGAACCCGCGTTCTCGCAGAAAATCGACGACGCGGTCCTTCCAATGCGGACGCGCTCCTTTGATGACTACGCGGTTGGGGTGCTGCTCCACACGCATAAAGCCCGCGGACGGGTCCTCGGCCTCAAACAGGGAGGTTGTAAGTTCCTGGGCGAGGGCCTGACAAAAAGGGTGGGATGATAAGCCAAGATCCATCAACAAGAGCTTGTGACGCACCGGCGTGTGTCCCTGTATGTTTTTTATGATGATGAAGCACTGAGCTCCACGGCTGCGGAAGTCGGTGTACACTGGCAAGTGTTTCCTGGTATTCCTGGGCACGAAGTAGCGCAGGTTCGAGGAGGTGATCACTCGCGCGGTGGACATGGGTAAAAGGCAAAGCGCTGAGACGTTACCTAATTAGGGTTGCTTCAGAACCATCACCATGAAACGCTCTTGTGGGTATCCGGCTAACTTGAACGATTACTCGCACTTGACAATGTGCCATTCATGCTTGCCGCTCCCACCCACAGCCTTCTATCTATATTCTTTCCGCTCACATCCATCCACTCTTGCTTCCTTTCCACCACCATGGATGCCTTTGACTTCCCCGCCGACTTTGACCTTACTCTGCGGTCGTCTGCCTCTCGGTCCCCTGGCGACCCTTTCCGATGCTGGGAACCGACAGCTCTAGAGTCTTGGGACGCTCTCTTCGATTCTTCTCGGCCACTCATCTTCTTTGACCGTGAGTCGCCCCATGATTGCAAAGCAGCACCGTGTAGCTCATAACGCCGAAGAGCCGCCGTCACCCACAGATACATGCGCGTCCGCGTCGTCGTCCGCGTCGTCGCCAGGCATGCTATCCCCCGGCGGCCCTGCGCACGTCATATGCAATGCTCCGCTCGTCGCTCCGGTCCCACTCCCATATCACAGCCCCACGTTTCTCCAATTCGAAAGTTTACCCGACATCGACGAGGATCTCTCCCATCCTCCGTACACTTGCCGCCCGAATGTCTTGAAACGCAAGTGGGAGCCGGAACCCGAGTTGTCCGCACGCGAACGACGACAGAAACCACGCCAATCCATGTCTGGGCGACCTGTTTCATCCGCGCTGGTCCATCCAGCTCGAGCTCGCCTCACTAGGGGTCGTTGAGATGATTGCGTGCTAGCGCTGGGTACGGTAAGTTCTGACGCTCTTACTCATTTGTTCCTGGGCTGATCATGCCCTCCTAGCTAGATCATCATGCATCTCAGATTACACCTGCTCAGTGCGAGGACGGTATCTGATAGATCGGGATGGCGTCTGCCCTCCACCGCCATTCACTGCGTGGGCATCGCTTGCTACACGTTGACCACACGACATCCTTTCGCATCAATATATAACGGACATAGCATCATCACACGCATACTACTGTACTTTGACTGTAACATTCATCTACTTGAAACCTGCCGCACTTTCGAACGATGACGCGTAGGACGTTGAATGATTTCGGCGCCATCGGGGGCCTTATCGCAAACGAAGGATGCACACTTCAGGCGGCTTCAGAGCGCAAAGCTGTCAGTAGGGCGATGAACCGCACGTCAGATGACGGCACGTTATGTGTCTTGTTTCCTGTCCGCAGTCTGCTGCACAGTCATGGGCTGTTCCATCGTTTAACAACCGCTCGGCCATGCAGCTGTCGGTGAGAACACGCCGCGCCGGAAGTGATTTGTAGATTCGGGCCAGTCAGGCAGTGGCGGGTGCCACAGTGACTGCGAGCGATCACAGCTATCCACAGCTGTGATGTCCGAGCGAGCGCTCGCTGCTCTTCGGCGCAGTCGCATTGCTGTTCGATTGGGTCGTCTATAAGAAGTAGGCGCCAGAGCTGTACCCTCAACATCCTTTTCATCGGGCTCAAACTCCGTCGCAATCTCAGGCTGACATGGTACGGAAATACATCAGCGAGTCACTACGACTGACGATGTGTAGCTGTGAAACCCCGATGCTCCGATGGTTTCCTGCGTTCCCCGCCTGTGAGACTGGTCCATAAGCAAGCTTGTATAAACGCCATCCCCGAGTGCTACTACCAGCATGCCCCCAGCTCAGCGAAGTGGACATACCCCGTCCTACGCGGACATTGCCCGCGTATTTGATACAGACCTCAAATGCGAGCTCGAGGACTCCTGCAAGAACCTTGCTCGTTCATTGATCAAGCTCGTCCAAAGCTTTGACAACATCTCGGTCCAGCTGCATTCTCTCGATCTTCAAGCCATCATTCCTCCCGTGAAACCCCAGTGCGTGCCTTAGTTTCGTGCACACGGACACTTCCTGAAGGATATATGACTGCTAGATGGAAACGGATCCGTAAGGTTGCTGATGAACGTGATCTTTGGATGCCGCCGGCTGACTCATTTGGATGTGATATTCAGGAGTTCATCGAGCTCGTCTCGCTGCTGCGCGTCAATGCACTAAATTGCTCAGCGAGGATCCGGAGTGAGTGACTAGTCAATTGGAATTCTCTGAAACTGCTCAATGTTCATTCTCAGTGTTTTCTTCCGTAATTCTGCCACTTGCATGCCGGCCCTGCTTGAACCAGCGGTCTTACAACGAAAAGACGCACGTATTGCAGTCCTTCATGTCGGTAAGTTTATATATATTTCATGTTCTCCCGGTTTTCCGTACCTGGCTCAACCCCGCAGAACTCTGCAGAGCAAGCCACATTCACCTTCCAGTTGACACACCGTGCCATAAGCCTAAATTCTGCGGTTTCCGAATTTATCTCCGAACTTTCACGCCTGGAGACTCTCCAAGGCCGCGGAGCCCAAAAGGAATTGTATGATCTGGTTGAGAAAGTGTCGCTGTTGAAAAACAGCATTGATAGGCGAGTGCTGTCGCAGCTGTCTCTGTTGCATTTGGCTCATGTTTGCGGCAGTCTATACAGCACTGCACGTAAATCATCGTATTGCTGGGTTCCTCGCTGAAATTGAGCTGTAGAGGGCCACGCTCGTATGCCCGAATGCATCACATCTCGTGTGGACCACGTTCCGATTGATCATGTGTGCTGGAAAACGATCCGCGAGAACTAAATTGGACAAATATCCCCCAGTGAGTTATAATGGTCAGCTTTTCCAACGCTTGAGCTTAACTCCATCTAGATTGTAGACGGTTCGATATTACACATCTCGCAATGCTCGCAGATGATCCAAGGTGAGATTCTTTCCTGATCTTTCGACAGAATCTCACTCAATTTGCAGCAAACCTTGATGAGCTTGCACACGCTCAGTATGCCTGTCAAATAGCCACGCGTACCCCCAATATGTTGTCAATAGCCCGAGTCGCCGTGTCTGAAATGATCCCCAACCAGTTCCTCATTCCCGAGGCGCTTCTTGGGTTTCTAACTGCAATATGGCTTCAGCTGCAGGCTGATTGCACTTTGCTCTCAGAGTGGGTCTATAAAGGTGGAGTGAGTATAGTCTCTAGCGCGTTGATCAATTGCCACTAATCTTCAATATTCGATCTATAGGAGACCCCTGCGTTGATTGATCTATTCACGTCATCGGGAAGCACAATTTACACTTCTTTTGCGGATTATCTGGACATCTGTGCGCAGACAATGGACTTGGACTAGACAACCTTACTTTTGAAATGGACATCCTGCCTACTGTGATCTGTAGCCCTTGTAGAGTAATCAACAACATAATCATGGATCTCCAAGTTGAATAAAGAATTAGCAATTACTTGCAGCACTTCAACCTTGAAGGCGGAAGTGGCACAGGAATGTCATCGTTGACAGATTTCGATCTGAAAGGTTGGCAAATTCACACGCGGTGTCACGGATAGCCTCCATGTGCACAAAAATATATTACAATACATATTTGTGGGACGCTTCACACCGACTCGGTGGACCGTGCCAACAACTGCTCCAACAATTTCTCCACTCGCACCAATCTTCCGTCGACCGCATCTTCCAGCTTCTGCAAGCGCTCCTCGACGCTCTTCTGATACACTGTGAATTGGGATTCGAGTGCGGAGAATCTCTCCTCGACCGTCATCGTGTCTTCGTCTGACTTTTCCACCAGACGAACGAGGTCATGCTCATGATAAACGTGGCCCTCGAGCGCAATCTCGCCCTTCTCGTCACATGCCCTGCATAGGAAAGTTGGCTCCTCGCACTGGACGCAAAACCAGCAGGGCTGGACGACCGCGACTTTGCACATCCGGCAAACACGGGGCTCACTCTCGTCCGATAGCAAGGACCGCGCCTTTGTCACTGCAGCTTTGGCCTCGCGGAACGTCTTGCCAAACTGTCGCATGTGGACAACGCGCCGGGTCTTCACCAAATCGTGCTGTGGAAGATGGGGCCTCTCCATATCATCGCGCGTTACCCGCTCGTCCATGCACTCTGGAGACTCGTGAAAGTCGACCGTATTCCACGTATCCTTCATCTGGCACTCCAAACAGCTCACTCGTGCCCCGCCGATGTCCCCGTCACAGGCATCGCATCGACAATCGTGCGCGAGTAGGTTGCGGATCGTCCGTTCAGCGAGCGAATGGTAAAACCTCGAATCAGCCGTCGTCATTCTCTTGAGTTCAGCGAACTCCGCGAACTCCGCGCTGCTCAGCGGCCGCCCCGACTGCGCACTTCCTGCCGCGCTGCGGATGTACAGCTCAATAAATCGCAATCGCCGTTCCTTCCGCGCTTTGAAATAACGCCAAGACCATCGATCCCGCCCAATGTCATCGGATACAGCACTGATGGCAAACTTCCACAACGCCCGCGGGCGACTGTCTTCGAGCTCGCCCGGAGACGGCATGAATCTGGTGTGCTGAGGTGCAAGTCTTTTGAACACGAATGTCGCCGAATGAGTGTTGGGATCTTCCTCGAAGCCCAGTGTCCCCGACAGCATCTCCGCAGCCGGATCCCAGGTCCCGTTGAAATATTGCGCGCGAAGGCGTGCGGGGAACGACCGCTTGAACTTGAGGGAGTGCGTCGAAGGATTGCATTCTCCAGACAAGGTGAAGTCACTTCGATTGGCGCGACCGGATGTTGCAAACAGTTGAATCCCTGCCTCGGAGTGGGTCGGTTTCAAATCCAATGAGATCATCCCGGACGACGGTCTGCTTGGGTTCTCCTTCATGTACAGGAAACCATGCCACGTCGCCGAGAAGAGGTCTTCGAATCCCGGCAGAGCCGTCTCGGCTGGTGCTGAGGGACAGGAGTCCAAGGAATAGGCTGCGTAGTCGAGGTCATCCTGGTCCACAGGGTAATTGAGGATATTTGCAGCATCCGGAAGGTCGCCTTCGAGTGCATCATTGTACGGAAATTCGGTGAAGTCGCTGTGAGGTGGTCAGGTTGTGCAGCACAGGGAGAGCAGAACAACGCACGCTTCTTGCACCAGCTTTGGAGCCCAAAGAAGATTCGGTTCGTTGACATACTCGTACATCCCGAACGCGAATGTCTTGAATTGTTGCTTCAGGTCAAGGTTCTGTTGTTTGAAGATACCTGTAGAGCAAATGTGAGCCATATCGAATCCCATCCGGAGTCCACATACTCTCAAGTTCTCTAAACCTCGCCCCGATGGCATCGAAGACCCAAACTATTGTGTCTGCAGCATCCCAAAGCTCGTCTGGATGCACAACCTTGGTTTGACAAAGACGTAGGATCTCGAAATGACGTTCCAGCAAGAGGTATATCACTGGGAAAACATACTTTCAAAACCGGTCAATCGTTCCAGTCCCCGAAAGAGACTGATCACATACTCTGTCGATCCGGCCACGGCCAGTTATCAGTTCCAAGGTGTCATCTGCATCAATGCTGCAGAAGCAGTCAACACATGAGAGCGCAGATCAAGAAACAGGCACTCCACTCGTATTTGATGGCCTCCAGATTCGCTGGACAATAGAAATCAGCACACTCAACTGCTTCGAACTGGAGCGCACTGACCTTTCAACCGAGCTTCTTCATCTTCGACGTAAGACTCAAACTTGCTCTGTCCTAATATCAGCGTGTGTGAAGCGGCAGCGGCGATGGCGGACCTGGAGTGCAAGATTGACGTTGCACGATGTCAGAGAGGAGACGACGGTCCAGATGCTGTAGTAAACATCATCCATATAAGAGTTTGCGGCAGATTTGTTTTCGGGTAAAGCGTGAGGGAGGATACTAAACATCTTGGACAGAAGGTCGCGGATCTTGAAAGCGTAAAGCAGGGTCGTCTGGTGCTGCCCAACTGCCCAGTATGCGATCCAACGGGGGAGACTGATATAGTTATCGAACGCGATTCATGACTGCTCGCACGCTGATCCGCACCTCCAATCCAGAGGTCGCCCGGTAGTGAAATCATTTGCTTCAGCAACTGTGATGAACCCCGACGCATCGTCATCGAAGGCCTCTGAGATTGCCTGGATCCGGGTGATACTGAAGTCATTGAGAACGGCAAGGAGCACGCGGTTTTGAGGACACACACCTGAGATATTCCAAAGCCCATACTTCAGTTTGCTCGATTTGCACGTGGTCTGTGTGCTCTTGGAAATGATCCCGGAGAGCCATGACAAAGTGGCGGGCTTTGACACTGCCTCGCCAGCCCATCTCCTTCCATATCATATGCACGTTCTGGTCGAATGTCAGCTTCGAACAGTCGGAAAAGAGAGTGAGGCGTACGGGATCGATGATTCTGTCATGGGGGCCGGCAGTGACGGCGCTGATGACTCTGTCGCCTTCGCGCTCGACGACTCTCGAGAGTTCGTCACTGTTATGCGGCAATTCAATGTCTCGAATCTCGTCAAGAGCTTGACCAACTTACATGATCTGCCTCTTCTGCACTTCAAACTTCCTTGAAAAGACCGTCATGTTCTGATCCATAGCGAGCTGTGGATCGCCATGCAACTCTTCTTTCAGATCATTCAGATCCGGGGTCTTGACAGCCTTCCCGCCATGGCCAGGGCCTCCACCCTGGGCTGCGAGCATCTTGTTTTCGAAGTCGTTCAGGTCCTTGAGAGCTTTGTCGTTGTCCATAACACTCTGGCCCCCCTTCTTCTCGACCATCTGCGCCATCTCCCTCTGCTCGGGTGGCACCAGCTTCTGAAAGAGCTTGAGCATCATGTCCATCTTTGCATTGATCTCCTGTGTTGTGTCATCGACGGTGCCAATGAGCCGAGTAGCAGCGTCGAAGCCGAGTGCAGTGTGTATCGAGAGAGCGAATTCAAACTCGGTCCGGCGCTTGGTGAATGCGCCAACGAAGGCAACGAGACGGCCCTCCCAGATTGGACCCTTGAGAACCTTGACTATGCAAAGTCAGCGGGCGTGATAAGCTGACGAAGGCAAGGAGGATTAGGCCAACCTATCAGCTTTTTCTTGCAGTACGTGTCGCATGCTATACATATTCTATGTGAGTTTTCCTCCCAGAGACATCGTGGTTGTTCTCACCGTTCGCGCAAGCTTTGATGTCCTCTGCGGTGGCCAGAATGATAATCTGCATCCTCCCTTTTATCGTCGATCCGTCTGGAGCAACTTCATCCGCGTCTTTAACATTCCTGAGCCTGATGGTCTGTAAGTCTAATGCCTCGACCCGAAAGAGGCCTACACACTGAGTGAGTACACCCATCATTTCTTTCATCTCCATGTGCAGCTGGACGAACGTTAGCAAGAGCAGCAAAGATGAAGAGCGAAGTTCTCTGACCGCCAGAATCTTCTTGTCGTTGTCTCTGCGCTTTTGCTCCAGTGCCCAGACGGCTTTGAAAGCCATAACGGCAACTGAAGTACAAAGATCAGCTGCAGAGCAAGCGTAGATTTATTGCCACAGACCTCCAATGAATCTGAGGCCCACGCCGCGTTAGCAGCAGTCAGAAAAGCTCAAAGGAATATGACACACGGATGCAGCTTAGCAACCTCATCCAAGGCCTTCATGAGCACGGGCATCCCCTCCATGAATGTGTTCAATCCCTTCTCAATGACCTCCAGCCCGCCCACAGCATCCAATGCCGTCTTGACGCCTGATACATATGGAACGGCTTGGGTCTGCGTAGCTACGGCGGCGCTGCCCGCGTTCTCTGCCGCAAGCAGCAGTCGATCGGCTCGGCTCGTGTTCGGCGCTGCGTTGGCGGATGCCCATGCGCCTTGCAGGTCTTTCGAGAGCGCGTCATCCGGAGGGATCGATGCGAGAGCCGGAGGCGTCTGAGGTGGTGTAGGTATGATCACGGTTGCCGATATCTGCTTCTGCGCCAAAGAAGGCACGGGCGGGGTGTCGCTTCTGGGAGGAGTCGGAGTCGAGGTTGCTGAGCGCGACGGCGATTGCGTCCGTTTTCGGAGAGATTTGGCACTCAGCCTCTTGAGCAAGGGAGGTATGGGCATAGTGGTGGTGGTGGTGGTGTCCGAATGAGACGTTTATCGGAAAAGAGCGCCCAGTCCATCGCGTATGTGCTAGGTAGTATAGAGGAAAGCCGCTAAAGATCACAATCAAGTGCATCATGTCAAGTTGCGACGAGTTCCGCCTACCACGGCGTCTGATCGGTCAATCCGCTGGCTTGAGGTTTGAGTCCGTTTGACCTGGGCCCGGAATCCGAGTTGTTCATGCCTGCTTAAGTCGACCGCACATTTTTCAGCATTGATCCAACACATTGATATACGAAAGCAATAAAATAGATCTGGATCCTGAACCAGGCACCTCGCCAGTGGGTTTGACAACTGGGTGCCTGATCTTTAACTGACGGTTGCTCTCTCCCATGTTGCACGTCCAAAACTATGCTGGGCAAGCTGTTCCTGTTTTCTTCAGTCTTTACGAGAAGAACGCAAGTCAAGACTTGGCACTGGGCAGGTGCTTCGTGTAAATAGGTGTGACAATACTATTGTAGATTCTGACCGGCAAACTAGTCTCCTTGAAGCAGACTAACTACTCACAAGGCCTTTTGGTACTTGTCAGACCAGGTACTGTGAGGCGCGAGTGGGCTGAGCGCGGCGTTTGCCTTAGGGAGACTATACGATCGACCTGCACGAATCTGAAGAATGCATCGTTGCATGGGTGATGCGAGAAGACATGGACAAACCGCACGTGCCGCACCACGACCTGCTCAAAGTCCGGCACGTGCTGCATAGACGACAGTTCGGAAACACTTATCGAGCCGCGAAGGCGGCTGTTGGACAAGCGCGAGTTCTCCTGGACTGCTCGACTCCCCCTGCTCGGTGCCGCGTGAGCAAGCACGCCGTCGTACAACCCTGCTCGTTCTGTGTCCAGTGCCGAGAAACCAGCTTGATCTGCTCTACATGCGATACGAAAGGCGGCACAAAGTCTGACGGACATTCGTTTTACGACCACGATCTTGTGCGGGTGCATGAGAAGGAAGAGGCGCCGGTGCTCACTGTCGAGGAACGCATCTCGGAACTGGAAACTAAGCTCTCGATGTACCAGCAATCTGTCGAGGAGCGTCTGCGGGGACTCGAAGGGAACATGGGCGAGGTCACAAGCTTGCTGAAGCAAAGATCAAACTCGCACTGCCCGGGCCCACGACCTCAGCAGGCGTCGACTTAGTGAGTAGGTTCTTGATTAGATGTGTTGATCAGATGGACACAGCGGTTAACTGAGGGCACGCACCGAAATGACGCTACATTGTCGATATCCACTCGTAGACTCATGAAACGGATCCCATCTCGAGGGACGTGTTCTCAGATTGAGGGGTGCAACACTCGACCTGACTGTCCGACGTGCTGCGGGAGCTCGCAGTGAACGAAAGGCCGCGAGGATATCGGCAGCCGACGCGTCACGATGGCCTGAGAGTTGGAATGAACACCGACAGAGAGCAAATGAAAGCAAGCCTGCCCACCTGCCAACGATCGGCGATCAACAGCTCCCAGAAGAGACCGCGCTGTTTCTGGACCTTGCGTGCCTTGGAACCCTGTCTACGACAGTGACGGTCTGGGAAGAGGATCCTCAGATTAGGCAAGACCGAACACGATGCATTTCATCGACGCAGGCCAATCTAATGCCGCAGAATTTGACCCCGAAGCTGAAGTGTGATGAAACGGCCTATGCTCTGTGCTAGTTTTTCAGCAAGCTCGAAGACATCCCAGATGCTCTCGATGGTGTGCTGGAGAGCATACTACCATCAACCCCAGCGTCTGCTCCTCTGCGAGTCTTGTGGGGCCCCCAAAGACTGGCCCGAGTGGCAATGATGCTCAATGAAGAGCATCATAGCACTCCGAATCTCTCGCAGCACCTATGTGTGTGTGGGACGACTGTTTCTGCCGGATTCAGATTGTGCGCGGCAGAGAACGGCGCAAGGTATAGCTCATGGAGAGGTGTTGTCTACTCGTATGGTGCGAGAAGACCGGTCGTGAAGTCCGAGGTGATCCTAGACGCGTCGACAGAGAACGGGTATGCAGAATGTTGTTGTTGTTGCTGCAGGACTGCAGCAGCAGTGATATCGCATTCAAGACTTGTGACTAACTTGATGTGGTGTGACAGCATGCGTTTCTTCCAACCCACTCGAACAAGCGGCGTTTGTCAACAACCGGTTTCACGAACTGCATCACTCTGAGGATGGACGTACCTGAATCCATGGGGAATAACGTCCGTCCACCTGATGTCGCTGTAGCGCGTTTGAGCGCTGTTCACAACGGGGGGAGACCCATCTCGGCCGAGGTTGAGAAGGTCAGAGCTCTGGACTGCCGGAAAGAACGTCAGATTGGCTATGACAACGCGAATTCTTGCGATACCACGCGGCTCATTGGATTGTCACGGCTTCCTATCTGCCCTCTGCGATTTTACGGCGACTAATCGACACACGTGCGCCTCCTGGAAATGACGCTGTCTTACGAGTGTTTTCATCTCCTGGAAGCGCCGCTGGCACACTCTCGGCATGCGTCGCCGGCGCCAATCTCGGTGCCGTCCAAGCCTAGGTGGGCTTCCTCGAGTGCCTGTAAAACAGTGTCTGAATCCGCCACTCAGGCGGTGAGAGCTTGCTAGCTGTGCACCGAGGCATTACTCCAATGAGGCAGCATGTATAAAGAATCGCTGGTTGACCGCGAGGCAGAGCAGTTTCCCTCCTGCCTTTGACCATGTCACAAGCTGACGGACTGCAGGCTGAGAAACGAGTGGCCGATGAAGCAACTTTCGAGCGCGAGAGGGCCAGCGGGAACAAGCTCTGGACTGTATACATCTCCGAGTCACAGATCTACGAAAAGGATCTCATCCATGGCTGGCGCAGCGAGATGGAAGGTCTGCTGACTTTCGTGCGTCTGCATCCCTCTCCTTTCTCAGTCCTAGCCATTCTCTGATTGGGATTGCCAGGCCGGTCTATTCTCTGGCGTCCTCACGATATTCATCATCGAAAGCTACAAGACATTGAACCCGAACCCGACCGACCAGACCCTCAACCCGATCTTGCACCCGTCCGCGAATCTGAACAATGGTGCGGCGGCGGCGGACGCACTCCCGGGAGCCGCCGCCGCCTTCTCACCCCCGATCTCCTCTCTCATATGCAACGCACTCTGGTTCATCAGCCTCACACTCAGCCTATCGTGCGCCCTGGTCGCGACGCTGGTCAAGCAGTGGGCGCAGGAGTTCCCGCACCGCGTGGTCATGCTCTCCTCGCGCTCTGTGCTCTCGCGCGCGTCCATGTATCTCAACTATGGGTTCCGACGCTTCAATATGCACGTCGTTGTCCGTGCTCCGCTGCTTTTCCTGCACGTGGCACTGGTCCTGTTCTTTGCGGGTCTGGTCGCATTTCTTGTGCCTGTCAACACTATCATCATGGGCACATGCTCCGCCGTGCTTCTCCTCTTTGTCTTTGTCTATGGGACATTCACCGTCCTCCCCCTGTTCTATCCCAACATTCCATTCCACACACCACTGACGCAGATACTTTTGCCGCTGAAACAACAGTTGGGGACCGGACTGGCGGCTTTCATCTGCATGGCGTATGCTCGAAAGAGAGTTGCTGAAGCCGACCTCGAGGCCCACGTGTTTCCGGAGACTCGTAGCGGTAACGCTGTTCTACAGAGGTCGAAACGCGCGGCACTGCATCCCGATGTCGAGGAAGAGACCGAGGCGCTTGCGTGGACCGTGCAGTCCCTATCTGATGATCACAAGTTGCTGCCGTTCGTGCAGGGCCTCCCCGAGGCGCTGTGGGATTTCGATGAAAACAGGCCACGCTCAGTGTATCAGGCCCATTTCCAGAGTCTGTTGCAGGATGCGGACGTCCATCTCGGCCAGCGTCTGGCCGATTTTATGGCTGGATCTAACAGCAATCTGCTTGACAACAAGGAACGCAGTCGCCGCCAGCTCTCTGTGCTTGAGGCCGTGTGGGCCATTTGCGCGTTCTCCCTTCACACGGGGTCACCTCTGCACAGTCCGATCGGAGATGCTGACGTGGACAACGCGCTGCTCGGCTCGAAGTTTCTCGATTCTCCAGCCGTGCAGAGCATGGTCCCTGACGTGTCCGCTCTGATCCGTCTGAACATGATCGAGGCGACCCTCATACAGCCCAGCAGTCGTATGCGGCCCCAAGCTGAGAAGCAGCGGCAATCGATGCAACGGACGTATGTGGACTATCTGTTGGCACTTTCCAAATGCCGCGCCAGCTTCCAGCGGGAACAGACCAGTTCACTCTTTCATCGGTCACAAGCGCACTTGACGAGATCGGACGGCTTCGAAAATCTTCAAGACGCTCTCCAACTGCTGATAGATTCAGCGCCGGATGAGACGGCGGACGAGACAGCGGATAATTTCGTTTTTGCTGCTCGCCAGATCATCAGCGCGTTTGCCCAGACGTCGGACTATCTAGCCAGGTGGCGGGATCTTGAGGGTTTTGGGCCGCCGTATTTGTCCCTGTGGCATCTTGGGCCGTTCCTTCTCCGATTTCCTTCCCTGGCCGTCTCTGGGTCAAAGTCCGACTCACAGCCCGGCCCGGAGCATCATTACACCCGATTCCCAAGCCACACTCTGTGCCAGAACTTGGAACTGGGATTCGATCCTCAGGCCAGTGTCGACGCCCTCCGGCTGATCTACGAGTATCTGCTCGCCACTCGTTCGGCACCAAGGGACCTCGAAACCCATTTCCGGGTCCTCGGCACTCTGCAGACTCGGGCGGCCGGCATCCGCACGCACCGTTTGACGGCCGTCGTCCAGTCCGTTGTGCTCAGATGTTTCCGGGAGGATTTGTCGAAATCTGCGGATTTGTCGCAATGGGGGAAATTGCCGGATCTCTTCAACGATGAGGGCTGGTTCCGCTCTGTGATCGGCTATGACGACGATCAACAGACGGAGCGGGCGTCGGCACAGGAAGTTTATGAGTGTGCATGTGTGCATGTTGTGACCACCTTCCTCGAGCATAGTACCGCCCGGAGTCCGGATCAAACGGAGCGCGGCCAGGACTTGGCGACACTCAAATCCGTTCGTCACGCAGTCGACGAGATTTCGTCGGCGCTCCCGACCAAACTGCAACATCGATTTGTCGAAGCTGCGTCTGGTTTCATCCACAAATATCCCAAGGACTGTCTCGCAGAAGAGGATGGGCTTTTCCGGGTGCTTCTCTGGGCCGTGATTGAGGGCGGCGGATTTATCACTAACTTGGATGCCCTGATGGTCCTGGACACGAGTGTGTCGGACGTGCAGACAGACGATCAGCAGGAATCACACCGAGGCCATGCTAAATCTATCCGCCGCCAGACACAGAAGCGGCTCCATCCCGAGAACATTCCTGCTGGGCCTGTCCCGCTCGTAAGTGGCGGGGTGTGAAGAGACCAGTGCATGTGAAGTCGTTTTCCACTTATTTAGCCTACATATGACCATCCTTGTTTACTACTAGTATACGTATAGCGAGCAACATGAGCACGGACTCTTCATAAAAAGTCTGCGAAAGCCGCATTCCCAACGTGCACCAATCAAATTTTATAGGGTCGCGATTCACAAAAAGCATTCAGGGTCCCCGTCGACGGAGAAACAGCAGCTGCTCCCCAGGGAGCAACACCGTTCGCACCTTCCGTCCGTGGTCACAGCCGTCCAGGACGAGCTATCGTAACCGGGATTCTGGAATCCCGGCGGAATCGACGCGATCCCAGGCCACAGCCATGATCCATCACGGACCAGGCAGGCACCGCCGGTGCAGTTGCACGTCGTCTGGACGAGATTGAACTCCGCCGTGAAGATGACGCCCGCGGGGTCGGGACGGTGAGGGCGATCCGTGACACCGCATGTGAATTTGCCAACCTCTCAATTCGCAATCTGTCAACGATAACATTCCTTTGACATTTGCCCCTGGAGAGGCCACAGGATTATCGATACAGACTATGTTGTCGCATATGCAGTCCCTTTCAGATTCACCTAAATCCCAACGATTAGAATACTTTTCAGGCTTCATGTTCGACGAACTTTTCGCGTCTGATAGTTGATCACATTCAAGATTGCAAGCGGTCATCTGAGCACTCGAACATCCCCAGGCTCCGGGGTTTCGAAAGATCCATACCACAGACTGAATTGCAACCGAGTGTCCATGGCCAGGAACTGCTAGTCCCAACAAAGATGCTTCAGCGCAATCTGAACGCGAACTTAAGTGCTGTGGGGTAGTAGACCAGCAGGCAGGACTCTCTTCCAACATGTCCATGCCCCGACTTCTCAAGAAGCTGAGCTCTAAGAGCCTGCACAAGCAATCCTCCTCGACGTCGAGCGCGGCAAGCGTCCCTCCTCTGCCGCCCATCCCAGCGGCATCTGTAGCAGCTCCCCCAGAACCACAGGACGCCCTCTCGAAGAAACTGAACGACGCATGGGCATCCGCATCTGCCGACCCAAAGGCCAACAAGGCAGACCAGATGCTCAAAAAGGTCGAGGAATCGGTGACTGGCGCGATGGATGACAGCGCACAGCCCGTCGCATTCGTGCAGGGCGTCGAGACAGGGCTGGATGCCGTGGGCGCGATGCAAGTGATCGAAAAGGGGCTGAACACGTTCATGGAGGGGATGCCGGTGCTGATGAGCGCGTTGGATGAGGTCGCGAAGCTACATCCGTGTGTTGCGTTCGTGCACTCTGATCGTCGCGCTGATTGTGGTATAGGTTCATCGGAGGTGGGTTTTGCGTTTCGTGACGAAGCATATCCTGAGCGGTATTGCATCAGTCGCGGTGATGGCGTTCAAGGCGGTTTGGGCGTTGGAACAGAAGCGGAGGGACAACGACAGGAAGATTGTCGCGGTGCGTGGCCGGGCCCACCCTCTTTGAGCGGTCCAGAAACTGATGCTACGCTCCACCCACAGTTGCATATGGAGATGAAAGATATGATGGGGGCTCTTCTGCAGTAACCTCTGCTGCAGTCACGGAACCAGCTACGTACTGATTGTTTGCACAGGATGAGAAATGTGAAGGACGCTGATCAAGTGGCACCCGACGGGTCGACTATCAAAGGTAGAGTGCAAGTTATCGCCAAAGAGACCGCGGACGACATCAAGGCCTGTGCCAATGGTATGTCCAATGCTTGACGTTCAATGGCTTGCAGATGCGCATGCGCCGAATGAGAGAGGTTCGCCGCAACACCTAGTACGCAAATGATCGACGGGTGGCAGTGCACACTGCATCTTATCCGCTTCTCTATACCCCGCAGCTCTGGGATTAGCTCTGACACCACTCCATAGCATGCGACACATACATCAAGAAGAAGCTGATCGGTCTGTGCTCTTTCATCTCATGAGTTCATCTCTCATCGGAACCTACAGTCAAAATTCTGAAAGGTCCAATCTGGGACGGGAAACTGGTGGCATTCGCAGGTACATTCACCAAACGCCGGTCCGAATTCGAATTCGCGCTGTCTATCCACACTGCAGTGGGTGTTGATGTGGCAACTAAACTCATCGGTGCGGTCGATCACACGACGACGGCGATGAACGCGAAGATGGACATGATGCTGCAGCTGTTCAAGAGTTTAATGACGCCTGAGCAGGAGGAAATGGCTCGTATGATCGACAGAAGAGGCGGACAGGATTCGGTTGTGCGCAGTGACAGAGCTCTTCAGGAGCTCAGTGTTCTCGAGGAGAAAATCACGGGTAGCGGCGAGCCAACTCACGTCCGCAGGGCTTATGGCCTGGACGACCTCAAAGACGAGTTGGAGTCAGATCCACAGCTTGCCATCGACGCGAACAAGGACGCATTTTCTCGCAAGCTCGATGTGCAGACTCGTCAAATCATGTGAGTTCTTGTCCTCGGCCAGAAGCTCGCTGCTGACAACACCAGTGATGATCTCTCCAAAGTCATTGAGCGCGAAGGCGATCGAGTTATCAGTGCCATCAATGCCGGTCCGCACGATAGAATAATCGATCCGGTTTGTCTACACAACACTGGCTTTTCGGGTTGAAGCTGACGGGCGGGTCACAAGAATGTCTATGCGGTCTGGAAAGACATGGGATGGCGGGGTAGTGTGAAGACACGCCATTTCGTGATGGCGCTCCGCGATCATTTTCAAGAGCAAGTCGGTCAAGTCAATCGCACTGAAGCCGACAAAGCAGATGCATGGGCACTTGAGTACTTTAAGTGAGCAGCTGTGCTATTCATCCATCTTTGCGCTTCGCGCGGCGTGTGGGATACTGAGACCCTCGCAGCGTGCTCTGTCTGCAGCCCATCTCCGAAGCATTTGATGACGACGCTTCAGGCTTTGTCACTGTCTCAGAGGCAAACGAGTTCACCGCATCGCGACCGTTGGGTTGGAGGTCAGCTAGCTTGCGATACGCCGCGTTAACGGTCTGACGCCCAGATCACCCCCGCAGTCTCCCCCGATGGATCGCGTACTGGGCTGCTGGCCATCACCAGACGATTCAGACGTATAAAGACAAGATCAACTTGATCACCGCGAAGCTGTACGGAATTCTCCCGCACATCCTGCCTGCGAACAAGTCTGCTGTGAACCAGTACTTGACGACCATTGAATGGAGTGTCATGACGGTTGTCGGCTCTCTGGATACGTGCTCTCCGCATCTGTCACTCCAGGTTCGTCGTGAGTTGCTCGATTGAGATCCCGACTGACCTTGCTTGGCAGAAAAAGTTTGAAAATTACGTGATTATGGAGGAAGCAAGGCTTCGAGGTTGGATCTGCCACTTGTCGTCTGTGGAAAAGCGACTCACTGCGTATCGTGCAGCCAATCTAGAAGCGATTAGATATGAGTTAGTGCCTATTGAGTAGTCCGATCAGGCGATCTGACGGGCTTGCCAGTATCGACGCGGAAAGCACTCTAAAACTCATTACGGGTTTGTGGTCCAGAGCTTGTTCGATAATCTGCTCATTGGTTTTCAAGGCAAGGGATGTATCGAGAAAGTACATAGTCGGCCTATATCCTCTCTTTTCCGCACACTGATCTGTCTCAGTATCTCTTCCCCGTATTGTTCCTCCTACTCGAAAGGCACTTGGAGATCTTCCGAGTATGCCAGACTCATGTCGTGCATCCGGATGAGCTGTGGGATGCTGCTGACACTGTGATTTACGTTTTTGACGCCGTCAAAGCCCGGTTAGACGATCTTCAGAGTAACTCCTGTTTGATCGCAGCAGATGACTTCCAATCTTACTGACGTCGCTCGACAGCGATCTTCAAGCAACAGAAACTCGATCTTCAACAACAATTCAAATCCTTTTCCTTTGCTCTTTTCAGATACCTCAACGAACCCACTCTATTTTGGGACGAAAAGCTTGTCCAAGACAGGTTCGCTGAGATCGTGGTACGGACACATTCGATGGACTGACAAGCATCACAGCCAGTTTGAAGCCTACCAGTACGACGAATCAGAGCAGTCAAAGTTGCCGGAGATTTCTCAGATCCTCAACTATCCTCTTGGCGTAGAGGAGCTTGATTTGGCGGCGTATAGCATTCCAGCCGCGAGAGGGCCGGGGGGATCTGGAGTCTCGCTCGCCGGCTGCGAGAAGCTGTTCACATCAACTTGGCACGGTTTCTTTTACCAGTCTTCAAACCCCCGATACTCCTTGGCCGGGATGGTCTCATTCACTCTGCAGCCGATATCATTCAACGGCGACGTTCAGTTCTTCTCAGCGTCAGATCGTGCAAACGGAATAGACTTCACTGTGGAAGGCGAATGCCATCTGTCGACGTTGAGACTCAAGTTTACGCGCTTTTTTTCAACGCGTCTGCCGCCGCACTACTATTATGGGACCTGGGATCCAGACGCACAGATCATGTCCGGGACTCTGGGCCTTAGTGATGACCCAGTGGACCATATGGCTACGTTCGTGTATCGCCAGATGGATCCGCGGTATCTCGCGCTCGCGCCAACTCCTGCCCAATTGCAAGACGGCCGGTCACGCGCTCTGTGGAGGTTTGCCATTGAAGCAGTCAGACAGGACGTGCAGAGAAGCCGATGGGCATGGTCCTACTTCAAAGGGCGTCGGGATCATAGACTACAGTTTGTGAAGCTGTCGATCCGGAGTGGCGGAGGAACAACCAATATCCCCTACGGACCATCTCTAACCAAGGCAGAGGTCGTCTCTTTTTCTCTTCTGAAGCAGCGGATGACCTCTGCCGACTCGCGATTCTATCACTCACTCGTGGAACAAGAGTACCGTCACATCGTCAGCCACCGGTTCAGCATCTGTGACACCTGCCGCACCGTCATCGGCGGCGCGCGCGTTATCTGTCTGGAGTGTCAGACGAAGGAGAACAACAAATGGAATACGATCGACCTGCACGAAGTTGAAGAATGCATTGCTGGACGGGTGATGCGAGAAGACATGGACAAACCACACTTGCCGCACCACGACCTGCTCAAAGTCCGGCATGTGCTGCATAGACGGCAGTTCGGAAACACGTATCGGGCCGCGAAGGCAGCTGTTGGACAAGCGCGAGTTCTCCTGGCCAGCTCGACTCCGCCTGCTCGGTGCCGCCTGTGCAAGCAAGCCGTCGTACAACCCTGCTGGTTTTGTGTCCAGTGCCCAGAACCCAGCTTCATCTGCTCCGGATGCGATGCGAAAGGCGACACGAAGTTGGACGGACATTCGTTCTACGACCACGATCTTGTGCGGGTGCATGAGAAGGAAGAGGCGCCGGTGCTCACTGTCGAGGAACGCTTGTCAGAGCTCGAAACCAAGCTATCAATGTACCAGCAATCTGTCGAGGAGCGTCTGCGGGGACTCGAAGGGAACATGGGCGAGGTCACAAGCTTGTTGAAGCAACTACTCGCGGAAGTAAGAACGGGAGCGGTATCAAATTATACTATTGCCCTGGCAAAACCCCAGGACCACTCGGAATCGTGATGTTTAGGTCGATCACTGGATGAATCCGGCTCGAATGAGCATTGTACGATGTCTCCGTCAGCGACGGACCCGAATCCTGTATCATTTCATCGATCAACCTCGCACTGCTTGGGCCATCAAACCACCCCCTACCCCCCCTGACTGGAGGCCATCCTGGAGGTGCCTTCCTAATTGGTACTCTGCCTAGCCATTCATCCACGGCCAGCATGGTAGGCTAGGCATTGACCCAAGTGTTGATATGTGCTGTAGTAGTGAGTATGAAGTCTCAGACAATGTCTTAGCTCACAAGAGCTTGTATTTCTTGCCTGAAAATGGCAGACCACTGGGCACACAAAATTTGGGATTTGAGCACATGAGCACTCCTCAGGTGCATAGAGCAACAGTATATATATTAATTTGAGATTGAGCATGAGGTAGCTGTGCCCACATGCAAAAAATGAGATGTTGCTGAAGGGATGGTTTATGCCAACAACTTTATGGCCTCCACAACCTCCCAGGGGCAGAAAAAAAGGTGTTGGGTAGCCCACAGGCCCTTGAATTCTGCTTCAATAGATCAATTTGACACTTATGCTTTGTCAAAACAACAGCCCAGGATATAAATTGGATGCTGGAGCAGTGGCAGAACTAGCCTCCACCGCCTCCAGGGCTGGGGACCAAAAGCAGTTATTGTAGATTCAGCCACATAAACCATAGTTCTGATGTTGTGTCATGGTTTGACCCTTTTTCATCTTATCATTGGCGATCTCATCCTATCTCGGCACGGATTATCTTATCATGGATCATGGCATCTGACAGCCTGGGCTAGGGGTCTAGGGATTATCTCTATCGATTCAAGGCTGCACAACATATGCTCTGGAAGGTTCTACTACAACCCATGACCAGTGCTCCATGTGGTACATAGCCTTATGACTCATTAGTTGTAGATATGACTCAGACTGGATTTGGGTATAAATACTGTAGTTACTTGGTTGTATTCTCCAGTCTTTGAATTCACTTCTCTTTTTGACACTATTTCTTGTTGATTGTCATATGTTGTTTGTCCTAGTCAGAATATCTGGGTATTCCAGAGTGACAGGTGGCTACATAGATCAGATGCTAGCAGCAATAGCAGAACTGGCCTCCATGGCCTCCACAGCCAGTGACCAAAAGCGGTTTTTTGGGTTCAGCCACATAAACCATGTCTATGATGTTGATGGTCTTCATTATAATTATGAGGGTCCTTTAGTTAGATGTCTCACCACGTGAATCAGATGCTGGAGCAAATGGCAGAACTGGCCTCTGCTGCCTCCACAGGTTATCACTTGAAGAGTCTGAATGAGATGACAATGTAACAGATAGATGTTCTCATAGATAACTATGTTCTGTTATTTCCACCTCTGCATGCTAGTTTGATTGCAATAGAATGTTGAATTCAGAGAATGGGGGACCCTGGAGGCACTGGAGGTGCATGCAAGATCCAATCAATATCATCAATGCTATCAATGCCATCAATAGCATCAAGAGCATCACTGATCATTGGTAGATTGTGTCGCAGACAATACCGCGCAGTGGAGATACGACCAGTAGCAATCACCTATAAGACAGAGTCTCAGCGAGTGTAGAGACACAGGAGCTATATCATTAGCTGTACCTATAAGACAGAGTCTATGGTACAAGTCATAAGTAAGGTCATTAGATCGTAAGGGAGAATGCATACCTCAGCGAGTGTAGAGACACAGGAGCTGAGGATATGGAGCGTATAGTACTAGGTTTATATACCAGTCTGGAGCAGATATCATGATGTCATAGTGGAGTAATGATATCATAGATGAGTAATGGATGACGCAATAATGAGGTCAGGTATGAGGTCATTGTGGAGCGAGCCAAAGTAATCTAAGAATACTACTTATGATGTCATGTCTACATACTGTGATAGTCGCTAATACAAACAAGCTTCAACACTCCCACTCGACTAAACAGTCGGATCACGAAGACCCAAAGACAGCCGATGTTGTTGGAACTTCACCCATGCCAGAGACTTTGTGAGCGTGTCGGAGATCATCGCATCAGTCGGCACATGGTAAAGTTGGACATTGCCAGCTTCGACGGATTCTCGTACGAAGTGATAGCGGATGTCGATGTGCTTCGTCCTCCTATCATGAACTGGATTTACTGCCATAAAGATAGCGCCTTGGTTATCAACACAAAGAGGCGTGGATGGCAAGTCATATCCGAGCTCAGTCAACAAAGTGCGGATCCAGGCAATCTGGCGCGTAGCATCGTGTTGAAGCTTGTTTGTATTAGCGACTATCACAGTATGTAGACATGACATCATAAGTAGTATTCTTAGATTACTTTGGCTCGCTCCACAATGACCTCATACCTGACCTCATTATTGCGTCATCCATTACTCATCTATGATATCATTACTCCACTATGACATCATGATATCTGCTCCAGACTGGTATATAAACCTAGTACTATACGCTCCATATCCTCAGCTCCTGTGTCTTACACTCGCTGAGGTATGCATTCTCCCTTACGATCTAATGACCCTTACTTATGACTTGTACCACAGACTCTGTGTCTTTAGGTACAGCTAATGCTTAGCTCCTGTGTCTTACACTCGCTGAGACTCTGTGTCTTTAGGTGATTGCTACTGGTCGTATCTCCACTGCGCGGTATTGTCTGCGACACATCGCTCAGAGCCATGTATTCGGCCTCTGTTGAGGACAAAGCGACCGTGGGTTGGCGTCTAGAAACCCAGGTCACTGCACAACCGGCGATGAAGAAGGAATATCCCGTGGTTGAATGCCTGTCGTCTTTGTTCTCCGCCCAATCAGCATCGGAATAACCGATAAGGCCTGCGCCAGTGGAACCATCATAGCAAAGTTGGTAGTTTTTGGTGCCCTGAAGGTACCGGAGTATGTATTTTGCCATGTTCCAATGATGTTCTGACGGGTTGCTGTTGAACTTTGATAGACGGATGACTGCATAGGCAATGTCGGGGCGAGTACCAAGCATGGCGTATAGAAGGCTGCCAATCAGTTGCTGGTATCGGGTACGACGGTCTTCATCAACTTCTCCATCATGCTTCTCGAGCACGATGCCGGAAGGCAGGGGAGTACGAGCTTCTTTACACGAAGACATCCGGAATCGTTCTAGAACTCCTTCGATATAGGAAGCCTGATCGATCCAGATTTTACGCGCTTTGCGATCACGAACTATGTTCAGACCAAGGAAATCCTTCGCAGGACCAAGATCTGTCATTTTGAAGCGGTTCGCGAGCAATGATTTGATCCGCGCTATCTCCGGCAGATTGTTGCCCATAATGAGCATATCGTCAACATACAGCACCAAGATGATGACCGTATCTCCCATTTGTTGGCGATATGTGTAGACACCGGCGTCGGAGTATGTCCGAGCAAAACCAAGTTCAAGGAGGGCATTGTGGATTTTGATATTCCACTGACGAGACGCCTGTTTCAACCCATAGAGTGATTTACGAAGGCGTGCCACCTTTTCTTTTGGCCATGATGAGAAACCTTTGGGTAATTCCGGAAGTTCCATATAGATTTCTTCCTCCAGATCCCCGTTTAGGAATGCCGTTTTGACATCCATGGCATGAATCTCCCAATCTTCGAGAGCAGCCAGAGCCATAAGTATGCGCAAAGATTCATAGCGCAATACTGGCGAGAAGGTCTCATCATAGTCAAACCCATGAACCTGAGTGAATCCCTTGGCAACAAGTCGTGCTTTGAAACGACCGTCACGCTTCCTGCTAAACACCCATCTGCATTTGACAGTCTTTCGACCGCGTGGAAGGCTGGTCAAATCCCAAGTACAGTTTTCCTCGAGAGAGTCCAGTTCTTCGCGCATTGCGCGCTCCCACTTGAGTGCATCCGGGCTCTTTGCTACATCCCGCACGTTTTGAGGCAAGTCATGCTCAGCTTGGGCAGCTGACAACATGGACTCAATGCTGCTAGGCCTCTGATACGTAGTTCCATCTGGCATAATGCGGGGCTTATTCCGACGAGGGCGGTGATGGGCAATCGGGCGATCGTCTATTGGGCCAGGCATTAGGGGTACTTCTCGCGATCCCGTGACAGGACCTTGTTGCGCGAGGGGTGCCGGTGGCGGTGGGAGAGCAGGAGGTGGTATGCTTGCATAAGGCGTTGCAGGCGCAGGATTATTGATAAGGTCAGGGAAGGATTCCTCGAATGGTGTGAACAGCTCCGGTCCAGAGGACACATTGCCGGTGACTAGCTTGGACTTGGCAGGGAATACTCGCTCATCGAACTCAACATTTGAAGAGACTCGTATCTTGCGTTGATTCGGATCCCACACTTTCCAAGCTTTTGTCTCTCGTTCGTATCCAACGAAGATGTGGTCGGGGCGTCCATGCTCCAACCCTTTCGGGCGTTTTTCAACATCCACATAGAGAGACGCCTTGCATCCAAACACACGGAAATAAGAGACGTCTGGCTTCTTTCCAAGCCACAGTTCCGCAGGTGTTCGCCATCCCAATCGTGCCATAGGTTGTCTATTATGAACTTGGACAGATGCATCCATAGCACATTGCCAGAAGCCTTTGGATAGGCCGGCATCGAGGCGCATGCATTCCGCTTTCTCGTAGGCTGTGCGATTCCAACGTTCAGACCTCCCATTTTGCTGTGGTTTGCGTGGCGCGGACTTAGGGTGCATAATACCACGTGCATTGAGCCAGGCTGTGAGTTCATCGGACATATATTCGCCTCCACGATCTGACCGCAAGGCCAGTACTTTTGTGCCAAGCTGACGCTCTGTAAGGGCAACAAAGTTTTTAATCGCAGTAGAGGCTTGGTCCTTTGATTTAATGAACACCATCATGCCAAAGCTCGAGAAATCATCGTAGAACGAAATTGTGTAGCGTGAACCTTCCAACGACTGAGTAGGCCAGGGGCCCATCAAATCAGTGTGGATAAGCTCGAGGGGTTTGCTAGCACGTTTCTCTGATGCAGGGTACAGATGCTTGTGCTGTTTTCCAAGCATACATCCATCGCACATGCCGCGCTGGTCTTTATTGCGTTGCAAGGGGGGAACACCTTCAACTTGTGTCGGCAAGTGAGTAAGGGTCCTCCGAGCCGCATGACCAAAACGCTTATGCCACAATTCACGATCGGTAGTTTCCAGGGAAGCGAGCGCGGTAGACTCGTGAGATGCAGACACAGATGGTGCCACGAGCTCCTCGGGGTAGTACCAGTAGCAGCGATTGCTTGCTTTAAAGGTCATCAAGACATCCCCATGCGCTTTTCCCTTGTTGAGCCAATCCTTGGTGACTAGGATTGCCTTGTTGTCACCAACCACGGTGTAGTAACCAGCCTGATCGAGCGCATACCCAGAAAGGTAACGCCCTCTTATGTGCGGGTTGTAGATGACATCCTTCAGCGTGAAGGTGTAGTCCATGCCACTACTAGTATGACCCCGCAACACAATATCTCCAACGGCTTCATTCTTGAAGCGAGCTCCCGACCCAACGACTACATAGGTGTCGATAGGTCTGATGTTGTGAAGATCGGATTGGGTGTTTGTCATATGATGCGTACAACCCGAATCCCATAGAAAACGAACTTTGGAGTCGTCTCCCATTTCTTCAACAAAAATTCCATCATCGATGTGTTTGAGGGAGTCACTCATGAGATAGGACGAATGTGCATTCCATTGGAGGCAGCTGCAACCGCGGGAGCGGCTACAACCTCTTTTACAGCGCTAGTACCATCACCGCTCTTCTTTTCCTTCTTCTTTTTCTTCTTCCCCTCATCCTGCTTCCCCTTGCCTTTGTCAGAAGATTGACCAGTAGGCTTGAGGTTGGGATACTTCTTGTAGCAGGATGCCGCAACGTGACCGGACTTGTTACAATGAGTGCATCGGGTGGCGAGAGACGGAACGGTGGAAATCTTCGAGTTCGACGTCGTGTCAAGGTTCTCGATCTTGATATTCCCTATGACGCTGTTCTTGACATCGACTGGGTTCAGAGAAGCGATAGGACGATTGGCCAGGTAAGAGGTGACGAAACCTCTGCTGGAAGCGGGCAAGGCGGCGAGCATTAGAGTTGCGAAGAGGTAGTCGGGGATCTTGATTCCTCCTTCCGAACACTGGCGACGACGAGTCTCCATTTCCATGATTTGTTTTTCAATGGTGTCACCACCGTGGAAGGTGGTGGTGTTCAGGAGGCGGTACTCGACGAAAGCATCGATGGCATTTGGTTGACCATAATCTGTCGCCATCTTCGCAAAAACCTCGCGCGCAGTGCGCTCCCGCTGACCGTCCATAAAGATTCCCTTGCGCAGATTCTGAGTGATATAAACCCGCGCAAGACCCAGTGCCTTTTCATTGGCAACGTCCCATTGATACTGGCTGTCGCCAGCTGTTCCAGGACGCTCCATAGAACCAGGGTTCGAGGTAGATGTGCCGTTAACCATAATGAGTGGGTTTAACCACTCCCCAGGTGCCCTGATGCATGCAGATGCTCATGTAGTTGTCCGACCACGTATTCCAATTGGTGCCATCGAAGACACTCAGAATGGAGTTGTTGAGCTTCTCGATTCCCGACAT